CAACACCAACATTAACAACACCAACATTAACAACACCAACATTAACAACACCAACATTAACAACAGCTCCCAGACCGTCGTCGGGGTGGATTGGACCTTGACAAAAGATAAAGATGGGCCTCACCAAGGCCGAAAACTCGCCTGGGCTCTCGTTCGAATTCAACAACCCACGCCACCACTATTCTCCCGGCGACGTGATCAGCGGCCGTGTCGTCCTCAACACTGCCGCCGACAGTGCCATTGGCACGCTGGTGGTGTCGTTCTGGGGCCGGGCAAAGTCGCGCATCATCCAGCAACACGGCCAAACCGTCACTTACCATCGGGGCCGGACACAGTTCTTCAAAAAGGAGCTGCTTCTCTACGAGGGCCAATACACACACAAGCCCGGATCCTTCAGCTGGCCCTTTGAATTCATCGTCCCCGACCAGGCGGATGCCGAAAGCATTTTAAGCGGTGAAAGATGGAAGCCCAAGGAGCATTATCGCGCAACCACAGATGAGAACAACCTCGATCTCACGCTTCCAGCCTCGTGCTATCACAGAAGACACATGTTCGGCCGTCAAGCTGAATGTTTCATTGAATACGTCCTCGACGCCACGCTGACCGAGCCAGAAGGTCTACATCATATCCGTGGACCCCAGAGCAAAGTATCCAGCTACCCCATCGTCTTCCACCCGCTGTCAACCCCCGAACCCATTGAGAACTACAACCTCACCACTGATCAACGCCTCTTCACCATCTCAACGCTGAAGTTGCTGCCCGAACATGCCGGTACCAGCCTTGGCTTCAGGGATCGCGCCCGCTCCATCTTTCAACGCGACTCCATCCCCAGATTCTCGTTCAGTGTGGCTGTTCAAGCACCCAGCCTCGTTCAACTCTTCCATCCCAATCCGATCCCCTTCCTGATTACCGTGACACCAGACCTGTCTGCCGAGAACACGACCATTGACACCTCAACGTCTCTACCCACCGTGACCCTTCGTTCCGCCAAAATCGAACTGAAGACTCACGTTCGGTGTCGCGCCGCGGGTACATTTGCCGACAGCAAGACCTACGAGATTCCCATATTGCCGCCGAAGACTTTAAACCAACCACTGACCATGTCGCACGGCATGACAACGGCCTCGGAAGCGACACTTGACCTTGGGCAATTGTGTGACCTTCGTCTAGGTAACGCAAAACTTGGTTCTCGTCTCGAGACGCCCATGTGTCCAAGTTTCACGACCTACAATGTTTCCCGGTCCTATCATCTCTTGTGGGAGCTGGAGATCGAGTGCGCCGAGAAGACCGAGAAGTTTTCTTCTGTGAAGAACGGACCTGAATGTACCGTCATCTTGCCCCCAGCTACGGCACGCGTGGAGAGCTCACTGGACAGCAATGTATTATTAGGCGGAGATCTAATGCAGGCAATGTCAACGGAAAGCACAGGATCTGGGTCCAGTTCCGGATTTTGGCCTCACCGGAGCCATGAAAGTAGGGGCGGGGGGGAGAAGGAGAAAGCAAGATTTGGGCCTCCGAGTCCCTCGAGTATTGGAATTGGCGTCGGTGCTCTGAACATCGTCGATGACAAAAGAAGCAAATCCAAGGCCGAAGAGGCTGCTGAAGACCGAGCCCGAGCGCGCCTGGAGGCAGTTCAAGCTACGTATCACGGCCGTCGTCAAAACGCATCCATAATTGAAGGTGGCGAGGACGGCATAACAGATGCCCCATTACCGACAACAGGCTCGATCCTACCGGGCACCATAGAACCCGCAACAACAAATATTACGGTGACAGACACGGATGCGGATCAACAACTACCAAGATATGTCCCATGAGGAAGCGGTTTTTTCTTGCTTTGTCTTTTCAATGTGTTTGGGGCACACGGCCGCCTATTTCCATTGCTGCATTGTGCCATGGGCATTTCCATTTGTCAACTTGCTTTTGAATATTGGGATTTGGGACACTGCAGAAGAATGCGATTTTTTTTGACAGTGCTTGACAGTGTAATGATGGTAAGACCCGGGATTGAGGAGTAGTGGAGTTTGATATATTGTATGGTGAAAAACTTGGGATAAGTCAAGCCTGGAATGGGGCTGGTCTAGAAATGTCCAAGGACAGAGTCGTTAAAACTCGGGAGGGACTCGAACAACAACGGCACCCGAAGGGCATTAAATGATCTGAGCAATAGCTCCCATCATTCATTGCCGAGGACGCGGGGCATAATTGTTTTGTGCTATGGATATCGGATATGGTTTGTCAATGGGCGTGTCCCCGGGGCGCATGGGGATCTGGTGTGGTATTTGGACACGTTTCGCTGGGCATTCCTCGCCTCGAAGAGTGGAATCTACTGTTTTTTTACTGGTCGGTAATTGAGTTGACTTCATTCTTCGAAATATCACATCTCGAGAATGGAACTAGGAATGACTGGGGTATAAACTGCTTATCAGCGATCAGACGAGCTGATGGTAATGAAAGACGGACGGAGAGGTCGTAACAGAGGTTCGCCTTTCCAATGTTGAAGAAGAGGCAGTGCACAGACTATGGACTCCTATCGATGGTATATAGAAACAGGACAACGGTAGTAATATGTGTATGTCATTAGCAGAAGGGAAGAAAGGCCCTTCACCCAGCCTTGGCCCATCAAACCCCATCAAAATGATGAGGCTGAGGCGAGGCTGAGAGAGAAGGCTGAGAAACTGATTCGCCACTCTCGGCCGCAAGACTCCACCGTACATACGAGTACATGCAAATCCAAAATATTGCGCTTTTCCACCTTGCAGGTTTCGCAATTGTCATAGCACCCATACGCCAACTCTATCGCAGGATAAGATGATTTTAGAAGACCAGAGATTCCTCCACGAGGATCTAGAGCGGCTGGAGCAGGCAATCACCGACCGAGTTGCAGAAGACCCAAAAAATGCAAGTCAAGTCACTGAGCCATGAACCGAGCGCAACCACTAACACATTCGACAGATCAAAGATAGATTAACCCGCGACCACCAGATTGACGGCTTTCTCAGTCGCATCCAAGAGCAATCCAAACGTCTGCTGGACATATACAAAGACGCAGAGGGTCTCCGGCTGAAAGAAGTCCAGTCCCTGTCGACCGGCGAACCATTCGAAGAATTCTACAAACAACTCGAAGAAATCAAAGATTTCCACCGGCGGTACCCCAATGAGCCTGTCGAAAACCTCGAGCGCGCCTACAAGCGCCGGCGGCCAGAAGAAGGAGAATATATACCCTCAGAGGTGGATAACATGTTCAGCGGGGAAGAGTCGAACGGCCGATTTTTGGACTTGACGCAACTGCACGAAGACTACCTCAACATTCCTGGAATAAAGCGCCTGACGTATCTCCAGTATTTGGACAACTTTGACGCATTTGAACTTCCTCGACTGCCCATCAAACGGCAGAATAAGATCACTGACCAATATTTACAATACGTGGCCAACCTGGACAGCTATTTGGAGAGCTTTGTCCGAAGGACGAGACCTTTAGAAGATCAGACGAAAATGTTCCTGAGATTTCAGCGGGAGTTCGACGCGGCGTGGGAAGCGGGAACAGTACCGGGCTGGACAAAAGAGCAGAAAGAGCAGGAGTCAACAAATGCTTCAGCGGCATCAAGACCGCAAACCGAAGGTACTGGCGCAGGAGTATGGTGTCCGGATTGCGAAAAGGAGTTCACGAACCAGAATGTCTACAAGTCCCACTTGACCGGCAAGAAGCACATCAAGAACGCCGAAGCAAAGAAATCCCGGATAGCCGCCAACGGCCATGGCGCCACGAATGGCGCCACGGGAGGATCCTCGAAACCCCTTGCAGTGGCTCCCTCGTTATCAGGCACAGCGCTCAAAGAACGTGCCATTGCCTCGCACGAACACCGCATCCGCGCCCTCGCCGACCTCCTCTCCAATGAACGGAGCAACACGCGTGTGAACGTTGAGCGCAAACAAGGCATGACGGAACGGGAGCGACAGGCCGAATTAGATGCTCTCTTCGCCGAAGACGATGCCGCCGTCGCCGCGTCCGACCGCAGAGCAGCAGGGAAGAATAGAACAGGTGGCGAGGATTCAGGGTCCGACTCAGAAGGCGATGAGAAAATCTACAACCCGCTGAAACTGCCCCTGGCGTGGGATGGGAAACCGATCCCTTACTGGCTTTATAAACTGCACGGCCTGGGCGTGGAGTTCAACTGCGAAATCTGCGGCAACTTCGTCTACATGGGCCGGCGGGCGTTCGACAAACACTTCTCTGAGGCGCGCCACATCTACGGTCTCAAGTGTCTGGGCATCACCGGCTCCGCCTTGTCCGGCGCGGCCGTGGGGGCCGGTGGCCTGAGCCTGTTCCGCGAGATCACGGGCATCGAGGACGCGCTGAAACTGTGGGACAAGATCAAGAAGGAGAAGCGCGAGAAGGAAGTCAAGGAGGACCAGGTCGTGCAGATGGAGGACGGCGAGGGCAATGTTATGCCCGAGCGCATTTATCTGGATCTGCAAAAGCAGGGTATCTTATGAGCACTCGCGACTGGCGAGACTCAACCCAACCCAACCAAGCCAAAGCACAGACACGGATACGGATGATTATGAGGGTTCCAACCCGCCCCCTTTGCCCTTTGGTGGCATTGCGCAGGCAGGCAGGCAGGCAGGAAGACTGGCAGGGTGGCTCCATCCCCCTTTGCGTGTACTGTATTATGCAGGATGGGAATCATTAGCGGCTACTCGCTGGGCGAAGGTCCCGTCCGGAGCAAACAAACTTAAATAAAGATCAAAGCCGCTGGAGCATCTTTTCAATTCCAAGACAATATTGCTTAACATAAGGCGTGTGACACTATCCATATTTCCGTACTTGAACGCACAGGGCGTAAACATCAATTCTTCAGAGCACGACGAGGTCTAGGGGCCCTTCACACTTCCATGCTCTCACCAACGACTCTCTCGCCTCCACTTCCCACGCCCTCATTGCTCGTTCTGGCACTACTTACGCCGTTGCTGCTCCTCTCCCTCTCCTTGACTTTGTCGCTACTCTTGTCTGCTGCTTTCCCTTTGCTTTGATCTCTATCCACAAGAACCGCATTCCTCACCTTCTCCAAAAGCTCCCACCCCTTTGCCACTCCGTGGATTGCCCTCTCAACGATCTGATCAAACAAGTCCTCATTGCCCGCGTAGAACCCGCACAGCATGAGTTTGCATAAGCTGGCTGTGGATGTAGCGCGGACCTCGTCTGGGAAGGTTTGGGAGAGGGCTTTGACAAATGGGGAGAGAAGGCCAGCGAGAGTGCTGCTCTGGTTGTTTGTGGTGGTAGGGGTGACATCGTCCCCTGCCTCAGTCGTAGCGGGAGGAGATACCGGGTGCTCGCTGAATTCTGAATGCGTGGAGGAAGGCGGCCCTCGTGCGAGAAGAATATCGCAAAGGATCTGCAGGGCCATAACTTGAAGGGTCTCATGGCCTCTTTTCAACAAAAGAGTAAAGAGCCGCATGTTCTCGTCGGCAAGCTTGGGCTCAAGCAAACAGCACAGTCCCAAACATTGCACCCCGCGTTCGCGTATCAGAGCTTCATGGGATCGAACAGCCGGGATAACCAGATTGTCAAACATGGTGCGTAGGTCGATGTTCGACTGCAGGTTCCCTGCGACATTTTGCAGCATGCATTGTGCGATATGAAGGCATTTCATGTTGATGACAATTTCCTTGATCGCTTTGGCTTCTTGCTCTTCTTCGGTGAGGTTCTTATTGCGCTTGCTCTTGGCTTGTTCGTTTCGAGGCGTCGACTCACCGCTAACTTCACTGCGGGCTGAGACGAAGCTGTCTTCCTCGTCCGCCTCAGCTTCGTCTTCGAGGTCGGAAGAAGCGATGTTGTCGTGAACTTCGGCGATAGCCTCGAGAACGATCGAGGTAAACTCTCTCTCGCCAGCTGCATCCGAGTTGCATACGAGTCGTAGGGCTTCCACGGTGAGTCGAGTGCATTCATCTGGCAATTCAGCCATGGACAGAGCATGTCGGAGTAAAGAAAACATTTTCCTCCTGCCAATCTCATCTGTATAGTCCAACGACTGAGCAATATACAAGAGCTGCTCCACAATGAACTCTTGTTCCGCTTGTAGTGCAATCTTTTCGTCCGAGTCCGACTCACTGGCGTGCTGGACCCTGGCGACCAGCTCGTTGATATGCTTCTGGAGATGAAATCCCAGCCGTGTAACCTCTGGCATTTTCTCTTCGATCATTTCGCGATAGCTTGGGTCTGAGTGGCAGTAGTCATTGAAGGTGCGTGCTATAAACGCCGACTCTGGAGTCAAATTGTCCCAGAAACCATCGTCAAACCTGACCGCATCAAGGTAGTCAGGTCGACCAGCCCAAAAATCTTTCATCGCCTCCCGAGCGACGCCATCCTCATTCCCAGTGTTCAACGTGTCGATTCTTTCTAGGAGTTCCAATAACGCGGGAATGCTCGGATCATAGAAGCCGACCTGAGCTTCCTTTTCATCCGCCGCCTCACTAGATTCTTCGGTCTCGGTCCTTGCGCAGTTCTCGATCCAGCATTCTCTGAAAAGACGGGCGGCGGCCCCGCGGACTCTCTCGTCGCGGTCTCTCAAGCCCCATCTCAACAACTTCTCCCGCATGGACAACGACAGATGTCGGAAATCGCCAAGCTTAGGAAGCAGTTTTGCGTACAGAGCACGCCTGGTTGGGGCATCACGATCTCTAGCTCGCTCGAGCAGATAAGGTAAGGTCTTGGGCGTAGCGGGAAGATTTACCAGGAGGGCTCTTCTGACGTCTGCATTAGTATCGTTTTGCAGGGCATCGAGGAGTTTATGAAGCAAGCCGGGGGCGTAATCCTCGTCGGAATCTTCCTCTTCTTCCTCCTCCATTTCACTCTCCACCAGGCGACCCAACGCCATCACTGCCTCCAGCCGTATGGCGGGAACCTTATCTCTCATTCTCTTGATCAGTTCGTGTCTAATAACTTTGTACAGATCGTCGTCGATTGCTTGCAAGACCCCGAGGATCTGGCAGGTAAGTTGGGTTGCTCGGTATCGGACTGTCTTGTCTTTGGCGCAGAGAAAAGGAAGGACAGCCAACAGGATGGTGGAGGAGATTTGATTTGAGATATCGTCGCTGACGAGGTATGTCGTGAGGAACTTGATGACGCGGGTTCCAGCTGCTTCGGATTTGCTGACGTCGAGGAGTCGGAAGACGCATTGTTTGACGTGCGCTTCAAAGTTTGGAGAGTTTTCAAGACGGCGCAGTCGTTTGGCCAGAGTTCTGTGACTGACCAGAGAGCGCTGGGCATCCGAAAAGATCTCGGCGACAGACATTGTCTCTCTCTCCCTCCCCCCTGGACCTGGGTAGATGTTTTGGATGAGATGTGGTTTTGCCAGAAGTTCAAGAAGCTAGATTAGGAAGAGAAGTAAACAAACCACAATCCCACCAATCAAAAACTGCTTAGTCAAGATCTCGGCAAACATTCTTGTCTAAGATCGGGCTACCTTCCTTGCTTCGTCTCGGTTGTCGCATTATTGCGCATTGTTATGCCACTTCCGGCCCCTCTGCCCTGCACGGGCCAAGACGGGCCTGCCACCACTGCCACCTGCCAACTCAAACATTCAGAATCCAACTCGTCAAAACTTCTAGCTAGAGGGACAGCGAATTTGAACAGTTTAGTGGCGCGCCACGCAAGATTTCAACGCACTTAACACGGAACATGCAGCAAGAAAGTGTTGGGCACCATCCGTTGACCTGATGAGTGGTCTGCTGCTTGATGCCACAACTGTGCAAAGGGACGGTTATGGACACTTTACTGTCAGGGTGCGCTGACGTACTTTGCAGTCCACATGTCCCTTGCAAGCAATGCATCTCGAGAGGGATATATGCTACGGACCAGGGATTGTCGGACACCGGGCCTGCGTGGCGGCGGAAGGTGGATACGAGACAGTGGTGCGAATGCCCATGGACAGGATCATTAGGGACGACAAGGATGTGGCTTGGGATGATGAAAAACTGACCATGGCGACCACACGCCGCTATCACTGGTCTTTGGGCATGGGCATGGACAGGTGGCAAGCCATGAAGCTTCTGAAGTCGAAGCTGAGAGTGCGGTTCCGTTCATCCTCCACAGCAGATGAAGCAACCTCGCAAAAGCTCTCAGACAGGCTGGGACATTATGCCGGGAGAGGTAAATTCAAGAGCAAGAGCTAGTCATGTACCCGTAGATGGGAAGAAAGAGTGACAATGAACTCTGGGAACAGATGTCTAGCCTGGGAAAGCATTCTCTATTCGGAAACTTAGCGTCATAGCTCAATTGTACAGAGTAAGAACTATGGAATGCGTAGGGTGGCAGATCCGTGACCTGCAGTGCATACTTCACAGCCTCACTAGCCATCATTCTTTGGGTCAAGGCAATTACCTGTAGGTAGGACATGCCGCCGGCCATGTTTTCATTGTACTACCTTATTGTCTACAAGTACTGCCATTACTGCGTGCCTGTCCATCAGTGATCTACAGACTATCGCCGTGCGTCATCCAACAAACCGTCGTTGGTGTCGTGAAAGAGATGGGCAGCTTAGGCTCGCGATCCCAGCGACCTGATCAGCAGGCACAAGCATGGGGTGAAGGATGGGTCAACGATCAACTCGAGGATCCTCAAGTGGAAATTTGGAAAATCTTTGTCATTTCAGTCCATCACTCACTTTGGCAGCTAAGGCTGTCTTGCGATCCTACAGTACATCCGATCTGTGCTTGTACAAATCAATCATGATAACCAGAAGAGTGGCGCGATTATCATATTAACATGCTCAATGCGAGGCATCCCGAGCATATCATCTATCAGGTGATGGAGCTCTCATCCCTTGAAACAGCCTTGTCGACCGAGACGAAGCTCGTTCAACGTCCATCGCTGATGAACTGCAAATTGCAGTCTGCCACCTCGTCGCCATTTGCGCCAGCATCTCGATCCAACACCAATGCTGCGGAAATCGGCACTGCCTTTCCCTTGGATTGACAGATATCACCGTCGAGGTGTAGTGACTCATGAACGATAACGAGACACTCTACAGCAGAAGACGAGTTGGGCTCCAAAGCGCAGCTGCGCCAGCAAATCAGCCATCGAGCCCACGGCCAGGTACCTGCTTCCATTGCCCCTAAGCGAAGACATACGTGAACCACAAGTTCTCCAAATTGTGAGAGAGCGCACATGAACTGCTGCACCAGCTACCATGCCTGCAATGTCCACAGTCTCCTCCGGTTGGATCGGTTCCATGCTGACCTCTTCCTCTTGGGGTGGTTACACAGAGAACGCAAAGTTCTTTTCTTCCGGGCCAGTGTGGTGGCCCTTTTGGCAGCTGATGCATGTCATAGTACTTTCCATCACGCCCCTGCTTCGGCCGTGTGCGTGTTACTGTACTCGGGGGGCATTGACGAGCCAAACCAAATGGTCAAGCGGGTCGACTGCTGTGATTAGGCTCATGTGATGGGTGGACTCGAGATTATGCACAAGGCCGCGTTCTTGAACAACGAATCACCAATGTTCCGAGCCACGTTGGGCACGAACTTCTGTCAGACAAACATTCTGACTCGATGAGCAACTGCATTTCAAAGTGAGGCAACCAAGAACGGCTGCAGCAGCGTGCAGACGCCCAATGGCCCGCCCACTGGAGTCCGTGATCATCGTCGTTGGAGAAGCTCATAGGCAGCCAATGGAGATCCGCTCACCGCTGTGTTGCGGATGGAACGATGGAGCTTGCGGGTCGCTCGCAAGGGGAGTTCGTTGAATTCGGCTGAGCCTGATGCAAGGGTTGACCCGCGCCCAGATACATCCGCAAGCAGTTGGCATGCAACAGGCGAATGGAACCCACGGGAGGTGGGCGCATCTAGGCTCAAAGAGTGCCTAGAAACAGGCGTCCGGACCGGGGCTTAGAGCGACGGGTACTTTCTTCTGCCCACAGGATCCTGGAAACCCCCCAAGATCAGCAAACGGACCCCTCTTCCCCCGGGGACGTGTTGCCCGACTTGTTTTGTCGTCAAGCTGGGCTGCCCAAGCGGCAGTCTACCGTCACTCTCTGGCACATGTTCTGTCAGAACTGCCATCCCCACGCTGTCTCGTGTTTTTTCTTGCCGTTCCTTCGGCGAAAAACCAGTCCTATAACACCCCGAGCCTGTCCCTCCTTTCTTCTTCCAAGGCTGTTTCTCACACGACTTTTGACACGCCCGTCACCGCATCATTTCACCTTCGTCGATCCCTTGTTAATTGGATTCCGAAGGCCTTTGTTATCTTATTCCACTTCTACTACCCTTCGAACATCAACTGTGAGTCTTTGAGTTTATCGGGGAGGACAAACTGACTGTCTGGGCCTCAATTGGCTGACCGAAACCTCAGATTGGCTCTTTGCCATTCTTCTTTTGGAGTGCCATCACCTTTTCAATTGGTCACCCCTTTGGTTACTTTTTGGCCGACAACATGGACTCTGGTGCTCATCAAGTCATCGAGCTTCTTCGGTCATGTCGTGCCGCATACGAACAGACAATCCAACACCTGTCGCCCGACGAGCTCGAACAGGTTTCCCGCTATTGGAACTCCATTAATGCTGAGATGAGGAACTCCCCTTCGACACACGAGTTTGGCACTTCGGTTCCCTCAAAGCGACCTGCATCCTCTGTGATGGTTGGTGTTATGGAGCCAGCGCCCAAACGTAGCGGCCATGTATGTACCCTCATTGACTGACCACTCTGCTTTGGTTGACGGACGAGAAAAGAAGGCAGCATCTTTGGCTTCTTTGGCTTCTTCGGCACCCACGACCCATTCACTCGAGCGACATATCTCAGCACCGCTTGGTCAGTCTGCCTCAAGGACCCAGCAAGGTAGACCTTCGGTTCGAATTTCCACCCTCCCCCAAATCACGACGACGACGACAACAACAACGACCACGACCAAGCCAATGCCCATCCCGCGGCGCAACAATTTGCAGCGAAGAGGTTCCACGGCCGGCTCCTACCCCAATCGATACATGGGACCCAACCTTCACTTCATTGAGGAGGTCCAGGATATGTCTCCCGCAGACTTCCTCGCCAAGTCACAGGATGACTATCAAACACCAACTATCTCGTTGACGCCTCCCATAGCTGTGGAGCGCGGTGAGTTCCACATCAACCAGATGTCTCAGCTCACGTCTCCGTATTCTTCAGCAATAGAGTCGCCAGGAGGAGTGTTTACTCCGATGACGGCCACTAGTGATTCGAGCGTGACGGCTCCGTCAACAGTGTTGTCGGAGCCCATGTCTCGAAGCAACACAAATGATGTTCTCTGTGAAGGCTTTGGGATGTTTCGCATGGACTCGATGTCGATGCCGAAAGATCACAAAGCCTCGCGCAGCATGATGGTCGATTCTCAGTATCCCCAGGATGCTGAATCGACTCAACAATTTCCTTTTTCCTCTTCTGTGGTTGGAACCGGTTTCGGTTACAACGAGTTTTCCCATTTGTCTTTTCAGGATGATGAGCTTCAGTCATCGTCGTCTCCTTCTAGTTTTGAGATGAAGAAGTCGCCTTCCTCTGGAAGCGATGCTTCATCTGTTTCTGTTTTGTCTCAGTCTCATTCATCGACGCGAGGGATTCCGCAGGAAGTCATTCCTCGTAGCAGTAACACAGTCTCACGACCTCTGGCTCCTAAGATGGAGCGTGCTCAGGAGGCATCGTTGCAACCAGTCGAGATGCCAGCACCCAGACTTGTTGCTGTTCAAGGAGCGGACGGTACAGTAAAACACAAGGCAGAGATCACACGCACAGTCCGACAACAGCCTCCACGTAAGACGACATTCTGTCAGTTCTGTAACGATCAACCCCAGGGCTTTCACGGCGATCATGAGCTTCGTCGACACATTGAGCGCCACCATTCCCAGGTGCGACGGGTTTGGATCTGCAAAGATGCCTCGACCGACGGCAAGTTCTTGTCGAATTGCAAGGCATGCCGCAGCCGCAAGACATACGGCGCCAACTACAACGCCGCCGCCCATTTGCGTCGTGCCCACTTCAACCCGTGCAAGAACCGACGTGGCGGCCGGGGCAAGAAAAGCGAGGGCCGCGGCGGCATGGGTGGTGGCAACACACCACCTATGGAGTTCCTCAAGCACTGGATGTACGAAGAGCTGGAACTCAACGTCAACGGCCGCGTGATTGTGCAAGACATCAATGTCCCCAACACGACCTTCCAGCCTGCAGTTGTCAACGAACATATCAAATGTGCCTCGAATGCCAACAACAACGGTGCCGAGAGCAATATGAGCAGTGCCAACTTCGAGCTTACCGCCGACAACGACATGCTGCAGAATGCGGGCATGCCTATGTTAGATCTCACCCAAGAGCCGCTGTTTTACGACAACATTCTTGCTGCCGAGAATTTTGTCAACAACGTCACCATGTCGATGCCCCAGGATGCAATGTACAACGCAAGTGGCTTTGTCTTCCCCGCCGAGGGCTCGAACTTTGGCTTTCGGCAGTTTTGAACGACGCCACGACTAACGACCACCGACACGAAAATGACGAAGCAACACAGAGGCAGACGTGGCTGTCGCATTCTATCTTTCATCCTCTTGTACATAGATGTTTGACTGTTTTCTTGCGGCTTTCAGACTGCACTTACTCTTGTCTTTCTGGAATGTACACGACCTTGGAGGCCGAGGAGGAATTTTTGGTATCGCGGCGGGTGGGACGATTCGGGTTGGACTCTTGTATGGATATTTAATGCTTGTTTTATTCTCATTCTTGAGTGACCTAGTTGATGAAGTGCTTCTTGTCATGAAGTGCAGCTTGCGCTATCTCGGGGATCATTGTGTTTTTGCACCAGTCAATCATTAGGGAGGGTCAGGTACTGAATTACAAAAGTTAGTGGTTTTTTTCCCTCTCTCTCTCCAGATCTTCTTTTGGTGTCTGAGAGCATTCCATCCGAGGAACACACCCTTGACACTTCTCTGCCTCATGGTAGGAGCTGCCGAGGTCGCTGTGAGCGATTTCGAGGCGCAATGAGTTCGCGCCACAAGGAGCTGGCGTGAGCCAACGCATAGGACATGTGCACTACTCCGAAGGTATGTACTTGTACTTGTAACAAGTAGTGCAGCTGTTGCGACAGCGTGGCTGGAGATTCAGACAGGTCTCAGCTGTTCATTTGCCTCTGGGATTCTGGATGTGGCTGAGCAGGTAGCCGATGGCGGGATGGGAGGGAGTGATGGGCGCTGGATGATGCATGGTTGAGGGTCGCAAGGGGTGGTCTTGGGTGGGTTCTTTTCAGCTGCGCCTGCGCGGGTTGCGCAATAAGGCAGTTGGAAGCAGGCAAACGAAAGAGTCAATCCAATGCGCAATAGCTGCTGGGAGGCGAAATTCGTCCTTGCCCACAGGATTCGAGGACGTGTGAAACCCGCATGGATACGGAGCACCTCGTACTAAGTATTAACCAGTACGAGGTATGCAGTATGTCAAAAGGCGAGAACACCTCTCTTTTTCTCGCTTTGATTCTCAAACACAATCTGTAACAGCACCCTTGAAGAACGCCAGCCCCCTTTATTCCGCAGAATCAAGGTCCCCCCCAAGTCCCACCGAGTGGGCTCCCCGGAGGCTCTACTCCGTACCCAGTACCCTTGGTTCTCGTTGCTAGGCTCGCCGCCCAAGCTTTTGTCAAGCAACTCGTGCCCCCGTCTGCCCTGTCACTCTGACCACTTGAGACCCTCTTCTTCTCTCTTCCACCTCCACCTCCACCTCAAATTGCATTGAATTCCAATTCATTCGTTTGCGAACAACTTCTCTTTTCTCGCAGTCGTCTCAAGCTCATCAACCCGTCCTTTCCGCCTACCTTTCCGCCTACCTTTCATCGACACCTGAGTTTACAGGCAACCACTGCCGCAATGTCCAGCCAACAATACTATCAAGGTGGTCCTCAGTACCCTCCTCAGAGGTGAGTTGTTCTGATTTCGAGACTTGTCTTCCTGCCAGACAATCATGTCGTTCTGCGCTTGAGACCTCACCTGGCGATGAGAAAGGGGCACAAACACGCACGAGAAGGAGCTTGCCTTCCTCCTGTGCCAGCGGTCTCGCACACCGTCACCGCAATTCTACTAGCATCACCACTTTTGCCCTTTGCGCAGTTCCGCTAACTCTTCTTCTCAAACAGCTACGGCGGAGGTTACCCGCCTCAAGGCCCTCCACAAGGCTACTATCCACCGCAAGGCGGCATGCCATACCAACAACCTCAAAACTATCCTCCACCACAGCCCGCACCTCGACAGTCGTCAGACCGTGGATGCTTGAGCGCTTGGTAAGAAGCATCATACCCCCTTCCGCTCGCGTTTGTGACGCCGGAAAATGGCGGCTGGAGACATATCGCGGCTAACACCATCTGGCAGTCTTGCTGCCCTCTGCTGCTGTTTCGTCTGTGAAGAGGGATGCGAATGCTGCGCCGACTGCTGCGAGTGTTTTGCTGAATGCTGCTAAGCGGTGACAATTGGAGAAGAGCATAGAGCGGTGTGGAATGCAAGATAGAGAGAAGACAATGAACGACGAGCGGGACGACTACTTAGGCACCGAAAACTCACACCCCGAGTTCCAGTATTTCCTCTACATCCGCCACCCTCAAGACACGATGCATGTAAGCCATGAATCAGTACGGCACTGGGCTCTCTGCTGCCGATAAACAACTCCAATAACGACTCTTCTGACGGGGATACGGCATGGTACATACAATGAGACGAGAAAAGCGTTTTGCGTTGCATGAGCTTTTGTCCCCCATTTCCTTTGTGGGCTGTTTTTCCGTCAGCTGTATATCTCTGCTTCGAGCAGAACGGCGGTAAGCGCAAAGGGAATGGGTCCTTTTGAACATGTTTTGTTTTTTGCGGTTTCGGTAATGCAATCAATATCAACATCTATTAAATCCTGCTGCGAGGCAGCTTTTGAACTTCTCCCGTCATCCGATCTATGTGCGCCTCGCCACGAAGGACCGACTTCAACATGGTTGCTTCCTATCGTGCTTTTTGGAACGGATTTCATCCCGCCCTCCCTGAGAGTTCTCAATGCCTTTCTCAACCTCCCACATTGCGCTGCTGACCAGGCATTTTGTGAGTTTTCACACCCTAAGGATTGGCTTCCTCGTTCCTCTGCTCTTCCAGAGAACCAGAACCACAACCTTTTTTTTTTTTTTAGAATATTATGTCATCGTAGAGGGCCGATATTGAGTGATACTGTTCACCCATTTCGGCGAGGCGTACATACCTCCCACAGCTCTGGTTTGCTTTTTGCCCGTCGGTATGGCGTCCTCAGGAGGCCAGGCATGCCCCCCGTCGAGCTGCGAAACTGAAGTCATTCACTCATTCCAGCGCGAGCGATGGCCACTGCAAGTGCTCTCTGTGGCGTGCCCCGAGAGTCTCTTTTGCTACAGACTGGGACATCATCACCACGCTTATTTCTCCGTTGCTATCACCCTATTCAGAAGCGATTCTCATATCATTCCTGACTCTCGTCTCTCGTCCGCTCGCGAAGACCAGAAAGCTGCGCACCAGTCTCCAAGCGAATAGAGTGTTCAAATATATCACCCAGAGTTGAGGTATAACGGGCCTCCAACCACTCCGACGTCAATTTGGTCGATCACAGGGGTGATATTCCACCAATATCAAGCAAGGTCAACATAAAAGGCAGGGCCTCAAGTATTCTGATTCATTCGTGGTATACAATATTAAAGACTCAGCAAATGCTCTGCCCAAACCGTCCAACTCGTGGCAATGACATGCGCCAATTCCTGGAGCCATCGTCATCCTGTGGCGGGGCCAGGTCCATCCCCAATGCTTGTGCAATGCTGAAGGCTTTTATATGTTCATTAATGATAGTAAGAAATTCGTCTTCATCCACGTCTCCCCGTCCCGTGTGGACCGCATGATATAAAAGGGACAAACATCCATCAGCAACAGGAGCCAAGTTCCGGGATAGACACTCAAAATCACTTCATTACTTCACCAGGCTGGCAGCCGCAGCAGCCGCAGCTAAATCAGATCTGTTCGTCATGCTCCTTTGGCCGACAGTCAGCCTCGTTAGACTCGGATTTGACGTCGACGAATTCATTGCTGCGTGTGACGCACGCTTGGCCTGTGATGTTCCTTGAAAAGTCCCTTGCATGGTTGATTGACGCCGCGGTCCCGCTTTGTTCGGTGAGGTCTCCTGCCGATTCGAGATTGGCGCTTTCAGAGTCGTTGGAGGTTGTGGTAGCGGTCTCGCGCCCACTGAGGCGGTCAAGGAGTTCCCTCTCTTGACGGGAGAGTTCACGGCAGATTGGGTGTTCCTCCTGGCCGTGCTCGAGCTCATTTTGATCCCAGTGATGAATTCATGCTTGTTCGCCTCATGAGGGGTCATTCTTCGTGCCGGATCCCACTTCAAACACTTAGTAATGAAATCTAGGAATGCTTCGTCGTCACATCTCAAGACTTGTCGTAAATCCTTGGAGCTCGGTCGCCTTCTCTTTCCCTTAGAAGATACCGTCAAGCGGGGTTTACCCATCGAATCGAAGAAGAGCTTCTTCCGGCTACTCTTCTCAATGAGATGTTTCTCCGGGGGACCAAAAACTTCCATGATACAAGCCAATTGCTCCTGCTCGTTCTCACCCGGGAAAATTGGATAGCCAGTGTAAAGCTCCGCCAGAATACAACCGACGCTCCACATGTCGATTGGCATGCCGTAAGACATTCCCAGAATGACTTCCGGTGATCGATAGAATCGGGATTGAATATAGGTGTACACTTTCTCGTGTTCAAGACAACTCGAACCAAAATCAATCACTTTTATTTCAGAATGAACGGGATGCGCGAGGAGAATATTTTCCGGTTTGAGGTCGCAATGGATAACCTTGTGGTGTTGCAGAAGGACCAGACACTGGAGAAGTTGTTTCGTGAATCGTCGGATCAGTTTCAATGAAAACCCCCGGAAATCGTGAGCTTTGATGAATTCGTACAGGTTCATGCCTAGAAGATCAGTGGAGATGCAAAGGTGGCCGCGGAAATAGAAGCTTTGATCAAAGTTGACGACGCTGTGCTTTTTGTGAGGATCCTGATGTTGGGTTAGTGATCGAGAGCATCCAACAGTTCGTCCTCTTGACTTACCCACTCCTTGAGCTTTTGCAGAATGTTCACCTCTACAAGAGCCTGTTGATGGAATCTCTTCTTGTTCCGAATGATCTTTACTGCAACGAGGATTCCAGTCTTGTGATCAACACATCGCACAACCTGTCCAAAACTGCCTTTACCAAGAAGGTCAACAACCTCATACCGGTAGGCCAGATGATCCCCTTCAACGATGTTGTAATCTCCACGTTCATCATCATATCCAAAGTTTGTGGAGGTTGAGCCCAAGTCTCCCACAATTTTTCGGGCGTTCAGAGTCCCGGTGAAGTATATGTCCGGGAAGTCGACAATCTCGCCTCGCTCAAAGATATTCAACTCAAAAATGCGCGAAGCGGTGACGTGGGACATACGAGTGGCAGGCCTGGCTCTGGCCCGAAGGTTGTCTAATTCCCGTGCAGCTGATTCAAAGTCTTTTCTCTTCGAAGCAAGCTTCTTCATCTCATCTTCCGCAATCAGATCATCGCGGTCCAAAGGTTGTTCCTGTTGCCGTTGTGGTGGAGGTTTGTGAGCAACAAGATGAGGTGTGCTAGTTGATACACCTGACCGGTTCGAATTAACCATGAGAGTTCTCCCAAACTCAAGTGACGGACGACCGTTTGATGCAGTACTATCGAAGCTCTCTTGCCGTTCGGGACCAGTATGCGTACTTGAGGTAGATGTCTGTCTCCTAGACCTGAGATACGACGGTCGTTGAGGGCTTGCAGCACCAGCCTGGGTATTTGTCCAGTTTGCGGATGCAGGAAGCTTTGGCGGAGGCATGTTGTCATATTTGGACAAGTCATCATCCTGTATTACCCCTTCTGGCAACTTCGATTCGCTCCGTTTTCGACTCAATTTCCTCCGGAGGGAAGTTGCGGAGAACACAGAATCGCTTTCAGTTTGCTTCTCCGCTGGACTTGGGACAACTTGAGCTTCAGCTTTTGGTGTTACCGAGAAGCTGGGAGCACGAGGTCCGTTTGGTCGCGGCTGACTTGGGTTCCTATTCAGCTCGTTGGTGAAGTTGGGTCGCATGTAATTCGAAAATTCATCATTGCTCTTGGGCAAGGATGAAGATACAAATGGGGAAATTGTCCGTGCTTTGTCTGTTTCAAACGAGAATACCGGCAAGCTCGGACTGATATCGCTGGGCGGCCGCATCTCATCCGTCCGTAGAGCATGGTGTGAAGTGCTACTCCGAATTGTCGGACCCTCGTCAGCAGGTTTATGTCCCCTAGAAAAGAAACTTGCTTTGGATGCCGTCATAGGTGTACTCGGCGTTTTCATAGTGTTGCGAATTCCAGGTGGTGTCACAGGAGGCTCGCCAGAATCAGACTTGGTGTTAAGGGACCTGATCTTCGCGGAGGTAGGTGTGCTCAAGGGCAACAGGTTCAATGGCGGTAGCCTAAGTGTCTGAAGCGATTTCTTATTCGCTTTTGCCTGTTGCTGCGACTGTGGATGCTGCTGTAGTTGCGGTTTTGGTTTAGGCTCGGGCTCGACTAAGGGAGGCTGGAGCTGAGAGGCAGAGTTGGGCGACGACGAATTGCTAGACGCGCGAGGCGTCTCTAGCGCCTTCATCGCATCAGCCACAGTAGAGACCACCGGACTGGCAGAGATAGCCCCATCAAAGGGTGGTAGACTGGAAGACCTAGCCGAGAAGAAGGGTTGATCAAGTTCACTTCCAGGAGACTCATAAGCTTTTGGTATGGCGGGGACTGGCGGCACTTCCAATTCGTAGTTTGTGGTCGTGGAAATATCAAGTCTGGGTTTCGCTGTAGGCAATCTTGACGAGTTGACCGCCTGCGGAAGTCTGGCAGGGTTGGTGATAGTGTTTCGGACAGAGCTATAACTGGTGTTTGACGATAAAGATTGACCTGAGCTGTAGGACTTTCGATTGGGATCTGGAGTGGTCCTCGAAGATGATGGCGTCAAGCTCTTGCGATTCGGAATAGCGGGAGACTGTAGATCGGACTGAGGAAGCTGGGGCACGGGCTCAGGTTGCGGAGTTGGAGGAGCCTGGGAGATCCGGCTTTGAGGCAAGGGCGGTGCTGGGGGCACAATCGACATTCGTTTCATGCGTCGAGCATCGGTCGGGCTGACGGTACGAGCTCCTAGCCCGGTCGCATGATGGGGCATAACTGAAATCCGACGGTTACGGTCAGCATTTCCACCTGGAGTGGTTGTTCTGCCGGGCGTCCCGCTCCTTCGCGTAGGAGTGTGGTGAGCTGCAGTAGAAGTTGACCGCGATGGATCTGGTGTCCTTGAAGGTGTAAGCAAGTCTTTGGAGTTTTGTCGTTTAGGTGCTAATGATGCCCTTGATTTGGTCGTGCTTGTCGTCTTTGTATCTTCCGCACCGCTTTCTTCTGATCGGCCAGACAAATGTTTCAGGGACAAGTTCTTGCCGCCTTCCGTACTCGACTTCCTTCCACCCGCGCTTGGTCTTCTCCTCACCGTTGACCTCTCTGAATTATCTGGGGCGACAAAGGTGCCTGGGCCCACGGATTTTCTCGGTGCTTTGGGAGCACCATTTGCGTTATTGAACGAATTGGGCGGGAAATGGCTTTGTCTTCTACCTCGAAGTATCGAAGTTGTGGCAGTGGCCATAGAGTCGGATTTGACCGAATTCCTCGAGTTATTCGAAGCTGTAGAACTCTTACGGGTCACTGGAACCACCCCTGATCCTTTTCGAGATGGTATAGGAATAGTTGGTTGTGAGACTACCTTCTTTTGGTCGGGTGCAGATGTCTCAGATGGGGGAGGAGCTTTGACCGTTGTACTTCGGCCAGGGAGAGGAAAATGGTTCAAACTGGGTTCGGTGCCAACAATCGTGTCTTGGAAATCGTCGAAGTTGAATGTCGGCTCAAGGAAGTCCCCAAAATCCAACGAGCCATCACGTTCGACTCGCGTTGGAGGTTTTGCCTGTATAGATGCAAAACTGAATCTGGAAATGTCGTTGATGGATAGCTCGTTGGTATATGGATCGTGGGAAGCAACGGCGGAGGCGCCTCGCACAGACTTAAACTGGGGAGTCATTGAATTGCTGGCCGACCTAGGACAGAGCAGGCGCGTGTTAGCTTTCAACGTGGCTATGGACAGAAACTGCGATGCCCACCTTTTCCCGAGGCTACCATAGTCCAAGGGACGTGGACCCATTGGGGCTTTTGCGGCATTGGGGATGGACGACTGTCTCCTACGAGTTGTCGTGGCATTTTCACCAGAGTCGCGCTTAGTGGTCGCTGTCGATACTGTCATGGAGGCGGCCGGGAAGGAAGAGGGCGGCTGCTTCTTGGAGGAGGGAAGAGTGTCGACTCCCGCGACGGTGACTGCATTGTCACGCATAGTCAGTTGGGGTCCATCTGCTGCAGGCATCCAGTGAGATTGCATCAAGTTCGTACCACCACTGCTATCCACGTCGTCGGGCCTCGTGTTACTAGCCCTCGCACTGCCTGACTGTGTAGTTGCAGATGCATTCTGTCGGTAAGGCATGGCGAGAGAGGTGCCACGGCCCCTGTCCCGTCTCTTTCACATACAGTGTTCCCGTCCTTCAGTGCCGGAGCCTCGACATTGCAACACCAGCCTGGTGTTCAGTCCATGGGGGATGGTAGAGATAGTTTGCAGCGAGAGTTGCAAGTCAGATCGACCCTGTCGCGACCTCGTCTGAGAAAATGGACCAGGGTGTCCGTCTTGGTGGGTAGACTACAACAGTTCGACGTGGTGGACGCGTGCTTTGGAATGTCGTCAGGGGAGGATTCCGAGCAGCCGGATGAGATGGGATCAGATCAGAGAGACAAGCAAGAAGGGACCCTGGCTGAGGGCGGTTTCAAGATACAGATGCTAAAGGACGCTGAGAGGACTTGTTGTCTGTCCAGGGTCGGGTGTCTGATGGGAAATCTTTGATGTTGCGGTGACAATAATCAAACTGCCAAAAAGCGACCCTCCCAGACCTGGCTCGACAAAGAAACAGCGCAGGTCCATCCGTTCTGGGCTTGCGAAGAGGACCCAGCAAGTGATGGAGCTGGACAGGGGTTTGGGGGGGCAGCACCCATGGCTACGGTGACCGTGTGCCTGAGCTGGGCTCGCCCTAAGGCCTGATAAGGGCATCTAAAAGTTCTACGGGAGGCGATCCCCAGTGGCACCGGTGGAGGAGCCAAACGGATTTCCCACTATAAGGTGTGGCTTTCCTGCATTGGGTGTGCTGCAGAGGCTTAACGGGTCCTAGCAGCCCTAGCAAGCCCTAGCTGGCCAGGTGGATGCAGAGATTGGCCGCCAAACAAAACCGTCCACTAGCATGGCCATCTGCTGGGCAATCAACCTCTGCAATCTCGTCTCGAATCGATCCGCGGCCATGGTTAATATTAAGCAAGTTAAGTAAAGTCCTTGCAATGGCTTCGCTACACATCTGGTGAAGCCTCAGCATCGTGGGAAATCCCGGGGTTCTCGGTGCGGTGCAAGGATATGGATAGGGGAGCGGGATGCACGCTGCCCGGGTATCGCGACAAAAGCCAAACTGTGTTTCGTATCACGAGGGAGCCAGCATCACCGTCTTAGCCACACATGACGGGAGCCACGTGTGGCGGAGGCATCACGTGCCATATACTCCTCCACCAGTTCGTTCAAACACTGGCTTGACAACACCGACCAACCTTGCATCCTTTGACTTCCATTCGACCATCACACGACCCCGTGAAACATGGTTCTGTCTGCGAGTCAATTCTGACCATCATCCAGAATGACAGCATAGGTCCAAAACAAGAGAATACTCATGATGGATGAATACACAGCCGAAGCCTTCGCCAACCGCGACGAGCCCCTACCGCTCATCGCCGGCTCTCCTGGCGATGTGGACGGCTCGTCCTCCGAAGCAGATATCGCAAGCCAGAGGCAGAAGTCGAAGAGGGCCCGGCCGCCTTCGCGCCTGAACACTCAGCTTCAAGAGAGCGCCACTTCTCCGCCCGAGAGAAACGAAGCCACTCCCCTTTCTGGAGGGAGAATGTCTCTTCAGGATCGCCTGTTTTCAAAGTATGAATCTCCTTTCGCTCGCCAACTTCTTTCCCAATGGCCCTGCACGTCTTTTTGAGGGAGGTGAAGGATTTGAGTTGTCATATAACGAATGTTGATCAATTCCCCTTAGAGTCCTTCAACAAGTGGTCCCAACCGATGATGGTCATGATGACCCGTCCTCCACTCCAACGCACCTCCACTCAAGCGCATCTGTTTCTCGCCCGGCATTTAGCCTGCCATTAATGACATACAACTTCCGCCGCTTCAACGCCCGGATCGGTATTGTGTTCGTCTTCCAGTACCGCATCAACCGCCTCCTCACCTGGCGGAAGCCCACACACACCTTATCTCTCCTAGCAACATATTCATTTATCTGTCTCGACCCGTATCTCCTCATTGTGGTACCGCTGGCCATTGCATTATTCCATATCATGATCCCGGCGTTCACCTCTCGCCATCCACCGCCTCCCAGGTCAACAATCAGCAGCGCCAACATGACGACAGAATACCATCAAGCCTACACGGGTCCAGCCCTCGCCCCCGCCGCCGTCATAAAGCCTGCCTCTGAAACCTCAAAGGACTTCTTCCGCAACATGCGTGATCTGCAGAACAGCATGGCCGACTTTAGTAACGTCCACGACTGGCTGGTGGCTAATGTCACGCCGGCGACGAATTTCTCGGACGAACGGTTTTCCTCCCAACTGTTTTTGTATCTCATCATCCTGACCACGCTATCCTTCATCACTGCACACCTGCTGCCCTGGCGATTAATTTTCCTCGTCTTGGGATGGGCTGTCATCATCTCCTCCCACCCGAGGGCACAGGCTTGGTTATTGAAAATGCAAAAACAAGCTGAAGTTGAAACAACCCTCGCCCTTAATGACCCTAACCTGAAACACCAAAAGTACATCCACGGCATTCCCCTCCCCGCCACACCATATGCGATCCAGTCTGCATTCACTACATTCTCTGAGATTACCCTGTCAACGACGCCAGAGACAAGAGAAGTCGAGATCTTCGAGCTACAGCATCGCCCCTTGGCCAGTATTGCTTCTAGTGACAAAGCAGCCGAATGGCAGCCCCACCTCTTCACGCCTTCTCCCTATGACCCTCTCTCCCCAGCACGAATTGCAGGCGACAGGCCAAGGGGGACGCGGTTCTTCGAAGATGTCGAACCGCCAGAGGGATGGGAGTGGGCCTCCAAAAAGTGGGAGTTAGACCTCGAAGCTGGGGAGTGGGTCAATGAGAGACTCGTTGTGGGCGTGGGGTACGATGTTCTCAACCACGACTCTCAAGATATCGATGGGCTATTGTCAGCCCAGGCCGCTTCTAGGCCCGGAGACTACGGAAAAGATGGCAACAGAAATGACAGTGGTACGAGATTGAGAAGAATCACCACAAACCGAAGAGAAAGCATCAATCTCGACTTTGGCGGGTGGGTATGGGATCTCCCACCGCCTCCCGGGTCCGGGGTTAACAGAGATGATGACCTATGGCTTGCTTACGGGGATTATGATGTTCCTAGAGTAGGTGTGCAGAACAATTCCAAAGAAGAGGAAAAGGCGAGGAAGAAAAGGGAGAAGGAGCGGGAAAAGAGGGACAAGAAGGATAAGGGTGGCGCGGTGAGGGATTGGGAAGAGGCAACGAGGATGGACAATCGAGGGAGGACCGGGGAATGGAGAAGAAGACGCTGGGTGAGATTGGTCAAGAGGAGAGTGGCCGTCTGACCTGGGTTGGCATGATTAGAGTAATGACTGACAAGAGGACACGAATAATATGAGCGACAATATCCCTCTTACCCTCCAACTTATAGACAACCTCTCTCCCTTAAAACCTACTCCATGTTAGTGAATAGACTTGGACTGGCCAGTAAATTCAACTACGAGGAAGACGCAAGAAGAAGAGACGATGTCCAGGTAAAATTCTCTTCTGGATTTGTTTGGGTCAGATACCATGTGGATGTTTGACAAGCTCAGAAAGCTCTCTCTGCGGCTGGCTAGCTAGTTATGTGATCACGAAGACGGTCATTCCGTCCTCCACCGTTCCATCCAGCTAAGCGCAGCCTGGTGCAGGCTGGAGGTTTACTGTTGTTGCTGCTGATCTTGTCGTATGATGTGGATCTGTGCATCAAAGGCGCCGTCCCTGTCCATGCTTGCTATTTCCATGTTCATGTCTTCTTTACTGATGTGCCCGCCATGACTAGCTAATGTTTCCAGTAATCCATGCAGCCCCCATGCCGTAAGTGCATCTTCACCTTGTGACACATATCACCCAGCAAAGAAGAAATCTTTCATAGATGGCCTTCTGGAATTGGGGTGGCTCCCGAGAATGCAGGTTTCTTGGACCGAGCCAAGCAAGTGAGTAGCATGTCGTCGTGGGGCATTCAGTTCTGTTCCCGAATAAAAATCTCCTTGATGCAACTCTTGGGTAATGTGATGTGAGACGATCTGCGTAAAAGATTGTATGGTTCAAACCACCATCTTCTCGAAGTGAATTGCCTCCTTTCCTTCGTTGCCTTTGTTCCTCAACATTGCATCGGTCTCTTTCCCTTCATTTACGCCACTGCCCATGGAATCAATTGCGCTGAGCTCACGATCGATCTCCGTTTTGCCATGCGCGGCATCAAGCATATAGGAAGAGGGTCGCGAACCAGCAGAGGTACAGCTGTTGGTCAAGGTCGCAGCGCTGTCGGCAAAGGCAGGCTTTGGCGGCATGGAGTTCGGGGGCAGTGGTGAAGCCTTCTGTGCCTCGGCGTCGTCGACGGTGGAATTGACGGTCATGAAGAGTGAGCCGAGGGGAAGCATCACGTAAACTGACGGGAGGAGCATGATCTCCGGGTGCAGCATGCCAGTCTGCACGGGGACGATCTGCAGGATGCAGAAAATGACTGCCATAACTTTCAGTGAGGGAAGACGATAACGGGAATGGAATCACTTACATGGAATGACGAAAGACTGGACACACAACAAGCCGATGAGATTCAATGCTGAAGCGTAAGCGCTGCTTCCGGTGACGATCGAAGAAGGACGCTTCCAGACGATATCAAACACTGAGGCCATGGAGACAAGGCTGAAGCTTCCAATGCAAATGGTATAAGCGGCCAAGTAAGCGATGCGGGCATTGTAAGCTTTGTTGAGGAAATCGTAGATTTCAGCCCCATCCTTGCCAAGCTGCAAGATCTGCTGGATGCTGTATGCCATGGCAGCGGCGAGGCCAGCCACGGAGGTGAGGATGAGGTAGATCAACATTACTTTGTAGACGACTGGGTAGCGCACTTTGATTCCGGTCATCAACCCCTTGGCCTGGAGCCAGAGACAAATGGCAGCAAAGACGAAGGCAAACCATCCTGTGACTTGGCTAGCGGCGAACGTGGCAGTGAAGTCAGTTGTCCAGATGCTGTCAGTAAAGTCGAGGGTGAGGAAGGTGTAGGCGGAGGAAGACTGGAGACCAGGAGTGAGAGCCGCGACGATATCAATCATCAACTTGATAAGCATGAAGACCAAACCGATGAGCATGAAGGTGTGGAAGGGGGTGGTTCTCTTGCGCGTCGGGGTGAGGGCGAGCAGGTAGACCAAAGTGGCCCAGACCAAGCCGGCTGCGATTCCACGGTTGGTGTCATAGTTGATGTTGATGTTGTTCCAGGTGTCAATCAGGCGCCAGGTCACCTTGTTAAAGGGAGCAGCAGGATAGGTTGGGACAGTGAAGGCCTCGTCGTAGAGGGCACCCCCAACTCCCGCAGTTGGCAAGCTACCAGCAGCGACAAACGCCGGAGTAGCCATGGCGATTTGGACGCGAAGGTAGCGATACGACGGCAATGGGAGACTCGCTGTCGTTTGACGATTGAGAAAGAAATGGAAATGATGTAGAAGAGAACGGAGAGGAAGTGATATTGATTGTTGATGAGGAGAGAAGAGTGGAAGGAAGAAAGTTATGAAGGAAAAGTGAGACGCCTTGACAGTGTTTTTTTATTTATTTTTTTTCTTTCTCTTTCAGCTGGGAATTAATCCAGAGAGGGAATAGACTAAAGCAGACAGGTGAGGCAGAAAAGAAGAAGGGAACTGAAGTGAAGTCGAGTCAAGTCAAGCAAAGGTGAGATGAAAATGAATGAAATGGTTTCCTCAACTTCACTTGTGGCTCACATTGGTGTCCTCTCCCGCCTCTAGCCCTGCTCATGTTGCTAGCGTCAGGCATCATTTCCTGGTGGCTAGCATCTTGTCCATGGTCCAGTGTGTCTCAAGTCCTCATCATTATCTTCCGTCTGACAGCGAGATGAGGCCCAGAAATCAGAGACGCCGAGAACAATACTAAGCGCTTAGTATTGTTCTTTCCCTTCACACAGTAGCTCCCTCCCAATGTCCTCATCGAGATCCAGCTCAGTTAGGACTCACGATCCTACCACATTCGAGGCGAAGAGCTTGATGTTGTGCTGAATGTGATGTTCAATTGCAGTACGCGCAGTGACTTTAACAGGAGGCATGTTCACAGCATCGAAGCGCGAGGTCAGGGAGACGTCTGGGCTCCTCTATGGACCACCGTATTGTGCACATGGCTCGGCTTTACCCCTTTTCGGCGCAAACCAAGATGAAGCCACCAACCAGCCTGGCGAACCTAACTCCCATCTTCAGCATGAACCAGACTAAGGGGTGATGACCTGTTGCTCGCTAGCAACGTCAATGAATGTATTCCCTGTTTCACTCGCTGGCTCGCTGGGACGCGTGGAGTGAGATGAGTGGCTTCATACAACACAGGTAACCGCAGGCCTGCTTCCCTACCTAGGTAAACACGGGCGGGGGTCAGAATGTTCTGCCCGAAGCATCGTTTAAATACGAGATAGCTCTCTCTCTCTCCAATGTACTTGAGAAGGGTTATCAGTAGATGGGGGGCATCCAGTTCTGTCAGTCAAAGCATTGTGCAGTCCAGCTCTTGTTGCTGCCAAGCTCATCATAAATTGACTGCTCACCTCCAACTCACCACCCACAGAGCCTGCTTTCTTGAATGCCTAAACAGCACCGCTCCATCAGCGTCTGGTCCCTCTCCATTCTGTTGTGTCATGTGTTAAGTCCAGTGTCTAACGCCTTGTTTGAGTTGAAGGAATGATTGCCGTATCTCTCGTCTACTTCACAGCTGCCGGTTCCGAGGTGCTCACAAAACTGCCAATTGAAGGCGAATGCTCAACTTTTTATCTTCCAAACAACCCGCTGGAGGATCTCATGAGCCTGAGCTCTGAGATTGACGAGCACCATTCAAATCTCTGCCTCGGTATGACCAGGCCGCGTGGTTCTTCAATCAGAACTGACCGCCTGTCCCAGAAGTCCACCATAACTTCGTCCTGCTCCGCACCTTCAACAACACCGGCCCTTGCTCCGTGCTTGATGGCGGTGGCATTGACATTCAGTTGCCTCTTTCCACCGCCCCTCACCACAAGTCCACCATCTTGTGCTCGGACGTTCATTTCTTGGGACCTTCCGGTCGTTGGGTTATTCGCTGGGAAGATGTGGACGGAACAGACCCGAATTCCATGAGACCTCCACCCCAGCCACTGGCTACTGAACATGTTGAGACATGTTCAGCAGCTGAAGAGCAGCTGCAGAGCCCAGTTTGTGCAGAGATAGTGGTCAAAGACGCAGGCGGTCAGGGCCAGTCCAGCGAATCCACGTGCTCGCCAACTCCATCACCAGCCCACATGGAGGATGGGGACGAGATTCCTGTAAACGAGAACCAGAGACTCGAAGAGGTTTCCGGCGACTACAGGGTCCCAGACACGGCCCAGGACATGGTCCATACCGGGGAACAAGATCCGGCTCAGAGCCAGATGTTGACTTGGATAATGATCAACTTACGCCAAATGTTCATTAGCTGCGGAACAAGAGGCTATGCCAACTGAATGCTTGCCTGGCCCTACTAAAGGGGTTTCTGTACACCTTGGTCACTCTCTGTCTGCAGGAGACAATTTGCCACCTCAATCAAGCTCCTCTGACACTCAAGAACGGGGACAAGGGACAGACGACGCCACAACTCCATTAGCATCTGAGCAGCGAAGGAAAAGGAGAAAACTCACCGAGATTGAGTCCACCGACTCGAGCCTAGAGACCGCCGACGCTGAATTTAGTATATCGGATGATGGTGTTTCAATGGATGGTGTCGTGGTAAGCATCGGTTCGAATAAGAAAACGTACGCGGGGGCGAAAAGAAATCAGACGACAAAAGTACCAACTGGGCGGCCACGAGCTCACCCACAATCCGCAGCAAAAAATGCAACCCCGGCCGGCAGCCTCTCAAATGAGCAACCGCCCCCCAAAAGACGACCGTCTAGGCGAACGGAGTGTTCCTCCTCGGGAGAATATTCTGATGCTCCCCCGGTGGTCATCTTCAGCGGCAGTCCCAGCATTCAAGAGAAAAGGACTGTAATGGCCACGTTTGAGCGCCTCGGAGGCAAAGTGAGCACATCGATAAACAAAGCAGCAATTCTCTGCATTCCAGAAGGCACTCCGAAGAAGACCGGAAAGTTGATCATGGCTGTGGCCATGGGAATGGATATAGTGACAGAGAAATGGTTTGTTGATGCCCATCGACTGGGAAGATTTCCACCTCTTGAGGAGTATCTGCCGCTGGATAGATCTCGGGAGGGGCAGTGGGGTTTGAATCCAAAGGAGGCAGTTCGCAGGGGCAAGAACGGCTTGACGCATTTGCTTTCCTGGATGACGGTCTTTCTCACGAAGCAGCTCAGAACAGACTTGGGAAACCTGGAGCGGAAGATTTCTCAGATTGCCACCATTCTGGGTGCAGATGCAGTGAAGCATCGCCTGCCGGCTCTGAAAGATAAGGGGAAGTTCAGCGAGGCCGGTGTCCTGATCATCGGAGTGCCTGGTGACCCCCAGGGTGCTCACATTGGAAGGTTGGGCCTCAAGCTTTTCCACAAGGATATCTTGACTATGGCTGCTCTGAGAGGCCGAGTTGAACGAGAGTCCGCAGATTTCAAGATCGAAGTGCCCATCAAAGACGAAGATGGAGACTGACTGACCAGCGTGATGGAAGCAAAGGGGTATCGACACAGCGGATGGAAATGCAATCCTGATGGTCAACAACTTGTTCCGCCGTTCACTCGCTTGACTGTTGACTCAATGCGGATGTCCCGGGAACAGCGCAGAGTACTCCGTACTACAGGCGGAGCACTAACCGATTTTGTGATTGTAAACGCGGGCTATTATGTTGAGCCCCTTTTAAAGGGTGCGTCTCTGACGGTGGTGACAGGGAGTTTGACTTATGACATGTAGGACGATGCCAAGAAACCAGGAGCCCCTTCGACCGCAAATAAATTCCGAAGTTGGTTGTTGAATCTCCGCGAATCCGCGCCCAGGTGGTTTTCAAAATCGACATCAACGGTCCAGACGGGCATGCGAGGAGGAGCATATTTCAATCATCGGTCGACAACGCTGCAGATCAAAGAATGATGAAATGGAGCCAATGCATGTCTGTATATCCGGTCTGTTGACGATGCTCTTTCTCTAAGACTGGGGACTCAAAACGTCGACAGAGCTGCCCGATATTTCCGCCTCGTTTTCCGTCGGTCTTCATGTGGCTCAACTTGAAACACTCCTCTCTCCTTCCTAAGATCAGATATCGCTCAACCCTTTATACCGATCTTTCTAGCGTCAATATCCTCCTGAAACAGGCGGCTGAGCTTGCATGCCCATTTCGCAACCTCCTAGCTTCTGGACTTTCCCCACATCGGCCCAAGGCTGGATACCCTTCGCTTCCTTTCGCCTAAACACCCCTTGCACTATGGTACAACGTCGTTGCACGTTTTTCTTCATTCTTAAGTATGAGAAGTTCATTCCGCCCCATCCTTCCTAACTTGTATTGGAATATCACGATGCACCCCCGGGGCTAGTATCGAGCGTCTCTTCAGATTTGGGCCTGGGTGCCGTCAAGCGCCTTGGTACCAGTAAGCAGCCGCTTGAGTCGGAGTGGAACAGGCACACGCCACTTGTACAGCTTCGCATATCTCTGAAGCTTGTGATCACGCAAAGGCCCAGCAGGATCTGGCTTGTGCACTCGAAAAGGTAACGACTGGCATTTGCCCGCAATTTCATACCGTCAAGCCCTTGACACGATGACGGCGCTAGATACCTCGGCGGTTCTGGTAAGGAGTACGGAGCATATATAACTTATATCATGTCCTTGCTCCCTCAGGTTGGCTTCTTGATCTTCTTTCATTGTTATTCGACATCGTCCTTTGTTCGCAACACATTCGTTTATTGGCTCGAGAGTCGGAGACCCTCGCCGTCCATTCTTTATTCGCTGTGCGAAATTGTCGTACATCCAGTCCTTTGTCAGAGCCACTCTTTTATAGCATTCAGCAGTCAATCATTCCCGGAACCTTGACTTCAGTTCCAACTCGGCTGCAGTCGCACCAAACCGCAAGATGTCTGCTCTTCTCACGACCGGTCTTCTGGCCGCTCTTGCCGTCTCGCCGGTATCAGCCTTCTGGCGGCTACCGTGCAAATCTCCCATTGTCGTTGAGCGTGCCGACCCTATTGTCAATCCTGGTGCCGTGTCCGGCCACTTGCACACGATCATGGGGGGAAACGGGTTTGATTTCACTATGGATTATAACTCAACCCAGCGGTCTACTTGTTCTTCTTGCACAGTCATTGGAGATTACAGCAACTACTGGATCCCAGCCTTGTTCTTCCAGCACCAAAATGGGACTTTCGAAAGTGTCGACCAAGTCGGCGGCGCTACTGTGTACTACCTACAGCGGGCTGGCAAGGGAGAGACGTTGAAAGCTTTCCCTCCAGGCTTCCGTATGATTGCCGGAAATCCCTTCAAGCGCACTGGAGGTGACGATTTCGCAACCCAGGCCATCAGCTATAACTGTCTCGACTACAATGGCCCAGCCAAGCCAGAAACACCCAACTTTCCCAACTATAACTGCCCCAATGGGCTCCGATCCCAAGTCTTCTTTCCATCTTGCTGGAATGGAAAAGACCTAGACTCTCCAAATCACAGCTCTCACGTCTCTTATCCCGCCAATGCTTACAACAACGGTCCTTGCCCCGCCGATTTTCCTGTTCATCTTATCTCCATTTTCTTCGAGATCATCTGGGACACTGGAAAATTCGCCGATCAGTGGTACGGGAATGAACAGCCATTCGTCTGGTCCATGGGTGACCCCACTGGTTATGGTGGCCACGGTGACTTCGTCATGGGCTGGGATCCAGATTTGCTCCAATCTGCTGTCGACCAATGCACCAACGACAGCGGCCGTGTTGAGGATTGCCCGGTTTTCGACCTCATCCCTGACTCTCAAGCCGAAGGCTGCCGTATTGAGCCCCAAGTCGACGAGCAAGTCAGCGGTCTGCTCACAGCCTTGCCTGGTTGCAACCCTGTTCAGCCTGGCCCTACTGCAACTCCTCAATCCGGCTGTGGCGCGACCACCACCATCACTCCATCCAACACAACTTTCTTCACTGACCTGACCAGCAAGGGTTGGGAATATATGGGATGTGGAACCGACAACTACTACAACCGTATTCTGACTGGTGCAAGCCAGTCCAATGGTCAAATGACCAATGAAAACTGTGTTGCTTTCTGCGAGAGCAAGGGCTTTTCTATCGCTGGTTCGGAGTATGCTGACGAATGCTATTGTAAGTGCTCACCATTCTCTTCAGAAGTTGAACTGCTAACACTTTTCCAGGCGGGAACTCCATTCCCGATAGTGGCAAGCCCGTTCCTGGTGTTATCGGCGCCTGCACGATGAAGTGCGCTGGCGACAACTCCGAGTTCTGCGGTGGTGCAGGAACTATCTCCCTTTACCAGAAATGCTCTGGCGACTCATGCAAAAATGCTCAGTTCGGCCCTGGCTCCTCAGCCCCTGTTCAAGTTGCCAATCCTCCGCCAGCTGCCTCGTCCTCTTCTGCTCCTGCTCCTCCCGCTGCTCCTTCAACTACTTCCTCAAGTGGTCCTTACACGGCACCCAGCTCTCCTACCACGCTCGCAACAGTCACGACCACCAAGGCCGCGGCCCCCACAGAGTCATCCAAGTCGGCGCCAGCCACGACAGCTTCGGTAAATACAGCTTCTACTTATCTTCCCCCCATTGATGAAGATGATGGCAGCGGCGATGACGATGATGCATACTATACCGAGTCCGGCTCTGTTTACCCACCCGTTGCTACCTCCTCGGCGGGGGGGTCAGTTGCCGCTGACGCATCCAGTTCCCCTGCCTCAACAACTGCCACTCCCGCTTCCAGCACCACTTCTCTTCGATACCTCTACACCTCTACATCCTGATTCTCTCCATCGTCTACTATTCCCACTGACGCCGCTTCTGTGCCCCTTTGATCTGATCCCCATCCCCGCTTTCATTTCTCACATTTTCCAATTTTCTATCAAATTTATATCGGAGGTCCCGAAGGAAACCAAAAGGTAAACCGAACATAGACAATCTAACAGTCTGCAACTCTAGCCCGCTGGAACCTCACCATCCATGTCTTCACCTGCTTCTTCCGCGACACCCTCCACGCCCACGACGCCCTCGGCATCAAACCCATCCTGGTCCTACACCGGCTGCTTCGTTGACACCGTCAACCCGCGCACCCTCCCGCAATGGTCAAACTTCAACGGGCCGAACATGAAGAACGACGCGTGCGTCTCATTCTGTGATTCGCGCGGATACACCATTGCAGGCACTGAGTACGCCGGGCAATGTTTCTGTGGGAACGAGATCACAACCCCGAAGTTGGATGAGGGTAAGTGCAACATGGCTTGTACTGGGGCGGCAGGGGAGATGTGCGGAGGACCCGGTGCCCTCAGTTTATGGACGAAGAGCGGTTCGGGCAGCAAGAAAATGGTCAAGAGACAGCAGCTCAGCTACAAGCCGTGGAGGAAGATGATGGGGTATTGAAAGGCCTAGTGCTAAGTTCTGGGATCTCCCCTTCAGTGTGCTTCTTCGAGGACCACGACTGAAGGAGGTCAGCTTCCCCTGGTTAGCGGTTTGTCTTCTGTGTGTGTTGGATATTATTACTACTTTTCTTCTCTTCTTATAGTGTATATATGGATTTTCTTTTCCGGGCGACGCTTGAACTCGAGTATAGTTATCACCCACGAAGGCCCCGTCGCTCCTAGTATCCCCTTGTGGTTTGTCTGGAAGCCACACTAGAACTGTCTTCTTGTTTCCTTGTCCTCTAAAGAGACTCATGTTACTATTTTTGCTTCTTTAAGTACTCGTCTCTCTCCCATGCAATTATTTTTGATATATACGTGTTCGTGCGCCAGGCATTTTTTTGGTCTTTGTCTGGTCAACTTTGCCTGTAAATTGATCGACGCTTTGTCTGAGAGATTTGTGGGCAAAGGGAGAGAGATTGCATTTCCACTCTCACACTGGTCGGGTGGCAACTTTTTGTTCCTACTTGTCGTTTTCGGTCGAGTCTCTGGGAGATAGTATGTGCAAATAGATGTGGAGAACATGGGGATGACTTAGATTTGATCAGAATCACGCCCTGGCGCTTGCGAGATCTGTGCTTTTTCGAACCAAGAAACTCTTTGCTTTCTGTTTCAGGATTACCTACGATTGGAAAGTCGGCACTTCTCAAGGCCGTCTGGTTGTGTTGCTCAATTCCTCGCAGCGACTGACCAGATCACTTCTCCTTGGCCAACCTGTAAATGTCAGAGAGAACAACGGGACATGGGAGAGTGTCGTTGTCCGTCCTAAATATTATTCTGCTTTGCAAATGCGGAGAGAATCCACCGTTTGACGTGTTATATGTGTGGAAAAGAGCCGTAGGCTGGGAAAACAATGGCCACGGAACGCAGAAAGGGACAAGAGCTCTCTCATATCCTTGATCTTGAGGAGGCTGGGCTTTCACCGTGGAAAAAATGCATGTTAACTCGGCTGGCTAGTCAGAGCTTGTCGTACTTTGCCGAGTGGAGTGGCTCAGCACAAACTTTGAAGAGCTGGTAATGGAGCGTTAAAGAGCAGGAAAAACTGGGTTGAGCGTCAGGGCGATCGAGACGGCTGTGTTTGGAGGGATTCCGTTCAATGCCTTTGGAAGCGGAGAGTTGGTTGTGAAAGTTGAGAATCTCCCCTTTCGAGGTCTTTTTGCCAGCATTTAATGCCATGGAGTATAGATAACAAAGTTCACACTGACGGTGGTGAATCATATCAGTACAAGCTTCTTCCGGCACTCACTGTGCTGATCATGCTCTCAAGCCCAGCAATAAGCCCGTGCTCTTCCCCTTCCCACCTTCCCCATCACCACCTCCCGGCAGGTAAGTCACATTGGGATTCGCGGCCAGTGTCTGGGCAATGTCTTTGCTCGCCTCGATCCTTCTGATCTGTATCAATCCGTCACCAGCTTTCGCCACAGCCTTGCTGATAATATCTGCGGACTCGGCTTCACCCTCGGCACGAATGACATTTGCCTGTCTCTCCTGCTCCGCCTTCTCAACAATAAATCTTGCTCTTTCTGCATCCTGTTGAGCGATCTGTTTCTGTTCGACTGCCCTGGTGAACTCTCGACCAAAGGTCATGTGTGTGATAGAGACGTCTTCAAGAGCGATGTTGAATTCCTGCGCTCGACGAGTCAGGTCGGCTCGGATGCGTTGTGAGACAGCTTCTCGCTGAGTGATCAGTTCCGCGGCATCGAATTGAGCCACAATTGCTTTGAGGACTTCGTTGCCAATAGATGGGAGGACTCTTTCGTCATAATCTTGACCAAGCGACTGGTAGTTATTGTTAGCGATGTGACACCGTGCAACTGAGTAGTTGGCAACTTGCCTGGTAGATTTTGGGCAACTTCTGGACATCTGGTCGATGGAGCACTCTGAGCGTCAGTGACACCATCTGCAAGTCCTTGCTTCCGGTGGTGGTGCTGATGTTTCTAGGCTTCGTCCGCACATCGTAGATGATTGCTTTCTGTAGCCACGGGATGAGGAAGTGGGTGCCTTCGTTGACGACTTGTTCCTGAACACCGGAAAGACGGTCGAAGATGACTGCTCTCGTTCCTCCTCTTACATCGTACATGGCACTTTGTGCTAACGAGGCACCAATGAAGACGGGGATGGCCCATCTTGAGATGGCATTGAGGACGTTGGGCGCGGACATCGTCGGCGAGATTCAGTGAGGCGTTGGAGCTGATTTCAATGTTGTCTAGCTGCCGCCATGCAATGCAACAGCGAACTCTGGGTTACGAACTTTTGATGAAGCAGTAGATACAGTGTTCTCCGCAGCCATGCGCAGCCTGGAGCGGAGCTAATGCCAAGCAATTTTCCCGGCTTCTGGCTCGGAGCTCTCCTTCCACTCCAGCTTCGACTGCGATCATTGACCTTCAGCAACAGTCACCTCGTCCAACTCTTCAGTTCTCCTCGATTGCCTGGTTTTATCTCTCAAGATGCGTCCTACTGCAGCTCTGCGCATGCAGGCCACCCGCATCCTGCGCGCTGGCCACGGCCCTGACCCAAAGAATGGAGTGTGCGTCTACATCGCCTACCAGCTCTACTTTTTTCTATGACGAAGTCAACTAACAAGCTTTGGTACACAGATACATGGGCTCATGGGGAAACCTAGGTATGGATGCATTCCATCTTGGACCCATCTATTCTTCCCTGGGCTACCTCATCAGGCCTCAAGCCAGTTTCTTTCGTAGACGAGAAGATACTAAACAACTGGAGAACAGGCTCTCCGGCACAAAAGAACATTGTCACATATGCCCTTTCACCCAACCGACAGAATCCAACGTCCACCCTGATCCCCGACGCCATCTTTAATACTTTTCGCCGAACACGCAATCAGGTTCTATACTGGGTTCCTCCCTTGTTGGTCGCGTATCTCGCTATGGACTGGGCTACCGAGAGGTGCGTTTGGGCTTGAAATCAATGTAAATTGCGGATGAATGCGAAGTCGAATGCTGACCGTAATTGGGGATACAGGAACGAATACCTTAACTCGAAACCAGGACGAGCGGAGTTCGGAGAGTCATAGCGGTGGTCAAGCTCGCCGACAGTGGATGAAACATTGTACATAAAAGAGGATACAGCGGAATTGCGAGACAAGACGATTCATTGTTCATCGAAAGTTCTCTCGATCGTATGGTCTATGAAGAATTCCGAATCCTGACTGTCCGTGAACCAAGGCGTAGTAGGGAATGAGGCTTTTCGCAAGATCACATGCATGGTCGAGCCTGGCCAAAGAATGGTTTCCCGATGACTCCCTTGCTGCTGAATATAAGACCATGTAGTGACATGGCAGTGCTGTCCCGGACTCCGAACTCGCATCAATTCTCCTCGCCTCCCTAACCGTCGTAAATAACATGTACATTGCGGGTTCATTCCGGATAGCAAGCCACATTATCCGGGTCCAATTCGGGGCATGTCATGATGCTCGCTCAGACTACTGAGGTAGCGATTCAACTCCTCAACCCGCTCCTTGTGCGTTTTGACACCTTCTCGTTTGAGACGTTCTTCGAGCTGGAGCAACACATGTATGTCAGTACCAAGCATTGCAGATTCCAAACGACACCTTTTTTCAGCCCCCACGAAAAGGTTTGAAGGCAAGGCGGATATGGGAATGAGTAGAACATACCCTTCTCCGTCTCTGCTCCTCATACCGCCTCTCTGCTTCTGTCTTAGTAATTCCCCCCTCATCTTCCTCATCCAGTTCTGCACCATCATCTGTGCGTCCAGCTGAATCGACTTTTCGTCTCTGCACCTCCTTCTCTGATTCACTCGCAATCTTTTGATCTTCCTCCTCTAATTTTCTCAACATGACTGACCGATCTTCGAGATCGTCGGCGCCTCCATCCATCGTCTGACTTTTCGTAGAGTTTTCATTGTCCCTAGCCTTGGAGGAAGATTTCTTCTTTTTCTTCTTGTCGACCTTAGAATCCTTCACGCCCTTCAGTTTGAGTTTGCCAGAGCCCGCCGAGGTATAATCACTCGGAGCCATGTTCGAGTGTCTCGGTGAATGTTTATCATGGACATTTAGTGGGAGATTAGTTAATCCAATGCGGTCTGGGATGTGGTGTGAGCAAGAAGGGGAGAATCTCCCTGGAAGCCGTGACACGACCCAAGGTACGAAGTACGAAGGGGCTCTGGACTCCGTACGAGGCACTTGGTAACGCTCTTCTGGCTTTGATGCTCGGCTTGGGCTCGTGCTGCCCATGCCAAGAATGATATTGAGCCTGATCTAGCCTCATCTGCTCTGGCATCATGCTGCTTTAGCTTTACACTACCGAGTATCGAACGCCTCGTTTTTCTGCGGACAAAAATCCTAGACATTCAAAACATCTCATCTTGAGAGGGCTATTGCGACATAAATACCCCACCACAAAGAAGGGTACAGTCTCTATGGCAAGAGTCTTGATCTCGGTAAAGACCACCGTTTCCGGTGCAATTAGCTTTTGGTGAGGGAGAATGGTCAACTCTCTCATGGCACCGAACATGTTGGAGAGTCAAGCTGTTTGACTGCAGCGAAGCTTGCACTCGACAACCAACTGCCTGGGTCGATGGAAGCGAGTGAAGAGCCCTGGTTCCTACGCATGCTTATACTAAATCGACCGTTCCTCGATCGCCAGCTCGGAGGCCATCGCCAGAAATTTTCTTCCTAGCCACGACTTCTACATGTTCTCAACATCATAGAACATCTCTCTGCCCTCCTTCGGTGGCTCAATGAGGCCCAGTTGTTGCAATGCAGTGAGACCGCCTTCTTCCCCGATCTCTTTGACGATCTTCCCATCCTTCATGGTGAAAATGGTCATGCCTGAAAACCACATCTGCTTGCCCGTGTTGGCTTTGGTGAGAGCGCCCACGGAGAAGTCATCAAAAGGCGCGCCGGTGTGTGTGCCTCCGCCGATCCAGCGACCAAACACATAGTCGCCCTCGGCGATGAGCGGGTAAGGGCCATAGGTCTTGAAGCCAAGGTTCGGGAAAGCCTTTGTTTAAACTCCAAGTTAGCTAATTTATCAGGCGACTGCAAAACCATGGCCAACCTACGGCCTTGAAATCCACCATAGCTTGCTTGACAGCAGCTTTGCCTTTCTTCGGGTTTGCATGCATTGGGTATGATTGGAATACATCGTCCGCACAGACCTCGTCGACGATATCCAGGTTCAGCTTTCCCCAGTACTCTGTGAAGTACTTGGCAATCACCTCTTTGTTCCTTTCTTCGACTGTTGCCATATTGGAAAATGGACGAGAACGCACACAAGAGATAAGATCCTTTTTTGGGCAAGGATGAACGATGGTTCGAGCTCGGTACAAGCCAGAGTCCTCGTCCCTTATTTTTATACAGGTATTTTGGACGATTCGGCATCATGGTTCAACGAAGAGACTCCACTTCATGACAACAGGCGGCGTAACCAATATGTTTAGGGTCCAGCGCAGGGCAGTACTATTGGATAAATTGTGAGCAACTGGCATGGCGACGATCGAGGGACACCGGCTTTCTTGATGCCTGTACGCTTTCGGGAAATGTTTGTTCTGGTGTTGAGACCACTTCGCCGCCTGAGGTATGTAGTCCACATTGCTCGAACAGAGACCGTCTTCTGTCTGACTCACAATACTTAGTAATAGGACGAGGAGAAAGCCGTTGAAGAGTCTGACTGGAATTGACCAATAGCGAGTCTACAAGAATCAGGCTGCTCATACCAAGGGTGCAAATCTCGTGTTCGCTATGGTTGGAGTCGGATCATGTCCTCCTCCCCGAGCTTCCGGAACTCTCATCCCAGTCTCTTCATCCTTCGAGTCAATTTCAATTTCAATTTTCATTCGTCAATTACCTTGCAGCAACTGAAGGCATCAAGATCAAATTGCTTCACCGCAACGCCTTTCACGAGGACAAGTTTGCGGTGGATTTCATGCAAACACGAAGTTTTCAGGGTGAAGATGGAGCGTTGCTACCGAACTGACCAGTCACAGCCACCATTCTGAGGCACGCTTATCATCTTCAACGCGGCCAACACATGGCTCGATCAGCAACAGACCGATGCATCTCGCTCGGAAAATCACTCTCTCTAAGTGATGATCAGCCTCTTCCACACTTGGTAGTTCCCATTTGGTAAGCCGGCTAAAAGATGGATAACTAAGAATTCCCACTGTGGAAGCCAATGCCGTTGAATTGTACGCCTTCACTCTCATATCCACCGTCGCCACCTTTCCACGACGGAGAGATCCCACGGAGAAAGCAGTTGGCACGATATTTGGTGCTGTACAAATTCTGACTAGAAGGACTGGAACAGTGGGAAACTATGACTACTCACAGCCCGGATTCGTGGACGGTAGGGACAGACAGTGAACATATATATTTGCACTGTGATGCTCGAGTTCTTGTCTCTCTGCTTTTTGAATTCTTCACGTCAATAGCTAATCTATCAATCCCCGAGGCACGCACCTCACAACCATCGAGCGCTCATGGTTTCGTTCGCCTCCATGCATCACCCAATATCTCCCGCCATCTTTTATTGGGGCACTCCCATCGTGCTCATCACGACCGAGAACGAAGATGGTACTTTCAACATCGCGCCCATGTCCTCGGCTTGGTGGCTCGGCAATCGTTGTATGCTCGGACTCGGAGAGATCTCCCAGACCACCGTCAATCTCATGCGTACAAAACAATGCGTCCTTAATCTCCCCTCGGATGACATGAAGAACCCGGTCAATAGTTTGGCCCGCACCACCGGTACAGCAGATGTTGCCACTGCGGAGCCTCATATGGGGTACAAATACTTCAAAAGGATGAACGGATACGAATATGTGCATGACAAATTCGGACATGCGAATTTGACGCCGCAGTGTTCAGACCTTGTCAGACCAGCCCGCATCGCTGAATGTCCCGCGCAGATGGAGGCGGAGCTTGTTGGCACTTATGGGATGATGAAGGACATCGGCGTGAGTGGTTTGATCGCACTGGAGGTCAAGATCCTGCGTACCCATGTGTGGGATTCCATCAGGATGGCCGGGCACAGCAACCGTATCGATCCGGATAAGTGGCACCCGATGATTATGAGTTTCCAAGAACTTTACGGGCTCAATCCGAAGAAAATCTCGGCCTCCGCCTTGGCTCAGATCGAGGAGGAGAGGTACAGGCCATTCTCCAATGCCCTGGAAGAGGATTCTGGCGATGACGAGACCAAGTCGAGTGTTTGATGGCGTTCGGCATGTTTGAGCAACAGGGGACGTGCTCATATGATCGTACACGATGGACGGGGCAATGCGGAAGACTCGGGCATCTCCTTCACATAGATCGCGGCGGCTACTCCAACCTATGCAGAAGACAACTCTGAGCCCTCCAACCAAGGCGTGATTATCACGGTGTTGCATTTAAACCAATGGTGCTCCTTCACGACTGTAGTACATCTCGGCTCAATCCGCGTTTCCTCTTGTCAAGGGTGCGTCTCGACAAATGACTGGCCAGTTCCAGAGCAACGCCTCCCTTTCCTAACATATAAGCATAGAGAGAGGGGGAGCCCGGATGAGATCCATCCTAGCCTTCGAAAGCACAGAGGTCTTCCCACAGTACAAGTAACCTATCTCCTCTTGATTGAACTGACAATCTTCGTGATGAGAATGAGGAACCTGATGTTCTTCATCGCGTATGATTCCTCAAGACACATGTTTGCCGTGGAAGACGTCCTCCCAGACCACTAACCTATTGACGCGAAGGCGACGCCTCCGTCACACATCACCTTGAATGAAGGCCCAATAGATCCTGCCAACATGTTGTTGACTCTTCAGCAACCCGAGCACGACGGCAGAAAGCTGGTCCTGGCAGGTCATCAACAATCCCACTTCTTCCGTCTGCTTTTCGAGATTCGACTCCTGATATATATCCAGCTGCTTGGTAGTATGGCACCAGAAAAGCACCCACGCGACATTCAACTGAAGCACCGCCATGAGCTCGCCCTGGAACTGCTTTTTGTCAATCGCCAGATATACCGCGTGGCACGCCTCGTCCCGTTCCAACACAACGCCTTTGACTTCGCCAAGTGGAACGGCACCGGTCTGCTGTACTGCGACTTGTTCCTGCGGAGCCTACGCCCATGGCAGCGTCGAAACGTGCGCACCATCATCCTGGACGTGCTGGCGATTAGCATCACCAGTCCCAGCCACATGCAACAATGGCTTGATCTGTGCAATGAGCTCGGCTGTCTGGAGCACGGGACGAGCTGGGAGGCTGAAAGCGCGGGACTGAAAACTCTAAGACTGACGATAAGCGGCCGCATCATGAGCGGCGGGAGACATACATTCGACATCGACTCGCGATGGGTGGACGACGGGCTTCTGAAACCGACTTCTCTCCGCTTGCTGGAGATGACTATCGATACCGAGCGCGTGGATGAAGGGTCGCTGCCCAAGTTTGTCGCGGACGTACAACGCAAGCTGTGCAAGGCTGAGATTGTGCTGAAGAAGATGCACAGAGGGAAGCCATCAGTTCTATATCTACCCGTCTCCTCTACGGCGATTTCGTGCTATTGACCTAACTAGCATCCGGATAATTGGGCCTGGTAAGATTCAGGACAAGGGTGAGGGTGTAGTTTAAATTCTCAGACTGCGTGAGAAAGGCCTGTAAAGCGGTTTGAGGTGGCCGATGGACACAATCAGCTGCTGAGAGACCATGGTACGGGGTGGATCGTCAAAACACAGGGGAAGAGAGCAACTTCTGGGTTATGTAGGTGATGGCCCTAGTGATAGTTGGTGGCGGCAAGGCTGAACCAAAATCAGGTGCCAGGATGTACTGGACCATCACCTGAAGAAACTCATTATTGCTTGCCGCGGACCTCAAGACCTAGTCGCTCTTCTATTCGTGTCATTGGACTGGCTGTGTTCTTTTCTCAATATGCTTTTCGATTCAGAGCGGTGTTTTGTTTTACGGCGAGTCTGTCATTCCCTCACTCCCATATCCATTTATCCATTCATTCACTCAAGCTGAAGCTGTAGCCTGTGCGTCCTTCTGTTGGATCGACTAGTTGTCTTCCTCCGCTGCTGGTGACAACAACAACTTCGCTAACTCGGCCGGAGTTGTTGCCTTCCTCCCAATTAACCACTCTAGGACTCTAGGGTTCCCAAGGACGCCTCGCGTGTTGTAGTACAATAGCATGCGCTCGGGCCCCTCTCGATTTCGAAGGTCTACATCCGCGAGACTCTCCACGCCCGGAAACAAGCGCTTACAGAAGGTCTCTACGGCCTGCTCGTACGACATCTGCCGCACCTCGAAGGTCCGCCCCAGAACGTCCCCCACCGACCTGATGTACTCGTAGTAATCCATCGGCCAGGTGCTGAGGATCTGGTACGTGGCGAAGAAGTGCCTGTGGCGTTCTTGGATGACCTTCACCGAAGCCTCGGCGTGGTCGCGCAGCGTGGTGAAGGAGAACTTGACCGTGGGATCGTAGGGCGCCATATACACGGGCGCGTCCGCGTCCCTTTGCGCAAGCAGTGGGCCAATCGAGTTGTCCGTGAAATGGCTGGGCTGGAGGATGGTGTAGGTTAGCGGCGACTCGACGAGGTACTCCTCGACGAGTCTCTTTCTGTCGTGGTTTAGCATCTTTGTGATTTCTGGGTGTAGCACCGACGAGAAGACAAAGTGCTGGAACTTGGAGGGCGGTATCTTCTTCTTCGACTCCGCCACTGCGGCGTCGATCACGTTCATCCCCATGTGCGCTTCGTGCGGCGTGAATGTGGGGCTCAGGTAGTAGATCGTTGTCGCTCCATCTAGGATCTTGCGGCAGTCTTGCGGGTTTTGGAAGTCTGCTTGAACGACCTCGGCTTTGGGATACCGCTGGGTGAGCCGATCGAGGGATGCCTTCGAGTTTACGACTAGGCGGAGTCTGGAAAGCGGCGTCTCTTCCTTGTACAAGAGCGGGATCATGTGGCTGCACTGCTTGCCGGATGCACATGTAAGAACTATGAGGTCCGACATTGCGGAGATGAGACCTAATATACAAGGACAGATAAAAAGAAAACGGATGAGGTACTTGAAAGCAAGGACTCAATCTCGTGGTTTTATTCAAATGTTCCTGAAAGAGCTGGTTGATCGGCTTCATATACCGAGCATCGAGTGGAATGTCTAATATGATACATGCGTGGCGTGATGCAATAAAGAAAGTCGCTAAATAGAGAGGTTCCCACAGGACGGGAAGCCCTTACATACCCGGTTGGTCAAGGATTGTCGACGTGGATGGCACTACTTTGCTTTATGCCCATGTCGTCTATGGATAGCATGTGTTGCTTTCATTGAAGCGTCGATGACGAAAAGGAGGTATGATCTCTATACAAGTGCGCTTTGACCTTCTACTCTGCGCCGAAATGGGAGAATAAATGCTACTTGTCTCCAAAGGATTTGCTCTGAGACCAGCTGGGAAGTGTGTCGTTGCCGCGCGAGTGGCACATTATATTGTCTTTCTACTCAGTACGTCGCCGCTTGCCGGATATCTCCAATCAGCTGGCGGGCTGACTCCCTGCCTGAACGAGTTCCACACCGTCTCTTTCTGAGGGTTCACTGCTTGCCTGGCCAGGTGCCTGCGTCTTCACAAAAAGCGCCGCGATGAGGCCCAGTCCGCCTGTACTCGCGTACATAATCCACATATGTTTTAGGCTGGAAGCATATGCATTCTTCACCTCCGTCTGTTGGTAGAAAGGTAGTGTGCGTATTGTCAATGCATTGGTCGCTGCCGTCGTGGCCGAAAAGTTTTGAGCTAGCTGTGCTCCTAGAATACTACTCAGGTGTTTGCTTTGCGTCGACATACTATTCTGGAAAACAATGCCACCTATGACGATTGAGATGGACGTCGACAGACTCCGAACTAATCCGAATAGTGCCGTTGCCACCACCGTATACGCCGAGCCAACGATTGACTGGTACGCTAATAGTGGGGCTTGGAAAGTGATGCCTATTCTAAGAGCAACCACGATTTCGATAATCACTGTGAGGACAAGGGAGGTCGATGTGCCGATACCGATGAAGAGGCCGAAACCAAGCGTCGTAAGGGCCATTCCCGCCCATATAAGTGGGCGGATCCAGTCGAAGCGGTATGTTATGGCGCCTGCGACAAGACCTGTAATGGCCTGGACCACGACGATGGGCATTATGAGAACGCTAGAACGGGTCGGGGAAGCTCCTTGCATGGCTTGGAAGTAAAGGGGCAAGAATACTATGATGAGACGTTGACCTACTGTTGATCAGCGCTTGCACTGGAGAATACTGGCGGTTGATGAGTCCGTACAAACCCGTGGGTGAAGCTGACCATCAGTGGACTGACTTTGGACGTGCAGTCCAATAGATGGGATAGCACCAGAGGGTTCGACGCGCCTCTGGCCTTCCAGAAGACGAGAAATGTTAACAGCACAAAGCCACATATAAGAAGGCTTAGGACCTTCGGGGAGTCCCAGGGCGAGAACACCCCGCCAAAGTCCAGACTGAGCAGGATCATGACGGTGACCCCGATGATTGCGACGGTTCCAATCCAGTCCAGAGTCCTTCCCTGATCAGTTCCCACGGCCTGCGGCTGCAATAAGTCCATAGAAAAGAAAAGAACGACAAATGCAGCAAAGGAACATGGGAGATTGATCAGGAAGTGAGAAATAGTAGCGGTGGACCTACCGTGCATCCCACACATCGCTCATCCAGATGTTAACCAGCACAATGATGCCTCCAGCTGCAGACCCTTGCACAGCACGACCCGAGATCAGTTGCACAAGGTCCTTCGGCCATCCACATATGGCGGACCCAATAGCAAACAGCGCAATGGAGCTGAGCAGTGGAGGTTTACGGTCCCAGACGTCGGCAGCTTTGCCCCATACTGGAGTCACAGCTGCACTTGTCAGCAAATATGCAGAGCCAGACAGACGGAGGCCGTATGGGACCTCAGTTGGTACGAGATGGAAGGAATTGCGGTTGTGATGATCGAGAAGTCGAGTGCTGCGAGGAAAAGAGAGAACTAAAGGCGTTGACGACTCAGCTAAAATAGCAGGATGCCGGAGTCTGCTGTTCGTCGCCAGTTCCTGTCGTCCTCCGTTTCTTCTCCGAGTATCACGCAGTGTCGCCGCTTAGCAGTATCTTTACTTGTGATAATGGCTGCGAATCATCGCTCTTCCGCCCCCGGGGGCGGCTGATGGGGCCGCAGGTTGTCAAAGTCAAAGTCCAAGACACAATCAAGCGGTCTGATCGACCAGTACAGAGATATCTCCTAGCCCTGTAGGGAAGGTTGGACGATATTCTCACGTGATGTGTCTTCGACCACATGGTGCACATGGGCTTGACATAGGTCACCGATTGAGCTGCTAGGCTGAGAGCCACTTTACCCTCGTGTATGTGAGATGTGCTTTATAGACTTGTGCCGCCTAATTAACACGCATATGCGTCACTATTCCATCCGTTAGGATAGCGTCGATGTTGTTACACCACGTAAACTCAGCAGATCAAACACATGTATAATATGACGCCGAAACCCGAAAGGGACACATCTCCATCTCTATCATTAAACCCTTCTTAAGGAATCCCCACCAGGGAAGAGCCCGTCCGTCACCAATATTCCCGATCCTTATCAAGCGCCCTGACACGCATCGGATTTGGGCTGGTGCCCACCACACAAATGCTGTCCTCACAGCTCTTCTCCCCCCAATAGATTCTGCCTTTGATGTCTCCTCCCCAATCATCGATAAGGTTGGCCAGAGCTTCGATGTGTCCGAACGTTGCAGGCTATGGGCCCCTTAGCTTCCGGAACGCTAGGAGTGATAAATGGGCCAAGATAAACGTCAGCACCCCGCCCAGGACAAAGAGAGGCACGGAGTTGAACCAAACCACGCCGTCCCCTTCGCCTCGCTGACCCAGGGACATTGATGCTGTACCAAACAGCCACTGTGCAATGGGCTTTATGATGAAGAGGATGACCCAAGACCAGTTACTCAAAGCCGAAATGACTGGACTGGCGTTGATTTTCGCGCCTTTCCCCGTGGCAATATATGCCCTTCGCCAGAATTCCTCGTCGCGGGAAACGTTGACCACCAGTTCGGCGCAATGCAGAGTGAGCGTAATACACGCCTGTAAAGCTATGCCCAGGACAAAGGTAACCAGCAGAATGACATACGGACTCCATTCATACAGCATGGCGAAGCTGAAGAATGAATACATGCCGTCCTGAACAAGAAATGCCAATTGCGCTGACAGGTGCTGCTGAAAGGTCAATCTGCACACGATCGCCGCAAAAAGCAAATCTGGCGCTAAGGCAGCCCCTACAATCCATAGCATATAGCCGACATGGGGGTAGCCTTTGATCATATTTTGCTGTCTCTCTTGTGGCCGCTTTGGCCCAGCTGGGGTCTGAGCAAGGATATCGCGAACTGACATCATTCCACGCCCAAGGACGCGATACCGGACGCCTTTATTGAGGAAGGGTAATGCGGTATTAAGGGGGTTGGCGCTCCATGAATGGACCCAGTCGTCTGCCCCGTATAAGCTCCAAATAGCAATGATGATCTGGCCAATGAGAGATATTCCAAGAGCCATGAAAGCCACGGCATTGAGGCTGATATTCTTGGCCCCATTCTGCTCCTTGTAGACGTACAAGGCGGCATTTGCGGCTGTATAGCTTGTAACCAGGAGAATCGCTGACATGAGATTGGCTGGCCAGCGGTTCGAGTTACACCGTTTGGTGCTTGTGAATAGTCTCAGGTTTGAGTTGTACTCGAGTCGATTTTCCTTGTAAAGAACCCGGCGCAGGGAAACACTGTGGGCAAAGCTCAAAATATCTGTGAGAATAGCGACAACAATGTTAAAAGCCAAGGGGAGCAACTCTCCGATGATGGAAGAGCTTGATAGTCCGGTATACACTAATTGGCCAGCAAAGGTCGCAACCGAGAGCCCAATGGAGCCCAATGCGACCACGAGGGAGACGCCAATAGTAATGTAAATCCCCTGGCGTGTCCAATCGGCGACATCATGGCCGGGCCGTTCTTCGTTCAAGCTCTCAGACATGGTGTCCCTTGGTGTTGATAATCTTCTAACCTTTTTGGAGAGAATATGCGGTTGAGGTGGCGACTGTCAAACTTATAGGCACATGGGCCGACGGCCCCTTTGGGAGATTTTGTCTCAAGTACAATAGCAGCCATGCTTGCAGAAGGTTTCGAAAAGCCACGGCCATGTGCTTGACCTTGAAAAGGATTAAACAATCTGCCGCCATTCCGTTTCCTAGGCTGTGTTGTCTGGATCGGGCCACGGCCGTATGCATAGGAAGTCAGGGACGCTTCGAAAACAAGTTTCTCCAGGACACGGCACAATGAAGAGTATGCAAGACAGCCAATAATCGACAATCTGGAAGTCCTGGGCAACTTCAGCTGGAAGCCACATTGATGCAGGACCAGGGGACTGACTTCTAATTCAATAGTTGTGTCCAATCACATCTCGTCGAGGAAGCGAGGGCCCGCCTAACACGGGAGGTAAGCCAATCAGGCCCAAGAGTCTCTGCCTCGCCTGCTGACTATGGGGTATTGCGCCCGCGGTGTCTGGGGGCGTTTGGTGACAGGTCCAAATCCACGCACGTTAATTGAGGTTTTGGTGGGAGGCGAAACGAGACCCTGAAGAGCCGCATGCATTTTCAATATGAGGGAAAGTCGGCTCGACAGTGATGTGGAATCGCCAGTGGCTGACTGCACTCCTACCTCTTCACAATCCTCAGCCTTATATGAGAGATTCGGGAGACTTGCTGCTGCTCTTTCGTTTTCAGTTTGGGCGTAGACCACCTCAAAAGAATATCGTGAATCACCTCCGTGTTGACTTTGTCATGTATCATGTTGGAAGCTGTTGGTAGGGGGAGGTTAGGAAATACGCATATGTAATTTGACTCACCGGTAACGCTTGAACTTTGCTTCAGTGCAGACGGTGGCCGCGTCTCACTTTTGTTCGGTATAATTTGGAGATTTGGCATCGATCGCCAGTTATGAGCATTATGAACAAGCGTGCCTCACAAACCAGTCCCAGCTCAAGTGAATGAGGATAGCAGATACATGGGTAATGAGAGAGTTGGCGAGACTAAGCGCAAAGATGAGTCGACGGAGTCCAAGCTGAGAGCTTGGGGAAAAGGATCGATAATTGGTGACGGTGTCTGGTGGTTTCTGTGGTTTCAAGCCTGGAAATGCCAAGAATGCCAAGCTTACAATTCCATCCGCATACCCCCCTCGCCACTTCGATAGTACCGAGTACTGTAGGTATGTATGGCACAAGGCTGAAGCTTGTACCACCGGCAGAATCCGGAAGACTTCGTTCTCCCAATTTTTACCTTGGCGCGCGCAGCAGCGACTCTTGCATATTGTCATATTCTAAAGGGGACTCGCTCTGCATGGGTTCTCGAGCCTTCAACGGATCAGCCAGGGTGCCAATCTCATTACACAAGGGCAACTAACATCGAGTCATTCCAAGAGCAATGATTCCGAGAAATGTCCGCTGCGGATAAGATCGGAACAGGTCTCGAAGGAATAAACCAGATGGGCTCTCATCGAAAGCATGCGGAAGAAATGGTCGGGGGTAATATAGACTAGGTTGAGTGCATGAGATGAGTATGAGTAGATTGATTTGTGGACATGGCTTGATACAGCGGGTGCCGACGACCTTCGTGATTAAGCCTGGGGAGTGTCCGCTTCCCTTGATGTAGAATGTCCTTTCGACTGCTGTATGAGATGGCGTGTGCTGGACAGGAAACGTGGTGGGAGTAGCCCGTTGAGTCTGGTATACTTCTCATCTCGAGAACACCAGCTTTGTCAGTGGCGGAGGCGAGGCGACTATCCTCAAAGCGCAGGCGATCAGACATCAAGACCATGGAGCATGTCTATTTCAAGTGAGCTAACAAATGTCGCTGGATTTCTGTCTGGTGCCCCTATTAACAATGACTTTTTAATGATGGCCCTCTCGATTCATTCTAGCCACTGGCTGGCTCCCCCTGGCTGCACCACGCTGGGCTCCTCGTTAATCATACTCTCAGCGTCCCCTACCTGCTTCCTCTCCGTCACCTCCCTACTCCTCAATCGTGAACGCACGGCGGCCAAGCGTCCACGGCTGATGCCGGGAATTGAGCTCCTCGGACCATCAGACTCAACCTTGTTGCTGTTCAACGCCAATCCTTGGGACCCGCCTTTGTCCCTCATGACTGCTAATTGTTATTGCAGCGGCTCGGCGGATGAAGAAAGTCGATTGAGATGGAGGTAGACGTCTGTGCCATATCTGTTGCATAACCTGTTAGCACCGAGACGGCAAGGAGGGAGAAAGATTTACCCTTCCATTGAAATCAGTTTCAAATCCCCGCCAAAGTACCTTGCGTACAATCTCGAAAGGGGCAAACCATACCCAAACCCAGCCATCGGCGCCTTAAAGTCACTAGCATTAAATCCGGGATCCAGCTCTGGTGTGGTATCGACTGTAGTGTACATGTAGGTCCAGACTAGTGGAATGGCAGACCGTGGAATTCCACCTCCCTCGTCACTGATCTTGATCGTGATGTCCTCCTTTCCCTCGGCCACAATCACCTTGGTCACAGGAAACTCTTCCTTTTCGGCCCCGTGTGTCTCCACCACGGCACGCAGTGAGTTCTTGAGGGTCTCGAAGAGCATGTGCGACAGGTGACCTGGCACGTACATGAAGGTCAGGTTGGGTGGACAGAAGAGTTGGACCTTGGGAGCGTCAAACAGGCCGTAGTGGTCCTCGCACACGAATCTGGCGTTTTCAATTGCCTCTTCTGCAAGTTCTCGGACATTTGTTTTTGTGCATATTATACCAACATAATTGGGGTGTCTGTTGGTGGTCTGATCTGTCAACGCAATGTGTTGCCCAATAAGCATTCTAATACCGATGCGTGACATGTAGAAACGGTCCAGGAAGGACTGAATGGACGAGTCAATCTGCATGCGTTGTTGCTTCCGCTTCCACTCGTTGATTCCTTGAGCCACAGTGGTGACAACAGGATCATGTCTTCTCTTAATGATTTCCAGAGTTCGAGCGAATTTGCGGTTGTATTCGGAGAGAATAGGAGGCCACTCTTTGCCGTCGTCCAGAGCAGCAAAATAGCGACGCGAGTTCATCCCACTCTTGCCGTTGCCGTTGCCATGGTCCTTGAGACTGGGATTGCGTGTAGTGGCGGAGAGTTTTGTGCTGGACTTCTTAGGGGGGTTGAGGAGGCGGTCGCGGGTTTCGGTGTCTAATGAGGGTCGCGGAAGGGTTGTGATTTCTTCAAAGGATTGAGCGTACCAGTCTCGCACCTTCTTGATGGAAGGCATATCATTGAGACCATCGGGTAGTTTATCCAGCTCTTCTACACGGTGCGCGAGACGGACTGGAAGCTCTTCGGAGAGAAATTGTGACGCACGGAAAAGTGTCCCTACACAGAATCAGCCATAGTTATTACAAGGGCAAGTCTTTACATTTCCATACCAGCAGAAGGCTTGTCTCCAAATTGGACCATCTGTCGAAGACTAACTCCTGTCGGCGGAAAGTTGGCATAGTGCCCAATAGTTTGCATGAGCTTCTCAGTGGGCTTCCACGACATCTTGAAGGAAGTTCAGGCCTTGCGGCCTGCTTCAATAGGGACGAACAATTCGAAGGGACCTGAAGGAATGAATCAAAGGACAGCAGCACCAGCAGCAATCGATTGGAACAGAACGAAGTAGTATGACTCGAAATGCAGCAAGGAGCGTGTGGAGGATCGAGGTCCGATGTTCTCCGACTGTTTGGAGGTCAACGAAGGGTGCCGAGGCAGCGTGCGTCAATGACGAAAGACGCTCAAGGTGGGCTGGATGAGGCTTCTGTCCAGCTGGGAGCACAGAGACAGCGGGCCAGCAGTCAGAGTGTGAAGAAGGAAGAGGTGATGCAGAGCAATGTCGCGCAGCATGGAAAAGAAAAAAAAGAGCTGGCAGATGCAGGTGACAGGTGAGTGTACTGTATGTGACTCGTTCGTGTGAACAGGAACCAGAGAGGGACAAGGGTTGCCGCTGCGGTGCTTGTCTGGTGGTGACGGTGGCTCTGTCTCTGGTTCTGTGGCTTCTGGCTGCTCTGGCTGGGCCCGGCTCTCCCTCTTGTCCCTCCCTGGCTTCCTGGCCCTGCTCGGCTGTGGGGAGACTTCCTCAAAGCCCAGAAACTCATGACTGTGGAGTGCTCCAGCATCCTCAGTGATTGGGTCTCGGGCTCAAGGGCTGCTGGCCTTCTCTCCTTCTCTCCTTGTCTCGCTCCTTCGGGTCATCATCAGCCTCCAGCCTTTCTGCTCTTCCCTTTGCCCCGGCGGCCCCCAAAAACCTCCAGCCTGCGTCATTCCTTCCGACGAGGCTCGCTGCTTGATGCTCCCTGGTCTGCTGAGGGCCCAGTTTCCGAGTGACCGCCGAGTATTCGAAACTCACCTTCCCTCTCCTTTTCTGCTGCAACTCATTTGTTTGGTTTGCCTCCATGCAATGTACATGGGGTCAATTGAGCTTTCTGGTGAGGTGCTCCTCCATCTCCATCGTTTGTCTCTTAGCGCCCACTAGCCTCATCAAGGCATTGATTGTGGCACCTATTCAAGGTCAAGTCCCAACCGGAAATCATCGGCGCCACTTGAGACAATGGATTATTGTCTGATTCTAGCGTCTAGAATCCAAGGTATGTGCAAAGCATCTGGGCCACTCTATTTGCTCCATGTTGGGCCTTGTTGGTTCAGGAACCCATGGCCGCTTTGACTTGCCAGGATCGAATACACGGTGTCTTTCTGTGCTCGCCAATGTCTGAGCACGAATTTGGAAGGAAACAGCAACATCCTTCTTGTTTGAAGGTTCCATCGCCGCCAGCCCAGTTCTCCCAGGTGAATGTGTTCGATGCCATCCCTACCTCCATGGTGCAGATTCTGTTCCCGCCCAACAACAACTTATAAGTCAGAGGACTGAGCTTCTGCCATGCCACTGAGAGCAAAGGGTGCATGCGAAATGTCTCGTTGATCTGGTTCCCAATACCTGGGGGTGAGCTGGGTTCTGTGATGGCCCTCCTCGTATTGTGAATACTTCGTCCAAACCTTTCGCCCCTGCTTGGTGTTATACGGATGGATGGATGGATAGATGGCAGTAGAGGCCTGGGAGATCTCGCTACAGGTGTGAGGAACGTGGCTGCGGGTGGCTGATGTGAGGAACAATGCTCCATGTTCTTGGGTTGTGAGACAAGGCTCGGTGAGCTCTTTTGATGACGAGGCTGAGGAAGTTGCATGAATGAATGCCCAGATCTCGTCACTGCGACTGCCCTGTCACTTGACAGTGCCGAAGGAGGAGAAAACAACGCATGCCTGAGGCCAACCAGTCTTTCTTCTCACCAACATCCCAAGCGAAAGAAAGCTGCTCTTTTCCAGTTGACAGATCGATCCAGGAACAAGGTCGCGCCGCCGGCGACATCATCATCGACATCATCTCTCTATCTGGTCTCCGCTTTTATCCAAACTGCTGCCATCTCGGCGTATTTCGCACCTTGACTCCCCATCCATCCGCCCTCAACCTGGTGACCTGTCTTCAAGAACCGCCTCATCATGGCAAAGAAGGATCTGAAGCCCTCGGTTCAGCCACCTAGAGCTCCCCTCCTCACCCGACTGTCCTGGCAAATGAGCGATGCACTTGATTACCTCAAGGAGCTGAACTTCCCCCGTATCATGTACCATCTGTTGTCACTTGCCTACCTCTCCTTTATCGTCTACCTCACCTATTACGTGCTGCCTTTGCCTGGACACTGGAATCCAGCACCACACTCTGACAGAGTCGCCATTGTCTCTCAGGATCTGAACAAGTGAGTGTCAACTAAATGTTTGACACATGGACAGGACTGACATCAAGGTGAAACAGCTACTTCAACTCCTTTCGTGGTCTCACCGAGTGCAGCATTCGTGCTCCTGATTTGTATCTGCCTCCCTCGCCGGATCAGTCGTTGCAGGGCTCTCCCAATGCCTACTGTCCCAGACGCAAGGACCTCCTGGAGGCCATGTCAAGTGGTGGTCGGATCGGGTTTGATACCCCATATTTCCCAAAGGGTGAGAATCCTGTGATGTAAAACATACGTCTCCTATCAGCCCTAATCCTCTGTAATCTAGACTGCCACTACCGCTGGTATTCGGTGGAGGAGATTTGCATGATCCTGGAACGCTTTGACGCCATCGTCTTCGTGGGCGACTACAGTCTCCAGACCATCTACAACGGATTCAGCATCCTCCTGCGACGAGATTTGGCCCACGGTGCCCTGAGGACCTGGAGCATGGACAAGGAAAAGCTCCGCCAGTGCAGATGTGACAATCAGTTTACCTCGCAGCCCTGCTCCGAGCACTTCATCACATTTAGTGGCGATCTTACAAACCTTCTGTCAGGCCGAGTCGACCAGCCCTACTTCTGCAGCCGAACACCCCATTCCTTCCTAGAAATCAGCACCTCCCCGGCCCCAATCTCCGTGATTGGAAAGTTCAAACAGCTCGCCCCACGTGTCAAACGATCGAACTATCGCCCCGTCGCCATCATTCACAGCCTTTCTCCCAACACCGTGTCTCCAGAAACCGCTGCTGCCTCGCTCGAAGAATTCTTGGCCCTCGCAGACTCGTCCCATCGGAAGACACCCATGCTCTGGGTCGGGCCCTCCGCTTCCGGCCACACCCAGATCCGCGGCCGGAACGGAAACCAGGAGATATGGGATTTTGATCGCCATCTCGCCGTCGTTGCGGAGGACAATGACGTCGACGTGTTAAGGTTGTGGAATATGACGGTGCAGGCAAACAGCTGGGATGGGATGCAGTTTGGAGAGAAGGTTGCCATTACCCAGGCGATGATGGTGCTGAATTGGTTGGGGAGACTGCCCTCTAGCTGAGAGAAGGGAACAATGAGGGCGCCGAGAAGACTTACATGTTTTCGAAAGGGGCGCACCGAACCATATCATATCCCACCGAGAGAGAGGGACTAAGAACAGCGACAACCTGCGACGCAGAGTCGGACAGCCCGACCACAGGGCAAAACAAGACACGCAGGGGGAAGTTGTGCTTACCTAGGTAGTGCCCAAATGACTCTCACTTTCATCGACGCTGGAATGAAAATAAAAGCTGGGGCAGCATGCTAATACTGGGTACATACGTTCTACTCACGCCCACCAGCCAGAGGCGAGGATTATTAAAAGTCAATAATATGATTGCCTGCTGCCAGCAGAGATGCTTTGAGCTCTTGTCTTATTTCGAGTTCGAGTGCGATTTGATTCCTGTAGGGATGCTAACCCCAAGCGTTCTAGGATGTAACGGCGATGGCTATAGCAATGATTCTGCGACTGGTGGGAACATTGCATGTCGTGTCCGAATAAAAAAAATATCTCTTGGCTTCTGGCTTCAACATAGGAGCATTTCACAATATTCTGCTCCTGGTCTTCTGCGTGGCGCTTCTTTTCGTGCAGTTCGCATTTGCTCTTCTCCCGACAAATGCTGTTTGAGACCAGCTAGATTGCTTGTGCGCCAGCCCCTCTCAAGTAGTTTTGGGGCTTCCCAGTCTCAATCCTCTCCCAGACAATTGGCTACAGCTCTCGGCAGTCACATTCAAACCATAATGGGCCAGAGACGTTGTTGCTCTAACCTTGGGCCCCTTCATCTGCTAAGTGTATGAGCACGCCCCTCCTACATTGGTTACCAGGAGATTCGGCCTCAGATCGGCCTCCATGCAGCAGCTCAGAACAAAACCTCCCCACTCCCTTCCGGATCCCTCCACGCTGTCTTCTTGCCTTTCAATCGATCCTTTTTCTTCCTTTCCCTCTCTGCCTCCTTTTGTATCCGAAACACCTCTTCGACATCTCCTTCTTCATATCCCGGGGGAGGATCGTCGTCCTTGTCGAGATCGACTTCGCCCAAAAGGAGGACGTTTTCGCCCCGCACGAGAAAGGTGCCGCGGGGGATGTCGCAGTAGAGGTTCCGAGTGGGTTGTGGCTGTTGTGACTGTGACTGAGGGTTTGCAGAATCTGCGGAGGTTGCTGAGGGAACAGAGACGAAATACCGCTCTTTCGTGTCGGTGAGAACGAGGTTCGCGAATTGATCCCATGACCGTAGTACCCCGAAAATCTTGCGTCCGTCTCGGAGGACAAGGAGGAGTTTCTCTAGAGAAAAATAAAAAAAGGTGTGAGAACTATTCTTGCACTTGCTTCCCATGACCATGCCAGGAGATAAGAGACGTACTGTCCGTCAAATCCAACAATTGAGCCGCGGTCGTGAACATCTGCGGCGGTAACTGAGGAGCACCTTGAGGCGGGGCCGGGCCAGGGAACACTGCATTTTGTTGTTGTGGGTGTTGTTGTGGATGCGGTAATCTTTGCGGCGACGCAGGCTGCTGAGGAGGATCGTTGAGACTGAGGTTTTCCATGACGGAGTTACACACCAGGGTATGGACGACGATTCACGTTGCCGTGTCTAAAGTTTGTTACCGGTGGGGAGTATGAGCGGCGTGGATGGTAGGTATGAAACAGGCGGCATCAATCTCGATCATGGCAGCTGATGCGAACAGAGGAGTTTCATAAGGGAAATTTGTCCACAATCATCTGAAATGGGACGTTTCGGTGGGGAGGTGGGTTGTACTTGTCGACAAAGGTGATGATGGAGTGCATACGGGATGGTCAATACGGCACAGTACAGCCAAAGGAGGAAATGCTTCGCTGGATATAACCGCGCGGCCATCTCAACGAATAATCGTCTCCGTATTGCTTAGTCATTTACCTCGGGCCTTGCTGAAGTCGTGCCAGTGGTGGACATTGGGCAGGTACACGACATTTCACAATCTTGTATGGTTCTTTACGAACTTGCGAATTAACATCTCCGGAAAGTCGTCCCGGTGAGCCCTTTGGGAAGAGTGCATTCCAAGCTAAGTCAGCATCTGTCCATCTCATAACCTTCGCACAGAAGCCCGGCGCTCTCTCGGTATGGCAGATAGCCGCATGCGGACTCGGGAGTGTTCAATTCCGGGGCGGCAACGCTATGTTCCTGGCCATCCACGACGCACCTTTATTGTGATTTGCAGCAGCAAATTACCAAGTGCTGGTAACTGGTCGTAGGATCTTGTCTTCTGCAGTATTAGAAGACAAAGCCTCGGTGTCGGTAATCGCAGTCCACTCACGTCTACATACTGTGCTTTAGCGAGAAGCCCGATGGAAAGCTCCCTTTTGTCAGCAAGCCTACTAGGTATTTGGGTGTCAGCCCTGCGGATAAACAACAAGTCCGACGGAGAGCCGCCTGGCGCTAACTGTACCTATATTACTCATATGGCGGCCTGGTAGCCTCATTGCATTGAGAGTCCGTCCTGGATAACAGCATCAGACATACTGCAAGAGACCTACCACCCACAACCCAGCCACCGAGAACATAGCCGCGATGTCGATCTTCGGCTTGAAACGTATGTTCGATCAAAAGCTCAACCCGCCCAAGCCAGCGACGCAGTCCTTTGCTTCTCGCACGATTCTATTGACGGGCGCCACCTCAGGATTGGGACTGGAGGCTGCAAAGAAGATTGCAGCTCTTAACGCCGAAAAACTCATTATCACAGCACGAACTGAAGCAAAGGGTCATGCTGCAAAGAAGGAGATCGAAGAGTTCATCAAGGCTCACCCGGGAAATGCGACGACGAAACAGACAGAAATAATCCCCATGATACTCGACATGAGCTCTTTCGCCGAAGTTCGAAAATTCGCCGAAACTCTCAAGTCCAAATTCGAAGCGATCGACGGTGCAATACTAAACGCTGGGATGATGAACTCCAAATATCTCCAAAGTGGTGATGGCTGGGAGGAAACGCTTCAAGTCAACACCCTCGGCACGTTCCTTCTAGGAGTCCTTATCCTACCGCTCCTCATTGCCGCAGCAGACTCTGGGAAGAACAAAGATTACAAGCCTCACCTGACATTCATCTCCTCTGGCACTGCCTGGGTCGTTCAGCCGGGGCAGATGAAGGCGTTTATGAACAGCGAAACACCTCTTGAGGACCTGAGTGCGCAAAGGAACTTCCCTCCAGGTATTGCCGGCGGAGCAACACAATATGGCAGGTCCAAGCTCGTGCTCGAATACGCGGTGCGCCACCTTGCAGCATCACCTACCGTCAGGGGTGCTGATGGCAAGCCCAAAGTCATCATCAACACTGCCTGCCCAGGCCTGTGCAAGAGCGACCTGGGACGCAATCTGCGGAACGTAAACCTCCTCATCAGGTTGATCCAGTGGTTCCTTTACGGTATTTTTGCGCGAACAGCCGAGCAGGGCGCTAATACGTACACCACAGCCCTGATCCGCGGCGAAGAGACACACGGCGAGATGTGGAAGAATGATCGAGTGTTTGAGCCTGGGCCGATGCTGAGCACTGCAGAGGGAAGGGACTTTGGTGAGAAGATGTGGAGTGAAGTTCTCCAGGTTATCGTCAAGGCGGATTCAAGTACGAAGTCCTTATTAACCTGAGCATCGATTTCTTGTCTTTTATTTTTCTTCTGTCTTCTCTCGAGGCAGGTTGTTGGCGAATACCTATGAATTCTGTTCACCTGATACCACCTGGCTATTCCTGCATGATCACCTTTGCATAGTAGCAGATGAGGTGCGAAAAAGATGCGTTCCTTATTGTTGGAGTTCCCTCGGGGGAAATCAGGATCAGCGCTCCGGTTCGATCTTCAGTGATGCTGCCAATAGCAAGATGGAGCGGCGTGAAGTCGTCTTGTCTTGTCGGTCGCCACTGTCCCGGTCCCCGTGATCGCGGCTGAGTGTGGACGTCGAGGATATCAATGGCACCTCTTTCACTTTGATTTGAAAGGGTTTGCTCTATGAATTCAGCATGTGCTACCATGGCCACATGCATCCCAGTGCAAACAGCCTACCAAGACTGATTAGCAATCCCTCTTGCGTGCAAGTTTGCACCAATCAACTCGCCTGGTCGGCAAGAAAAGCTGATGTGCTGGCAACAGCTGACAGGCCGCCCTGGCTCACAGTGCGGAGTTGCCAGACGTCGCTACTGCAAAGGGTCTCCCGAGTAGACCCATTGAGGCTCCTGCGGGCTGGGCCCTTTGATCTGCGATTGTCGAGTTCATGCATCTGATCTTTTTTTGCGCCCCGCTTCCGGCGAACTCTCTGAGACAAACCTATCTGGAGAGAAATTCGAGGCTCATCAACGTTTCACTGAGATTGCTGTTCATCCTTTTGGGAGGTTGACTTGGATTTTGTCCGCACTGTCCGCAGAAGGATACCAGATACCAGATACACCCCGCATTTCATTTTCGCCCAATTGGGCTTATCGATAGCGTGATCCTCAGCGGTGGCAACCTCCCCATGCCGACATCATGATTCTGGTGAGTTCGCCACAACACCGTGTGAATAGGCCGGCTTCTGCGGGATGAATACTCACACAGGTGCAGGATTGTCCAAGAGTGTGTCCAGGTTCCCACATTGTCCGCGATCTAGCCTCCATGCAGTTGTAAATCGAATTTGGGCAAGCCGTTCACCTCGTAGCCACTGGCCCAGTCCACCCCCCACGAGCAGACAAGAGTTCCAGGGGATCCAGCCTGATGTATTCCAGAAGTACGGGCACCAGATCCGCCACCGCGGTGCAGGTCATCCAGGACAACGACGCCGCATCGATGGCATCCACAGCCGCCACAACAGCCGCCACGGATGCAGTACCACCATTAACCCGTGGTACTTCAACCGACTCATCTGGAGCGTCCTCGGCAGACACAGACATGGCCAGTAGTATATTGGGAGATGGATACATGTTGGAGTCACAAGATGGAGTGTTGACGGTGCCGTTTCGATACCATGAGGACGCCGATCTGCTCTGTCCGTTCCAGATCTTGGACTGCGATCAGGTCTTTGCCGACATCATCCACTTCAAAATGCATGTGTTTTCGCACTTCCGAGGACATGAGCTGCCGACATTCGCCACTTGTTTCTTGTGCGACAACAAGTATGTTTCCCGTCCAGACGATGACCCGGCCTTTGCGTGGAACACTATGTTATCCCATATGGTGCATGAACACTTTCGACAAGGCCAACAGCTGGCGACGGTCAGAACCGACTTCGGCCTAATGAAATGGATGTATAATCGGAGGATCATCAATGATCAACAATTCAAGAGAACCCAGTTACTCCCAGTGCAGACTGTCCTTCCCGGAGCCGCCACAACAAGAAGACAAATGGTAACCGTTGCAGAGTTGCCGCGAGCGCCGTCAGCGTCGCCACCAGCGGCTGTAAGAGCACACCTGGCCCTGTCGATGGGATACCAAAACGAACCTTACACAATGAATGCAGGGCGGAGGCAAGAAAGACGTCGACTTGATGCCACTCGAACCATGGTCCGAGCACATAGTTATATTTGAAATTTTTTTGCAAGAGATCTGCATGTGAGAACAACAAAGAATAAGGAAGTGTTGAGTTTTGGTGAGCGTACTTGAAGATTGAAATTGTGGCCAAAGCATGGCTGCGGCTTGCCAGCGCATAGCGTCGAACCCAGTTTGCGTTCTTCTCTTTCAAGTCTCGGCGAAGGCGTTCGGTTGCATTATTTCGGTGTCTGGCTCGAGTGAGAAAAGCTTGAGTGAGGTCTTGAAAAGGAGATGGACAGTTGAGCCTTGAGGTGGTCCGAAGGGATTCTGTCGTCATTCTCACTTTCTCCCTTTGAGCGGCAAGTTTAATTTGGCTTTCGAGTAATGGATGGGCATGCAACTATGGTCGGAGCGGAGCTGCCTACCCTTGTGGAAGGCCTTCTGGGTCACGACTTTTTGAGCATCTCGTGTAATCTTAGTGGGCTTACTACCTCCTGCTTGAAAAAGGGGTTTGGCAGGGATTAGCGACTCCTTCGTAATTTGAATCAAGAAGAGCCTGTTGACACACGAACACAGCAGCAGTCGGATATCCAGTTACTTCCCGTCAGTGCCTGAGATGGAAGAAGCACATGTACATAAGAAACCTGCTTGAATGGGCCAAACTTGGCTTGGGGGCTGCCTCATACAGCGCCTCGACCTGCACGTGGCGCAGGGGCTCTTAGCGCAGATGACCGCAACGAAAGGGCAGGTTTCCAGGCATAAAGAAAGAAAAGACAATGGATAAATAGCTTTACAATACCAGAAAAACAATCTGACGTATATAGACCCATAAGTACTTTGAACGACAAAGAGAAAGGAGATAATCAAGGAAGCAAGGTGCTTTTAGAGAGGAAGGGGTTGGCCCCCCCCCCCTTGATCAGCCATCCATACAGAGTACTCCGTACCTGGTTCAGGACGCGTATTGCAACAGCCAATCGTTTGGTAAGTAATGCCTCGCGAACTCCAAGGTTGAAGGTCATCCGACTTGAACCGTGTTGCACGGACCCCACTACTCACTCCCTATTTTGGGTCGAAGGATGAAGATGGCCCTGGCTGCGATAACTCTCGAGTGAGTATTCCCGCGATTTCCCAAATCTGACAATAACTGGGACAGTCTCCTACATCAATTACGCATAACAAGAATGAGGAGCGAAGCCCTGTGGACGGACATGAATTTCGGCAAAGCTGACACCCAAAGGTACCCGGGCTTTTGTCGAAATGTTTGTCTTGGGTGTGCCAGCGGCTGCCCTCCTGCGAAATAAGCTGTTAGTCTTGTTCCGTCTGTCATTGGAGAATTGGTACGAGATGAGCTCTGCGATCAGACAGCAGTTGGTACAATTTATGCTTCCACAAGAAGTTTCAGAACAGGTCTGTGTGAAATTGTGCTTCATCAGGCAGATATGGCATCCTTCAACTTATCGATATGGCTTGATATGGCTTACCTCAATTTGTCTGCAGCACGCAGCGCCAGGACCCATCCCCGATCCCGTGAAGACACTCTCCCTAGTATGGTCTTCCGACCGTACGGAATCTCTCGGTGCTAATTCTGAAGCGGAAAATTGACTTTCATGTACTGGAGCTGTTTGACTCTGATCGCTTGAAGAATCCATCCAGGCTCTGTTGCTTCGCGTCATATGGAGCTGATCCCAATCCACCCCTGGTGCGCTTAAGATCAAGCAAGTGGTCTTTGCTGTTAATTCCATGGACGGTCATCGAATACCCGCTGAAAGCGGACTGTTCAATCTCCGTCAGTATCAAAGACCGGTCGTTCCAGGGTTGTGTAACAACTTCTGCTGTGCGTTTCTGAATTGTGACCTCTAAAAACCCAGTGTTGGTCCAGGGTGGCAGGTATTCCAAGGGGCGGTTGTTGCCCCAACCTTCAATATTCGGACCTAGAGCGACATTCCTGGTGCTAAATTTGCCCAGCAGCGTTTGCCATAACACAGACAGAAAGAGACCATGGGAAACGACAGCAACGCATTCTTGCACGGTGTCCCGGGCATCCTCTGCACTGGCAAACAGCGGGAGGATAAAATCGTTCAAGAATAAATCTGCCCTTTTCACCATAGCCTCTGTGGTTTCTTGAGGGCGAAAAGACGTGTCTTCTGAGTTGGGTACTCTAGGGTTGAGGGTGTGCTGCGCGCTTCTCGACGTCCAGGGCACGAGCTCGAGGGAGCCAAAGTCCTGCTCTCGAAGCAGCTCCAGTTTCACGACCCCGGGCACTTCTTCGCCAGAGAGTCTTGTAAGTAGGTTTCTCTGAAGCGCTTCGGCGGTCATGAATGCTCGTTGGAGATCCGAGGCATAGATTTGCGTGAATCTCAAGTTGCGGTGAGTCGTGAGGTACCGACCCAGTCGTTGGGTTTGCAGCACACCATGGTTTGTCAGCCTTGAGTCAGAGACACCCGCCAGAAGACCGGCAACGTTATGCTCCGTCTCTCCATGTCGAATGAAAAAGAGATGCATAGAAGTATGCCACAAAGCTAAAGAGCAGGTCAAGGTCTAGGAATAAATGTATCGCAAAAAGGGCGGCGAATCAACGGAAAATTAAATGGAGCTGCTGAGAAGGCCAGCAGTTGTCTGGGGAAAGTTTGCCGGGCTCTGATTTTCACTCTACGACTCGCGTGTTCATACATTCCCTTCCTCTCATTATTGCATTTGTGACACCAGTGCTCTTCGCCACAACCCTATCCGCGTCACAATGGACAGGTTGGTCTCCCATTTCAAGCATCTGTGGATGGATTCGCTGATGTTGTTTAGCCTTACCCCTGCCGAACAGAGGGAGCTGAATGCTCGCATGGAGGCGAAGCAGCTCAAAGAATTCATGAAGGTAAGTTTAGTCGGATCCTATCCTAATACCCAGGTTTGATTCACGTCGATCTCGTGGCTGACCTATGCATGCTCTGTGCTAGACCTATTCCAACCTTGTCCAACGGTGTTTTGATGATTGCGTCAACGATTTCACGACAAAGTCATTGATCTCAAGAGAAGAAGGATGTGTAATGCGCTGCGTTGATAAATTCTTGAAGGGTTCGGAGAGATTAGGGGCAAGATTCCAAGAGCAGAACGCAGCCATGATGCAGTCGGGTCAACTGCCCGGCAGATAAACCTGAAAGTCGCCATCCATCTTCTATTCGCAGACACATTTGTATGATATGGGGAAAGGTGTGAGCCCTTTGTACGGCATTTGATCTGGACATGTCGCCATGGCATTGATATCTTCCAGCGCTGGTTGGAAATTGCGGCGCTGTTCTCAACTTAACATGGAAGGAATTTAACACTCAGAGGGGTGTACGCGGTGGCTCCAGGTCATTCGACGTCTCTCCTCTCCATACTCCAAGCAATACAAGTTCCGATCCAGTATCAACACCACGTCATAATGTCGGTCGAGATGACTGCAAGGAGCAGTTGACCCGCAAGAAAAATAGGCGCATGTGGTTGAAATGAGGTTTACAAACGCGTCTCAAGGCAATGAGTGACGGCTCAAAGAGGATGACGGGTTCGCCGATCCATTGGGTTGACTCTACCCCTTCGAATCTAGCGGTCCGTCGATGTGAAGATCGTCTCCATCACAAAATTGATAGTATCTCTGAACCCTCGCAAGGGAAATAGCCCGGACCCGTCGCGTTCCTCCTCTATGGCAACGGCGTCCTTGAGGCAGCTGGATTAAGTGCTGGTGGTGCTGAGTTGTGGGATTATTTGATCAGACTGGGTTGCCACCAGCATGTGATGGTGGGAATTTTGTTCAGCTTGGCCGTGGACATGTTCAAGATTTTGTCGTCAAGGCCGATGGGACAATGAAGACGTGATTGCGCCACAGTGAGGCGCAAGTCCAGGAGGGTTCGAGGCAAAGCGTTTGGTTGGGCACTGGTGAAGCGACACGAGTCGAGTGCATGAAGCGGCTTTCAAACGTGCCCGTTACGATTGCCCCGGGCTAGCCCACCTCTCCCTCCTTTTAACAAGGCACCCACGAGGACCGCTATCCGGAGTCCTACAAGTAGTGCCCAGGGCGCCGCACACCCAGACGTTTACGACTGGGGTGGAAACGAACCGAACCCAGTTCAGCTCCTTCCAGGCTCTTGCAGGCTTCACCTCCCTGAACTTTGGGGGTTCTTGCTGCCTCTGGGCGCGGTTCGATAAGCAAGCAGCCAGGTTCCTCGTTAGGCCCCAAGTGCTAATTGGCGCTCCGTATTGCTCCCACTCGGATCCTCTCCCCAAGCCCCCAGAGGCGACCCTGGACGAATTGGTCTTTATACCGCTCCCCTGTAGCCTCTAGCAAGTACACCCAGTCTATACGGAGGCACGGGTAAGCCTTGCCGCTTTGTCGGTTCCACTCTCGCGAACCTCACATTCGACCGTGTCTTATTTCAGCTCGACTCAATTTTTCCTCCTGTCCTTCTCTCTTTCTCTACCTCTATTCGCCTGTTAGGGAGTGTATTCTTTTTGAACGGATCTCGAACTTCGTTGCCTTTTCTCATGCTCTCTGTCGCCTGCTTGCTGCGCGTCTATTCCAGTAGCTTAATCGGATCCCGCCCATCTCGTCGTGTCTGAGACACCTCGAACCGCCACCTCCACCAAAGACCGCTGCCTTGCACCTTTGCTTCATCCGTTGCTTCGCTGGAGCGCGTCCTCGACATTCCTTTTTCCCACCCTCATTCATCGTTGCCCTTGGGCTGGATCCAATCGGCTCCTGTACACACTGTAAATCCAATGATCTGCTAGATCTGTCTGTGTGACCATCTCGACTGCTTCCTCCACTCACTTCTTCGCCTTCCGCCGTCAATTCGTCACCGTCAGGGCGCTTTGTCCTACACCACCTCCGAGGCGAGCTTACAAAAGGTCGCCATGGCCAGCAACATCATCGGCAACAGGAACAGCACCCCGGAGGCGTCTAAAACCTCACTTCGCCCACCCACCTCCAGGACCATCGGCACATCCGGGTCTCATACCCAACCTGTCCGTTCTTCTGCCGACATGTCTTTTGCCTCTCCCCTCTCGGCACGTACCATGCGCCCCGCTTCCGAAGTCTTATACAACCAACAGTCTCAGCAAGGCAGCATGGATGATTCGAGCAAGTTGGGGGAACAATGGATTCAAGACATTGAACAATACGAAACCATGCTAGAAGAGATGGCTGCTGCGACATTGGATCAGGACTTCAAAGACGAGTTGAGTGCCATTGAGCAATGGTTTCGAGTCCTGAGCGAGGCTGAGCGCACGGCTGCCACCTATGCCTTGATTCAACAGACCACCCAAATGCAGCAACGATTCTTTGCTCAGGTTTTGAACCAGATGTCCAAAAGCCATCCCATTTCCGGCGTTCTCTCACCTGCAAATTTTGGAGAAAAAGATGCTATGTCCAGCCGCCTCAGCGATGCCATGTCCAAGTTGAATGTGGATGACCGGAGAACGTCTCTAACTCGACCACCAGTCTCCCCTGCCGGTAATAAGCGTAACTCAGGCTTGGACCAATCCACCATCCACGCAATGTTTCCTGACGCTGTCGCCGCAATTCAGCAGCAAAAGGCCGAGTACGCTCAACAGACAGGCAACCCGCCGCCATCAAACAGGAACAGCATGGTTGTAGGAGATCGCAGCTCATTAGTGGCCCCAACCATAGCGGCCCCGAGAGAGTCCAAGACAGATGCCATGAGTTGGCGTCAGGGCGGTGGAGATGGCCAGCAGCCTCCCATATCCAGACCCAAATCCTCATCTGGCCACCAGGGTCAGCATCAGCCGATGGGTCAGTTCAGTCAACCCCCGTCGTCTGGGGCTCTTCGCTCTCCGCGTCCATTGGGAGCTTCCGGCGGCAACATTCAAAGCACCACTTTGACTGCCCCGGACCCTGTATCGAGTGAGATGCCACTTCTGTCTCCTTACAACGTAGGGAACCAGAGTTGGGCGTCAATGACCAATACCCCAATGGTCCCCAACTTCAGCCAAGCTCAGTCTCATAGCGAAATGGTGGCCAATGCAACTGCCATGAAACTCGCTGCCCTGTCCACCGTCAACAACAGAATTGCTCTGGACGATGTCAAGAAGTACCGTCGTGCCAGATCTAATGAACCACAACCACCGACGCAGCCACCGATGACACCTGGAATTACAGCTTCTGGCATTCCGGGTATCAATACTATCATGGTGAACGATCACGGACAAATCCTAAACGCTCAACAAGTAGCAGCAATTCAAGCGCAACAGATTGCTGCAGCACAAGGACGCCGATCTCGGCCCAATTCTCCCGGCCTCCCCTTACCGACTCCTCTTGGACAAACAGCTTTCTCTTCTCCTCAACACAACGGATTCTTGGCTGCGTATGAGGGAGCGCCGATCATGATCGGTGCAGGGATGCCGGGGCTAGTTCCCCAGACGGGCCTGTTCGGTACCGGTGGCGAAGGGTATCTGTCTGACCATTCTGAGATCAATCGGGGCCGGTCGCCTAGAGGGCGCCGCGGGAGCTCCAAACCTCCCGAAGACCCGACCGATCCCAATTTGCTGAAAGATATCTCGACATGGCTTCGATCACTGAGACTACACAAATATACCGACAATTTGAAAGATCTCAAATGGGAGGAATTAATACAGCTCGATGACAAAGGGCTGGAGGCCCGTGGTGTGAATGCTTTAGGTGCGCGAAATAAGATGCTCAAGGTGAGTTAAGAAGATGTCGAGCATAGGCAATGATCGCTCACGTCTTGCAGGTATTTGAGCAAGTCAAAGAAGCTCAGGCGGAAGGCAAGCTGTAGAATGGCAGTTTCCTTTTGGCCACAGAGATTCTCATGTATTGTCCGATGGAGATGCCGCTATCCTTTTCCGACCTTGCAAACATTTGACACATGGGCGCTCGGATTCAATTTAAGCACGACGGTTACGGAGCACCGAGCGAAGATTGGGGCTAGGCTTATGATCTAAATCAGCCCCAATTGTCAGCCTTGTCATGCTGCGAGCTGGCACTCTGGACCGAATGGGGATCTCCCAGCGCGGCCGCTGATGTTGTCGACACAACCACAAGCCCGACGCAACCGTGTCCTCTACCTTGGTCGGGACAGGACAAGAAGACCCCTGGTAGCTTTCAGCTCTTGGCGACGAAGATTGACCAGTGATGGCATGATGACTCGACGTTTTTCTATATAGCGTGACGAGATAACCCATATCACATACGAATCTTCTATGTGAACGTCCAAACCGGACCAAAATGATTGGACACACTTGGTACTGTAATGGACTGAGGAGTTTTTTGAGGCTCAGTATGATAACCCTGGACGGGAAATAATTAGAAGGAAAGTCGCCACTCTGTTGAACACATTCTGTGTGCCCTTGGAGTAGATGGAGCGGGGACCCACCGCAGCCAAGCAGCTTTGGCTTCAGTGATCGCAACTTGAAATCTACGAGCACATAGACGGATTTCCCAGCATCCATCACAGCAGATTCTCTTGCTTCTGCGCCTGGTCGACCGGCTCGGCTACACACATTCCATCCCCTCAAAGAGCACGGTATCCATTGCACTCCGCTATGGCACCCTCACCGCAAGAGCTTTCTCTACTCCTCGACCCACTGGTCCCCGACTCTCTCACTCACAACACTCGCGTACGAATTCCCTCTATGCTTCCCATACTCTGACCATTTACTTACCGCATTCTGTACTGTAGGCGCTCTCCAATATTCGCTCCATATCCGGTCTTCTTCTCGGCATCGCGGCCGGCATTCTGGGCCTCGAATCTCTCTATGGGTTCGCCTTTTACCTTTTAGCCAACACCCTCATCTCCGCACTGTTCTATTTCCTTCTGGCGAGGGGCACACCCCAGAAATATTTTGCGGGAACTACTGGGTCGAGGGGCTTGAATGAAAATGGCAAAAAGGGCAGGAATGAGGGCATAGGGGCGTGGAGGGAGATATGGCTCGGAGGCGGGTTGTTTACGGAGGCGTTGAGTGGGTTTGTGCTTGGATGGGCAGGGGTTGGAGGAGTTATAAGATAAATGGCATGATGGAAAGATGTCTCTGAGGAGGAATTCATGATAAAGATGTCATGCAAAATTGAAGCTGTGGCCCGAGGTGAGGACATCGGATGAAGGACACGACGGTCTTCATGGTCGATGCAGGAACTCCGACACACCGCCAGCATTCTTGCTGGAGCTTGCAAGCAGACTTCTCAGTGTATTTCTTCGTCTCCTCGACAAGATACGGAGTCCTTGGTCTCTTAACATCCACGGATGAGCCGGCTGCAATCTTGCAACAGACAGACACGGTCAGAACACGCTATGGCCCGGGAGTTCTCAAAGAGAGCTTGTTAGAAGATCTCTTTCCTCGACACGATCAATCAGGCCTACGACTTGAGAATTGAGTATGACTGCCCGTTCGAATGGGCCATATCTCGACTATCACTGTGGCGTAGTGAGACAAGGCTGGGACTGGGCCTTGTAGTTACCGCCGCTTCTAGACCTACTGAGTTACATCTCAAGTTAGCCCGCACAAGCCGCATTACAGAGTGCAGCTAGGAGTACAACTCGGCCGCGGGTTTGGCCCCCAAACACATCTTCAACTTACCAGCATCTCAACAGAAAGCCACCCCTCACTTTGGACGCCTTTTCATATCTTGGCCTTTGGTTGCCTAAGTTGCACGTATTTATGGCTACCGGGTCGCCCCGAAAATTTATATTCTATTGGGCCTTTATCATCCTAGGTGAAATCCCCAACTTTTGCCGTCTGAGATACACCTGCCGTTGCTTTTGGGACACCTATAACAACAGTTCTGAATAATGAGTCTCGCCCAGGGCGGAGCAGATACTGCCGCTCCCGTGGTACCCAAAAGCTGGCTTATCTCCTGTGCCTGCTCGGGTATTGACCTTGTGCGACACTTTACAAGCTCGACTAAGAAGAGAAAGTCTAGCCAGATATCCCGAATATACCGGTTTTCACCGCAGCAGACTGTTCACAGCTCCTCAGAATGCTCTCTGTGTCGCCTGATGGCCAGCAGCTTGCCCACGGACGAGCCAACTCCGGTCAACTTTCTGACCCGATACAAGTCGGGGGAGTCAAGAGACTCAGCTGGGAAAGTCATTGATGTTACGTGCATCGAGGTCGAGAATCCCGGTGCTCTACGCATTCTGCCGCTGGGTGATGATGCTCAGGTAATTGGTAGACAAGCAACCAACTACGCAAGACCTCTAAACCCTCTGAAAGCGAGTCGCGAGCTAATGCGAAATTGGTTGCGCACCTGCGAGCATGATCATCAAGCCTGCAAGAACGTCGAGTCGAGAATTAGGAGTCGTGGCAAAGGTCCAAAGCGGCTCATCAACGTCCGGACCATGTGTGTCGAAGACGTACCATCGTTAGTGGAAGCCCGGTATTTTGCCCTGTCCTATGTCTGGGGGAACGCGTCTCGGCGCCGGCCTGCGGGCGAGGAAACTAAAGTCAAATGCGCCGGCAAGACCTTGGCAGCTCATCGCGTAGTTCGCGATGCCATTGAACTCACTAGAGAATTTGATGAGACGTATTTGTGGGTGGACAGCTTCTGCATCCGTCAGGATGATGCTCATGAACGCGCTTCCGAAATTGCCCAAATGAACAACGTTTATGCCAGCGCATTGATGACCATTGTGGCCCTTGCGTCCGACAATGCTGACAGTGGTCTAGACGGTGTTCGACGCTACTCGGGCCGCCGATGTTCTCGTGTTGAACAAGTTGATGGCATCAGACTGACGACGGTTCTGCCGAGCGCCAGTGATATCGCCGCGATGCCTTCCTGTAAATGGAATCAGCGTGCGTGGACCATGCAGGAGCAGCTCTTTTCCAGACGTATCCTCTACATGGGCGCCGGTCAGGCTTATTTTAGCTGTCTCACGGCAGCGTGGAGTGAAGACAGGTATGAAGCTACAGACGACCACCTGGGTCTCCGCGAGCACCCTGGCAAGTTCCTCCTCGAGCCGCCTGATGACGCAGACTGGTGGAATGTGTGGCAGGATTATACGGAGCAATACTCGGCAAGGCTCTCCACGGAACAGGAGGACCGGTTTTACGCGTTCCAAGGGATCCTCAACGAGCAAAAAGAACGCTGGGACGTCCACACAGTCTGTGCTCTTCCCGTCCGATGTTTGCCCTTGGCACTATATTGGTTTCACGGGTCCGTCCTGTACGAGTCCCTGACTGCCGCGCGACATCGCATCAATGCTTTTCCGAGCTGGTCCTGGATCGGATGGTCTGGCCGAGTCAACTTCCCAAACTACCGGCTTTACAGGTCTGCCCTCCGGCGTATAACGATCAGACAAGGGCCTGTGGCCACCACGTATATGTACAATCGGCAAGGCCGGAGAGAACAGACCAGCAACTCTCAGGTACAGGTTGACGGCGCAACTGAAGCGCCCAACAACAAAGACGCCGCTGCTACTACTGAGTCGACCGACTCGACCAGCCCCGAAGCTCCAGAGAAAGCTATAGACCAGAAGAAATACGACGAGAAACCGGTGCTAGAGTTCGAAACCTCGCTCGCCACCGTCATCGCAGTCGTGCCTCGAAGCAATAGGAGCAACCTCAGGATCACAACGCCAGGCGGACAACGGATCGGGACGCTGCACTCGGCGGCGTTCGTGTCGAGCTTTGACCTAGCGACGGGCGAGATCGAGCTTGCCTGCACATGTATGCTAGTTGGGACAAGCCACCGACCCTTTTTCTGGCAAGTGAGTGACGATCCTGTTTCCACGGGCGCGGCCGCGACGACTACTGCACGGCTGTTAAACGCGCGCAACTTCTTCTTCGATGGACCCGGTTCTACGCCGTCGCGCAAGATGGCCGGTGTTCTAGACACTACACAGCTGCAAACCATCGGACCTCTGATCCCGCAGGAACACGGCCGCCTATGGCACGCGGCGGGGGCTGTGGCGTTCATGCCAGTCGGGCTGGTGGTGCTGGCCATCGTGGCCGCGTACTACGCGCTGATCTTTGTATGCGTGGTCGGCATGTGGCCGCTGATCCTGCTGCTGGCCCTGGCGCTCGTCCACCCGGTCATGTACGCGCTAGGCTTCGACCGGGTCGCGCATGTCATCTGGATCGAGCACGTCGGCCGCGGCCTCTACGAGCGTCGCGGCGTAGGCGAGGTGCGGTACAGGCCGTTCATGCGGCTGAACCCCGAAGTCACGACGGTCAAGTTGGTCTAGAAAAAGTCCACTACATATACATTTGTACTTCACTCACATAACGATTCTACGCCCACAGCCTGGAAGGTCCGTCAATTTTGTAGCTATTTTCCCACAATGCAAACGTAATGTAGCAGTACTATACCATTAAATCCCGCAAGCGTCGCGGGATATCGAGCACGTATGGAGTATGGTAGTACAGAAACACAGAAGCAGAGAGCACCGAAGTATGAGTTCCATACACGCATAATTCCCCTCATCCCCAAGCACAATATGTTAATCAATAATACAGAGGATTCCCTTCCCTTGCCATCCTTTTCTTTCCTCCCATTTCCCTCGTTTTGAACAGGAAACGGAGGAAGGAAAGAGGCGTAGTCCACGGTCCTCAGTCTCGCCCGTCAACCAGGAGCTTCTACATATACATAGCTATCGCGAGAAAGATAGGTGTACTTGGTCTGTACATACGTGTGTGCTGTTCCAGAAAAAGGGCATGTGGGGCATGCATATAGGAGAAACGATCAAAACGGCGAGAAATAAAAATCCAGCACTGGAAAACAGAACCCTGATTACTACGTACATACTGCACGAAGCATGATATGAAAATGTACCGCAAAGGTCTGAATCACACCACCAACCGATATAAAAGCCGTTGAAGAGCTTCGTCTCTTCTGTTCTGCATCACAAGCCAAAGCAACCGATCAGAGCCGCCTCTTGTTGACCGATGGGGGTCAAAGCAGTTTCAGCACCCGTTTGCGCAACGCATGGCAACCTCATAGTCCCAAACAAGACACACAACTCCAATTCCTTACCATTAGTCACCCGTGCGAAGCTGGACAATAATCCATCCTTCCACCGCTCGCGCCTAATTCACCCCATCAACACCCCAAGCCTCTCCCACCCCAAAATTTCTCGATCCTAGAGTCCATCAAAGCACACCTTCATACGCTCAAAAGACTATATTGATCGTACGTCCATATCCACCCCATCTGCACAATGCCAATTTTGGGTCCACTCAGGCAAGGCTCGTAGATCCTCAAGAGCCAAAGCTATGAAGCATTCCCAAGGTCGTTGGATTTGATCAATTCATACAGCACTGGTGCTGCCGCATCTTCGGGTCAAGTCGGTCTGACCCTTTCATTTCAGAAAGATTTGCTTTGGTGGTTACCATCTCCCTCTTCGTAGGATTCGTCCAGTCAATGACCGCCGAGGTTCTAGCCGGGCATTCTCCTTTTCGGTCTTCTCATCCTTGCCGTCTTTTTCTTCTCTTTCTTTCTCATCGTTCTCGTTGTTTCCAGGTTTGCGAAGCTCCCCATCAACCTCCAGGGATTTCCTGGCACCGCTGAATCGTCGACTCGGTCGTCGTGCGCTGCTGGGCGTAGTAGCAGTCAGAGATCTTGTCGTGATTGTCGGAGATTGAACGTTGGATCGTCGGGCACTTGATGTGCTAGCTTCCTTCGCGGCATTCCCATCTACCTCACTGGTCTCGGATCGTTCTCCAACCGAATCCGCCGCCCGTGTCGGCTTTTCAGCTGACGCTGCATTCTTATCGCTATTAGTGGCACCATTTACTCTGCTCTCATTTGGCTTTTCTTGGCTGTCCTCCGTGGTTCCGGTCATTTCAATATCATGATCTTTTGCTTGTTGGTTAGAAGGCTCCTCAGTCGCGGTCTGCCCGTCTTGCTTTTCCTCTTCGCTCTTGACCTCGGCTGGCTGTGGTTGGGTTGAAGAAACCGACGGCTCAGGCTCGTCTGGTGGAGCACAGGATTGCTGGTTGGGGGGATTTTTCACGGCTTCACTGACTGTAATTATGTTCCTAGATTGCGGCCGCAGGGGGGCAACCTTGACAGTTGATGGAGGGGTAGGTGGAGACCCTGTGGTGGAAAGGCCGAGTTGAGAACCCAAGGCTTGTTCGCTACTCGACGGTTCAGTCGAGCTGAAGTCACCCTGCAAACTTTTAGGTTCTGGTTCAACGCTCACCGGGGTCGACAACGGCGCATTTACTCCCAGCCAGCCGGGTCGGCCGACCATATAGGTGTTCGCCGGCGAGCTAGATGCCGTCTGAGGCGCAGATTGTCTTCCGGTTTCATTGTTCGAGGCACGGGACTGTTGGCCGTTTATCTTGGCTAAGTCTGGACTCCTTTTCAGAGCATCAGACATGGTGGGACTGTCGTCGGTTGCAGCCGGACTTGGTCTATAGCCAGCGGGTCTCGCCTCAGGATCGACGCCAAAAGAGCCTGGCGTGCCGACTCTCCCAAAACTCTGGACCTTGGTCTTCAGCTTCATCTTCAAGTTCTTGGGGTCTGCCATTGTTCCCGCTGTTCCTCTACCGTGGTGGAATTCGAAATCTTCGACCTCTTTGACCGGAACACCATATTTCTCAAGTGCCTTATCGAGACTGCCGATGGTGCCCTTCGGCTGATCATGATTCTTGACAATGTGGCATTGCAGACCATGGACAGTGCGCCAATCGATACGTGAACACCCATCATGGTTGCAGCGAAGGTACATCTCGACTGCGGGTCCTGTCGGATGATCTGCTGTCCCTCCCGGACCATACGAGGTCCAGATACCGCGGTTCAAGGTATCAACTCTTTCGCAGTGATGGTGTCGGTTTGCAAAGGCCTCTGACATCTGATATGGATGGGTCGTTGAGGGTGTGCGTTTAGCACCGCTCCCCGTTTGTCCCGTGGAGTTGGAAGTATTCGGTGCACCTGGGTAAGAGTGGAAGTGATTCGGTTCGACCGGATGACTGGATGTCTTGTTATCCACCTCGTTGGGAGGCCTAGACAAGGGGATGTGTGTGGCCGGCGGAGTTGCGTTTGTTCTCGCGTTGATGGTCGCAAATCCAGATGTTGACGGCGCATTGATGGAAGCGAATCCCGAAGACGTGGCGGGAGGGGGTGGACGGGTATCATATATCTGTCTTGGTGGATTAGGGTTTGTTGCTGGTGTCACTGGTGACTGAGTACTTGGGACGGGTCGCGTAAGAGGAGAAGCCGGCCGTCCTAGATGGTTAAGATGCGAGCGATCGGCAGAGGGTTGGGGGCCATGACCTGATCCGTTAGTCGTAATCGTCGGGGAAGCATTGCTTGGTGTGGTCGAGTAGGATGAGTGATGATATGGTCGCGGGTACGATGATGGGGAGTCGCGATAGAAAGAATAGGAGGGAGCAGGCAGAGTGCTTTTCGCAGGAGCTGCTAGACCTGATTGCGGTGAAGGTCTCGACTGGGCTGGATTGATAGCATCAGGTTGACCAGGGGGGCCAACCTGGTGACGTTTTGGGGGTGGAGGGAGTGTTGAAAGTGCGGGTCCCGGCGGCGACATTGACGATGAGGATATGCTACGGCCTCCCGGCATTGGCGAGTCATCTGCTGGCAATCCACGTTTAAGTCGCTTCAGCCGGCGTCGGAGATTCTGGGACGAGTCAGCTCGACCGACCTCTCGCAACCGACAAGTCGCAACCTACACTTTCTTCATCCTCGAGGTCATGATCAAACTGGGCAAAGGCCATATCTTCCCTCCTTCGGCGCGCCTCGATTCTGGCGTCTCTTCGCTGACGAGCTTCCATAATGAGGGCCCATTTCCTGTCTTGGGTTTCCCGTTTGCGACGAATCTTGTCATCTTTGCGAGCGCGCTTGGCTCTGAGCAGATCGAATTTCTTGACGTTGTGGTCCTCAACGCGCTGCAGTTCGTCGAGACGTGCCTGGACGGCATCAGAAGACTCCAGGGCGTGTTTTGATGCTGGCGCTGGCAAAGGAATCGGTGCAGTCAACGGGCCCGTGAATCGAAAGTCATCGCCTCTGTCAACAGAGACGTCGCTGTCGGAAGATTCGGGGTCCATTGGGTCCGGGATAGTTGGTGAACGTTGAGGTGGCTGCGGGAAATTTCGAGGGTGTTGCTGATACGGCGACTCCCACGATGAGCGCGGACGCTAAAGGCCAAAGGTTAGCGACAAGATCATGGTGAAACATGAGTGAATTTACAGTTTGACGAATTACAAAGTGCCAGCGACAAGAACATTCACACCACTTCTCTTGAGGGAATGGGAATGATGGTGAAGCGGGCGACCACCACTCAGTGCTGAGTACGGGGAGGATGTTTGGGGGAAAGGGAAGCCACCAATCCCCATCAAGTCACGTCAGGTAGGTGAAGGGTGCTTTTTTCCCCCTCCCTTTTCGACCCGGTAAAATGTGGTTATTGATAGTAAAGGGAGTAGACGAGAGTGTCCGGAAAGGGTTAAGAGTCTGGTGCAATAGGTTCAAGGATGGCAATGGGGCGCTAAGCAGAGACAGGAAAGACGCCAATACAAGTGGTTGCAGCTGGATAACACCAAATAGGAGTGAAGGTGTTTTTGGAAATAGATGGCGATTGGTGAGAGGCGAGAAGGAGGAGCCGAAGCGGAGTGGGATGAGTCGAAGACCCAAAAAGGGTCGGCCAGGTATTGAAGCAAGATGCCAAGAGAACCAGGAGCCCGGGAGATGCTGGTGGAGGCAGTGGCAGGCATTCGATTCCTGTTGGAGAGCAGCCTAGAAGCCCGCGGGCTAGAGCTGGCTAGAGCCTAGAGGTCCTAGGAGATGGCCCCTAAGGAGCCTGCAGAACCCGCCGAACCAACAACCAACAGCCCAACAGCTAACCCTTGCCACAATCACCACGCGGGCAAGCGAGCGCAAGTGGCAGTATATCGTCACTGGATTCACAATGTCGGTTCCTCTGCATTTCCCAGGGCCTGGTGGCGTTTTTTTTTTTTTTTTCTCTCATGCGGTCACTCTCGGTAGTTTGACAGAGAGGGTTGAAGGTTGAGTGGTGACAGCAATCATTGACAGTTGATTTGAGGTGCCAGTCTAATTGTCCTGTTCTTTGAGGAGGCCAAATGGTGATGATAGGAGTACGAGTCCTCACGCGCTCTCCATGACGTTTTCTCTTTAATTTTTTTTCCCGCTTGCTTTTAAAATCCCCGATAAAGTAAAGGGCTAGGGCAGTGCATAGGGCAGAATAGTGCTGAGAAATAGAATATGAAAAGACGTCCACATACCTCGGATCCCACTTCGTGCGAGAGGTTGCGCGGCATTTCAGACGGAGGCCGCGAATACATAGTAGCGACGGTGTGGATTGCCCTCCGTCTCCAGGTTGTGGTGTGCAGGTGGCAGGGGGGATGTGTAGGCAAGTCGAGAAGCAGGATAGATTGAGCGCGACTCAGGCCGAATGGAAAATTAAATCCAAATGGGGAACGGCATCGGCATGTGGATGGTGGTTGAGCGGTTGACAAGGAGATGGTAATACAAGGTTGACAAAATCAATGGTGTACAACTCTGAAAGGAGGGATAAGTAACCTCACGGCAAGTGGCAGACAGGGTGATGGTGAAGAAGTGTCTGTGTAGAGAAGCGGGAAGGCGGAGGATGGGGAAAGGAAAGGGAAAAGGAAGGAAAGGGGAGTGAGTTGCACAAGAAGAGGGAGAAGGAGAAGGAGAAGGAGGGAAAGCCAGACCAGAGAGCGCAGAGACAGACCGAAAGAGACAGAGAGCGCGAGACAGATGCAAAAAGCGCACTAATCAGTGTAGGATAGGCACAAGAGCAAACAAGCCGTGGGATGATTGGTTGAAAGGGGGCAAAGGCCAAGGTTAAAACGTTAACAAGAAGCGAACAAGAGGCGTTTAGAGTCCCGAATAGTACTGCCTACTTAGACAAGAACAAGAACAAGGAGGGTGGGAGGGTAGGAAGTGTGGGTGTGGGTGCTAGATCCGTAGTAGTTGAGAGAATTTAGGGATTGACTAGGGAATTAATTACAAGAGGGAAGCGGGTTCTCGCTTGACCTGTCACCAAGTATGTGTGGCACTTGGTGGCAGCCGCCCAACAGTGAATACTCCGGATAGGAATGGATGCGAGAAAAGAAGGGGAGGAAAAAAAAAAAATACAGAACGGAACGGAACAGGACAAGACGCCAGGCGGCGATTGACGAGATTGAGTTGGATCACCATCTTTTTTCACTTTTGGGGCGGGGGGGGGTCAATGCAGACAGCCCCGGTGGATACCCAGTACAGCGACAGGCGACAGGCGATGAGGTGCTACCCAGATAGTAATGGGGGGAGACGGGGAGGATATCTGGTTAAGCAGAATAGCCTGGTACTGTAGCCCTGAGCCTACTGGGTACTTAGCAGCCCTTGATAACAAACCCACCCTCGGCGGCCCCCCTGTTGCCCTGGCTGTTTCAGTGCTGCCCGCAGATATAACCCGAAGCAGCAGCGTTTAGGCCCAGCGAGGCCCGTTTAATTAGCGGCCAGATTGATTAGTGTGGACCTGAACTATACTGACTGAGCCCACGGTACCCTGTGTTTACGTGAACTCAACTCGTCGTCATCCGGCCTTTAACTGTATTGTGTGTGCCGGCATCAGCTGGCCACTCTCCGCAGGCCACAACTGGATGCGGTGACTTTTGATTTTTGATTTCTGCTTGGCTTGCGACATGGCTGCCCGCTCGTATAGCCAGCCCCCCTATTTGACTAGTGGGTATTCATGGGATAGGCTGCGCGGGGCCCGCCCTCGCCGTCCTTGGGATTCTGGCATACGAGGCACTAATTTCTAATTTCTGCTTTTGCTGGATATACGGTACGAGGTAATTTCTCTCTGATAATACTTGGTTGCTATCGGGCAAATCACATTACTCTGTACAGCTAGCCACGCAACCACATACTACTCACAGAATAACACCCCCTTCCGTATCGGGCCCTTCTCTTACTTTCCTGTCTGCTGCTCGCCCCCCCTTCACCCTTCCCACATTCACGTTACAAATCCCTTTCCTCCTGTTTGTCCGCTCGGCTATCGGGGATTCTCGGCCAGTGCTTGCGGCCACTGTCTCATTGCCTCTCCCACGCCCAGCTTCTCCCGCAGATATGCCGTTACATACCGAGTACCACCTTCCTCGAACCCCCCCCCAATGCTCGTCCTCCGTACAGACCGCAACTAAATGGATTGCGTGGTATACGATATCGGTATACGTACGAGGTATGCGCGCCGTCCCCGACCCCGTCCCCGTGTTTCCCTTTTTTGAACGGTCCCGGCTCGCCTTTGTCGTCAGCTTGTCTCCACCCCGGCCTCGACTCAGCCTCCCTGAGAATCCATCCGCACCCAGTCGTATACGCCAGATCCGTCAGAGTATACGCAGCAGTCCTAAGTGCCATCCCGCGGTGATTGGCAGGCTGCTTATGCTATACTGAAGGAGTCCAACAATCATTCCCTCTTTCGGATATCGCCGTAATACCTAGCAATTAACTCCTTGCATGCCGCCCCAACGGCCGCCGAGACATTGTCATCGTCATCGTCATCATAATTACCCATGTAATTAATTAATCCGCTGGACGATACGAGGGGAGATTTCCTTTTCTATTTTCACAAGGGCACTACAATCCTGACAGACCCTCGCCCTGCTCGCCACCTTCAAGGCTGAGGTGTTAGTGTCATGCCCTGCCCTGCCTTACCTGCTCTACAAAAGATATTACACCCATCCATCTGCTATCCTTTCGCCAGCTAATCATTTGCAAAACAAACCCAACCCTCTGCTGTGCTCCGCTCCTGCAGTCATTTCCCCCGAACGGCAAAGCATGTAATGTAATATATGACGCTCCATGCTCCTTCCAACACTCATGCATACAAGTCGTGACCCAGCAGTTATGTCCTCATCAGCAAACCTATGTCCTTCCCCAAAAGGGCAAAACTAAAACACATAGAGAACTCTCTGCCAGCCATCATGGCAAGAATGTCGAAAGAGATCGGCCGATGTCCGGTTTAATAAAATGAAGTCGAGTACAGGGGATATCATTTAAAATACAGGTTGCTTTTTTGGCGCCCTCCATCTCCATCTTCAGCTTCACGGCTTCTGCTCACCGCTGGATGAGCCTTGCTGTGAGCCTGCATCACCGCTTGGCGGTGTCTGCTGCGACTCCTCGCGGGCTTTGTGCATCTTGTCAAACAAACTAAGAGCCGCACTCTGGAGCTCATCGATCTTCTGCTTCATCTCCTCCGCCGTGGCAGTGCCCTCGCCGGCCTGGTTCTTGGCAACGTACTCGCGGAGGGAAGCAATCTTTTCTTTAATGAGATCGGCTTCGGCCTTGTCGAGTTTGTCTTCGAATTCCTTCAATGCCTTGTCTGTGTCGTTAAGGACGCTGTCAGCTCGGTTGGCTGCTTCAATGGCAGCCTTGCGCTCCTTGTCTTGGGCACCATATTTCTCAGCATCATCCACCATGTTTTGAATCTCAGCATCGGATAGACCCGAGCCCGAAGCGATCGTGATGGATTGATCCTTGCCGGTCGACTTGTCCTTGGCGTGAACGTGGACAATAGAGTCGGCATCAATATCAAAGGTGACTTCGATCTGAGGGACCCCACGGTGTGCCGGAGGAATGCCAACCAACTGGAAGTTGCCCAACAACTTGTTATCACGGACAAGCTCACGCTCACCCTGGTAGACCTTGATCTCCACAGCAGTCTGGAAGTCGGCGGCAGTCGAGAAGATCTGTGATTTCTTGGTGGGAATAGTGGTGTTGCGGTTAATCAAACGGGTAAAGACGCCACCGAGGGTCTCGATACCGAGAGAGAGAGGTGTAACATCGAGCAGGAGAACATCCATAACTTCGCCGGCAAGCACAGCTCCTTGGATTGCGGCACCAATGGCGACGGCTTCGTCAGGGTTGACAGATTTGGCAGGCTCGCGTCCAAAGATGCTCTTGACGGACTCGGTGACTTTAGGCATACGAGTCATGCCACCGACGAGGATGATTTCTTGGATGTCCTTTGCTTGGAGGTTGGCATCTTTCAGGGCCTTTCGAACAGGCTCAATGGTCTTAGCGATGAGGGGGTCGACCATCTGCTCGAGTTGAGCTCGGGTTAGCTTGATGTTAATGTGTTTAGGTCCAGATGCATCGGCGGTGATGAAAGGCAGGTTGATATCTGTTTGGATCGAAGAAGACAGCTCAATCTTGGCCTTTTCAGCGGCCTCGCGAATACGTTGAATGGCCATGCGATCGTTGGATAGGTCGATACCAGACTCTTTCTTAAACTGCTGAACGAGATGGCGGACAAGGGTGATGTCAAAATCTTCACCACCAAGATGCGTGTCACCATTGGTAGACTTGACTTCAAAGACACCTTTTTGGATTTCGAGAATGGAGATATCAAATGTGCCACCACCCAGATCGTAGACCGCGATGATGCGATCGTCTTCCTTCTCGAGACCGTATGCTAGCGCAGCTGCGGTAGGCTCATTGACAACACGGAGAACATTTAATCCTGCGATTTGACCAGCGTCTTTCGTGGCTTGTCGCTGCATGTCATTGAAGTAGGCAGGGACTGTGACGACGGCGTTCTTAATGGGCTTGCCAAGATATGCTTCGGCAGTCTCCTTCATCTTTGCCAAAACCATACCTCCGATCTGCGACGGCGAGTATTTTTCACCGCGAGCTTCCAGCCACGCATCGCCGTTTGTATGTTGAACGATCTTGTAGGGGACTTCTTTGATATCTCGCTGGACTTCTGGGTCTGAGAATTTCCGGCCGATGAGTCGTTTGGTCGCGAAGAGCGTGTTTTCAGGGTTGACCACAGCTTGTCGCTTGGCTGCAACGCCAACGAGACGCTCCCCACCCTCGGTGAAGGCCACAACGGAGGGTGTTGTTCGAGTACCCTCAGCGTTTTCTATTATTCTAGGTTGTTTGCCTTCCATGACGGCGACGGCCGAGTTTGTCGTTCCCAAGTCAATACCAATAACTTGGCCCTTGACTTTTTCAGTCGACTCGGGAGCATCGGTAGAGGCATACCGCGAGATTATTGATGATCGAGGTGCTCGAATCTGGGAGAGGCGAGAGAAGGGGCTTGAGCGAGGAAGCTGGTGGCTCGATTAGGAGACGATTCCACGACGAAAGAAACAGCATTGGAACTCACCGCTCTGGACAACCGTGAGGCAATCATGATGATCTCAAATAGAAGAACAAACACAGGAGCAGCGAAGGAGGCAGGAGATGGGCAGAGGCCTAGAAACCGTGGTGAAGTTGAAGGTGAAGGAAATTGGTGATGGAATGGATGGATAGATGAGCTCAGGATACAAAGCAGACGCAATACAAATGGGCCGAGAAAAAATCTCTCTTCCCCTTCGCCGCAAGCTCGCGCGAGGCTTGGCACGACAGAAACTCTCAGAACCTACCGACTCGCCGAGTAGAAATTACGGAGCAAACCAGCCAAGACTAGCCAAGACCAGCTCAAATTGGTCTCGGCGGACCTTCCGCTTTAAAATAAATTCCTGCGAGCCTCGCCGTGAGAGCCTCGCCCAATCGACGTCACGGGCTGGCAAATCTGAGAAGCACGCATCTCAGTCTGTAATGCGATTATCACCCTCAAGTTAGAGACAAATCCATTCTTACAAACAGCCAATTTATAAACACTCCCTGCTCTATAGCTGCCGGGGGTCGCCTATCCAAGAATTTCCTCTTTCAAGGCTCCTTGACCCTGTACGCTTACCACCCTCTCCACCTCGATCTTTCCATCCACCTCCTACCTTGTCGAGCGATGCGTCTCATCCCCTAGATCCCTCAGCTTCCGTCGCGAAATGACCGTACCGAATAGCGAACTATGGCTCAATCCTGCAAAGTCTCTTGCTACTCATTCTAAGTTCTATCCCGCAAAGATCACGGTCGCTCACCACCAACTGCGTCATTTCATTAGTTCATCAGAGAAGGACCTCATTTACTATGTATCATGCAAGGACGTCTTCGTTCTCGATCTCGCAACCCAGCAGAACTCTTTGGTTGCAACGATACCCTTCGAGTCCCGATGTCTGGCTGCTGACCTAGGCTGGGTTTGTGTAGGAGGAGAACAAAATGGAGACTGCGCTTTCATCAAAGTCGAGAAGGACGAACATGATCGGCCGACATGCTTTGGTCACGAGATGAACGTTGACTTGTTGGGAGGAGAAATAGTCAATTCAATGAGCATCCACACAGTCTTGAACGAGGGCAAAACTTCTGACGAACCGGTCGTCCTAATCAGTAACAACGACAAGACCGTTAAGATCTACTCCCTCGCTCAACGGCAGGTGCTGACAACTCTACTGCATCCTGTTCCAATGAACTTTGCATCCATGTCGCCAGACTCCAAGATCCTCGCGGCAGTTGGGGACTCAGACCATGTGTACTTCTATCGACGACACCTCGACGAAGACCACGACATCATCGATGGCTCTTCCGGGACGTATGCCAAATATCACTGGCAGATGTTCGCCAACCCCGTGGTGCCGACTGGTGACCCCGTTTATGACGACCACAGCTTTGCAGTGACTTTTTCGCCCTCAGGGTATCTTTGCGCAGCTTCTTCCCAAGGCGGATCCATCTCGATATTCGACATGCAACATCTTCTGAGCAGCAATGAGCCTGGGGAATCATCCATAATATGCACCTTTAGATCATCGCGGCAAGCTTTGTATGGATGCGTCAGGTCAATGTCCTTTTCTCCTGCACCCTGGGATCTGTTAGTGTGGGCTGAAGACCACGGGAGAATTGGTATTGCGGATGTGAGACGGTCCTGCGTCCGAAGGCAGATACTGGACCTCGACCGTCAGAAAACAGAAGAAGTCAAGCTCGAAGATGGAACCCCTGTTGCGTTTCGCAACATAGGTCACAAGGAACGGTTGATGCAGCAACGTCTCGCACGATTAAGAGCCATGCGTGGCTTGTCGTCCAGAGAATTAGACAACGAGCTAAGCACTGATGATCTTCTGAGCGACTCTGGACAACGGCATAATCGCCGCGATCTGGTCAATTATGAGGGCTTGGATCTGGATGCGCGAGAAAGATCAATTGTTGAGGCGCTTGACAGCACAATGAACGTCGAACACCCCCCAACTCGCCCATACAGTATCAACTACACTTCTTCTTCCCCGGGCTGGATTGCTGGAAGGATCTCAAGTGAGGACACCTCGCAACCCCCAGGGACTGATCGCTCTATCAGTTCTCGCTCCCATCAACCAAGGAGGAGATCATCTGTAGTTTTTTCCCAGCCCACCACCAACAGAAGCCAATCCCCCGATATCATGGTGGTGGACCCACGCATGCTTGTATCTGCGTCTCCAGGCCGCATTGGAGACGACGAGGACATACCAACCATGTCGGCAAATACTTTACCTCCAGCTTCAGGCTCTAACCCACAGCCAGGAACCTCTAATATTCCGCCCCACGACCCCTGGCATGTCATTCAGACAGCAGTTGAGTCGGCTCGAGCATCGGCAGTTCGAGCATCCGACTACCGCAATCGCAATCGAGCGCTTCTTGCTCGGGTGGAAAATGCCTTGGAAGAGGAACGGGAGCTCGGGAGGCACCTTGAGCGCCAACTGGCCGATGAAAGACAATTATCACTCTCGCTTCACAGAGAGCTTGATACCCAACAGCGGCTACTCGCCGCGACCTCCAATCGGCTTGACAATATTCGGGCAGCGGCAAGAGAGTCAAATAGAGATATCGAGGCTACACTGGAACGGGTCCTGCAGCGACAGTTGACGCATGAGCAACAGTTCTTACAACAGCGGTCGCATCAGTTGCAGGTTGAATTGAGATTCGGAACGGAGTATTCGAGGAGACTGGAAACTGAGCGGGACAGGATCTTGCTGGGTGGATCTGGAAGTGATCAAACGCCAAATACCAGCACTTTCGATCCTTCAGGTTCAAGCTCGGCTCAGACTACGACGCTGCCCACCATAAACCTGAGATCGTCCAATCAGTCAGACAACGCTTCCAATGTCCTCACCGAGTATTCCGAAATCAGCGTTGACAGACTGGCGCACATCGAACAATTGGAACAACAGATACGCAGAGCAGAGTCACGGGTAGCTCAGGCAGCCATTGACACCGAAGCTCTGGCAAACGCCATGCAAAGCAGGCTGGACGTGGCAGAAGCTCGATTAGCATCGCTCAGAAGTCGGACTACAGCCAATGCCAACGAAGTGACTACCGCAAACCACACTACTAACGTTCGCACATCGCCAAGAGAGCTCGAACCCGCCAGCCGCCCTCCAATAGCCACGACCAGCATGCGCAGAGGTCCCATGACCATGACTCCAGGCCCGCGAGCCCAGCGCGGTGGCGTTAGTGATGCAGGACGTATTGATATTGTCAGATCTGGAGTCGCCGGTCGCATTCCTGATGCGGACATGCGTTTGGCTCGTATTATGTTTCTAAGTGGCATGTCCGGGAACAGATCGCTCGATGCGAATGGCAATTGGATGCCTCCCGCGGCTGGTTCGGGTTTGCAACGAGTTCTGGGTGCTGGTGGGAGGTCGACGGGTGCAGCGGTAGTAGCAAGTGAGATTGAGCTAGGCACCACGGGAATCGGGTTTAGTCCGGATGGACAGTTCCTGTAAGTGTTACCACTGGCTCGAGAGACCCAGTTTTTTCTTTCTTTTTTCATTTGCTTTTTTCATTTCTGTTTTCCTTTTGGAAACAGGCAAGACTTCTGCTGACACATTGCGATAAAGGTACGCTGGCTCCGAAGAAGGAATCTTCGAATTCAAAGTCAACCTCCGCGACCGCATGACCTTCCCTGCTTTCGAGGTGAGATGAAAATGAGACGAACGACATTTCAAGCCTGACAGCGCTTCTTACTCAACATCTTCCGCATTCACCCGCAGTAGTCTTCCTTGCGTTGGGGGAATATGGAGACCGCGGCACTTTTCCTAAAACCGAGACACATCTACACAGCCTGGTGCACATTCGTTCGCGCGATGAGGTGGGGGGTGAGGATGGTCAGATGCCTGTGATGATAACGACGACCCGATTTATGAAGGTGCGATGCCCGAAGGCTGCAGAAGGAGAACGGCTTCTAGTTGGTCTCTGTCCTCCGTATCCTCGGCGATGTTTTGGCGCATGGCGTTCGAGGGGGTCGGTTGTATTAACACTCATGCACCCGTGTCAGGATAACAGCTTTAGTTTGGTAAAACAGAACATAAGTTCACGCTTCCTTCCGTCTTGTCCTCGGGTTCATTGGCACAGTGGTTGTCTTGGATTGTTCAAATTGGCGTACTAGGCATCTACACGGTTTCTTCCGCAGACGAAATATTCTACAAACATGTCCTCTGTCGTCCAGGGACTAGTCAAGCACTGGCGTCGGCGTTGCCCTTCTCCTGACCTTCCAGCAACACCATCCCCTTCTCTCCTTGGATTAATTCATCCAATCCCTTGGCCCGGACCTGCATCACGCGGCACAAGGTGTACTTGTGCTTGCTCCGCACAATCTTCCTGTGTCGATTCCGCCTCTTCTTCTTCTCCTTGAATGTCATGGGCTCGGTCTCGATTCCCATGACTCGGACCCTGCACTCGAACAATCTCTCGTCTAGATAGTTTGGTTCTCCCGTGCGGCGCTTGTCGTACGATTCGGTGGATGCGCTGCCGGCTTTGAGCGTATAATCCCGTGAACCTAGGATGCTGGCCCGGTTAAAGCGCAGGATGTCGCCGGGGGAAACGTTCTTCATGTGGAAGGGCAGGCGGAGGATGTCGCCCTCCGTGAGGAGGTAGGGGAAGCGGTGAATGTGCGCGACCACATAGTGGGGTTTTTGGAGGTGTAGCTTGGGGAGGAGGGTTTGCAGGGAGCGGGAGAGGACCAGTGGACGGTCGAGGGATTGCGTGGTCGAAGGAGATCCTGTTGTGGCAGCGGATGAGGAAGGCGTTTGATCAGTCGCGGTTGAGAGGTATGTGGGAGGAATCTCGGGCCGGGTGCTCTGGAACTGAGATATTGGCGTCGTGGTGGACTGCTGCGTCCTTGTCTGGTGAAGCTTTGCGCGAAACGGGAGGAGAAATGTCGGCGGTGGTGCCACCGGTTTCGAGGGTATATTCAAGGCGCTTTGCACCAGAGTACGCGATGATACATGGTGAGATCTTGTCTGATGAGTTTGGCGTAGAGATGTGCCACTGCGCAGTCAGTAGCTGGTTTTCTCGTGGTCGGAGCAGCAGAGATGCTCACAGTTTTAGTACTGACGATGGCACCCTCGAGGGCATGGAATCAAAGATACATCTTACCATGCGCCCGCAAATGCGGCACATGTTGTCTGGCTTGAGCGAGATGCTCAGCCTCCCCTAGATGAAGTGGATGTGCAGGCCCCAACAGCTGTGTTGAGCATGTATAGAGGGAGCCTTGAGATGATGTCTAGCAAAATGCAACGGGCTGCGCAAGTTGAAAGTTCTCTGGCTCACGGGCGTCTTGGCGGTTAAAGCAACCATCGATCGCCGCTTTACAGCTCCGCTTACCTTAACTCCACCTCACCGTTGAATACAGACAGCTCTCCATTCCCGTTTATCATACACTGCCAGACATAGCTTCTCTCAGCACCTCTCGCCAATGCGTTTTCGGAAGGGTCATGGACTACAATTAAACCTCATATTGATCTGGCTCGGGGAGTCCTGTCCGGCCCAAGATGTGTGATTATTGCGACGGTTTGGGATCTCTTTCGACAGAGACGAGCCTGCAATGGTGGTTGGATCTGTTAAAGCACACAAAGTGCGCCTGGATAACAAGCTGGGCGAAGTTCAGGCTTGATGGCTCGGCACTGCGTGTGGAAGAGGAGATTCTGGAGAGCGCAGACCGAGAAGGGGTCGCGGCCCGTGCGGAACGACCGGACATGAAGAAAGCGGATCTCTATGAGCCTTGAAGGGTGGGCAGAGAGGCGAGTATATAGAAAGGAATGAAGAATGTGGGAAGATGGGACATGGGGTACTGGCGTGCCATCGGCGTGAGGTTCCCGTAGCTTGAGCCAGATTTGTTGTCGGGAAAGGAAGCAGATCATTGAGAATGTAGCTAATGGGATATGTTGTCAAGGTTTTGACAAGATCATTAGCTTCGAGAGAACAGTGCCGCCGGCTTCATCATCAAATTGGAAGCAAGCGCCAGGAGATAAATCCGGCTATTGAATCTGAAGCCAAGAGCCTCGTCGACCGCATAGTACTGTAAGGATCGCGTCCCGGGAGAAGAACCTCAAGGGTAGAGTTATCATATCAAATCATTGTAATGCGTCTCCGCTCAAACCTCGCCATCCAGTGTCCCATTGCCTCTTCAACTCCGTCGTAAGGATACGAGTGGAGGATGAAAGCCTGGAGGATTCCGATCCTCACGTATCTGTCCAACATCGTGGTGGACTTGGCCACAATAAGGAGATTTACACAACTCTCAAACTTTCGATATAACAGAGGCAAGAGCGCCACCGCGCCGTAACGATACCGTATATCTAGGGACTCTCCCGGTATGGGCTGAGGGCTCGATGGCTGTGATGACCCGACTGTTTCAACCCATTTGTCCATGTGAAATTCAGGGCGAGAGAATAAAACCGGCACGCTCGAAAATGTTAGCGGGTCCAGTTGCTTTTTCCCGTATGAATCTTTCCAGAGTCTGGCGTCGAGCATTGGACCTTGTGTCGTGGCCTCGGCAGAGTCAACATGACCGAACTCTTCCTTTTCGGGCCAGCAATTGAGGGCCAGTAATTCGGTCAAGGGTTGATCTTTCATTCTCCATGCGAGTGCCACCTTACCGGGACAAGACACCCATGACCAAGAAGGAGATTTAGTAGGCGGATCCCGAATGTTAACCCCATCTTGATACCAGCACATTCCCTCACAAAATTTTTACTCCACAGACCAGCACAATAAGCATTTTGCAGACCGAGTGTTCGTTTGAAATGGGAAGCAAGGCCAGAAATGGCTGGCAGCCTGTCGTCGGGTTCGGAGAGCGTTCGAGGGGCGTATTCATTCAAAAACTCCCACCACAGGACCGAAAGCTCGGAATCGGCATCTATCTGTTTAAATGTCGTACTGTCCGCGTACGAGTCTCGCTCGGCTGGTCGGGATGACAACCGTAACCAACTCTGGCACAATTGGTTTAAATTGAACGACGGCCCATCGACACAATGTGACCAATCCAAATCCTCCCAATCTTCCCTCGAGATTCCTCCCACTTCACAACCGAAATAAACCTGTTCAAAGCAGAAAGAGACTAGTCTTGGACTGAGCAGAGCTTCTTGTAGCGCCCAGCCCCGAGAATGTATATTGTATTCCGTTCCTCCAAAGCACCCGACACATTCTTCCTGGCCCACTCGGCTATTTCTATCGTGGCCCAATTGTGCAAAGATCTTCGATCTCAAATCTTGCCTTGCCCCAGAAATATAGATACTTCGCCTCCATTCCCTGTCGGGCATCGTAAGAAACGACTCGTCGCAGGTTGACGCCGCATCTGCGGAAATGGTGACATGAGCTCCAGGATAGATCTCTCGCATCAAGAGTGATTCGGTCTTCCACTCTTCCATGTCTCCTTGAGCGATACAAAGTGCATCGATCCACAGGTATTTTATCTTGAGAGATCGAGTAACCTTTATGGCATCCTTGAACACGCGAGGTAGCTTGTCGTCGGCCGGAATTCCTTCAGCCATGTCTTTCAGGTTTTGTGCCGTCATTGTCAACATTCTGTCTTTGGTGTCCGATTGTTGACCCCTGCAGTACGTCAACGCTTCATACTTAGCCCCTTTGTCAACACTTAAGTGTGCGTTGTCAATGATTTTGACAATATCGCCGTCAGTGCCCACGTCGACCAGACGCCTGGGGATGTACTTCGAGCCTGAGCTGCCACCGCAACGCCTATGTCTCTGCACACACTCAGTCAGGGCCTCGTGTGCAAACTGCAGACAAGAGTCTGGCACATTGTCCACCGCAATATTGAGTCTTTTGGGTAGCCAGGCAAGCTCCCTTGGGATAGTCGTCGAGCCTTCCACAAAGATCTGGACACTGAACACTTCTCTGCGTGAGAATCACTGAATCCGGTGCAACTCCGGAGCCATCAACAATGGAGGCATAATCATTTATATTAAAGAAGTTGGGATTCCTTACCCACGGCCTTAACTCCTTGTGTGATGATCCAGCAGCGATTACACCCCTTCTGTGAAGCATCTTGAAACTTCGCGTGGGTGGTTGCGTTCTGTCTCCTCACAGCTTCGCAGGTGCTGCAGGCCCAATCTTCCGACAAGGACACGAATCTACCAGGGATAAATGCCATCATTACTCACCAATTCCCCTACATCCTCGTCCCTCTCGCTCCTCAATATACTCAACATGGTCTCTCGCGCAACGATGATCGCCCGTCATCCGCCATCCCGTGCGCAACTCCTCGCTCTTACCACACAAATTGCTCACCACAAAACCGGTCGTCATGGCGAACACTTTGATTTCTTCGCGATACCGAAGGTACCCTTTCAGCGCGATCATGTTGAATGCCGCCTTGGACGCGTGATATGCGCTAGTATCGCCAGGCGGCTCGGGCCCGCGCTGACGGGTCGTATCGGCTGTGCGTGCAAAGGAGCCGGTGCCGGAAGGCACAAATATGCTGTACGGCTTGACTGGTGCCTTTAGAAGCAGGAGACGAAAGACATAGGCCATGACGGCGGGGCCCGTCACGGTGGTCTGCATGCGCATTGTGAAGCGAGTGGATGTGTCGTCATCGAGAGAGGTAGCGCCTATGACAGCATTGTTGATCAACACGTCGAGGTAACCCCATTTTCTGAAGACGGCATCGGCGGCGGCGCGGATTGATGATGAATCGGTGACATCGACTTTTAGTGTCGAGAGGCGGGATGATATATCTGAACTAGTGACAGAGCAGGATGTGGCGAGTTCAGTTCTGGAGGCTTCAACTTTGTCCAGAGAGCGGCCGGGCATGATGACATGAAAGTCGTAGTCAGGTGTGGTTGCGAGGACTTGGTACGTAGCATAACCTACTCCGCTGTTGGCGCCGGTGATTGAGACATACGAGGAGCCATTTGTGGTGGTGGCTTTGCTCTTTGACGAGAAATGCACCTGGTTTCCGTTCCCCTTGAATAAAGGCGAGGAGCAGGCCATATTCATGATACTCCATTGACCCAACCAAAGTAATCCATTATAACTAGCTCGCTAGACATGTGGGCATATCAAGAGCCGCCGATCATCGCTCAGCGTGGAGAAACCCTGTGAGTGAATACCCCTAGTCGCAGAGTTGATTGGTCCTAGTCTGATGTATACTCGGTCCGCATAGGCAGTTGTTTTCTTTTATCCTTTTTGCCCCGTCAAACGCCGGGCAGATGATCGGGGATATAACACAACGATATGCTCGGGAGGCTCGGGTTTGGCCATTGACTCCGCATATAAGCACTCGATATACGTACTAGGTACCTAGGCAGGTATGCTAGCCGAGGGGGAGAAAAGGGGGTCAGCCTTGTACGAAATATTCCTTCCGCCTTCAAGAAATCTCTCGCATCCTTGTCCCACTTCTTAACAGTTGCGTTCTGCTTTGCTTGCTGGCAACCGGATACTGGCTGCTGGCCATTACTGGGGCCTCAACATCTTGTCCGCCATCTCCACGATGCCCCTGGCCGGCCGTCCCAGCAGCTGCCCGAGGAACGGATCGACCACTTCGCCCTCCCCAGCTGCGAGCCCCTCCCACCAGCCGCCCCAATTGTCCTCTAGCCAGCCAAAAGACTCCCTGGGGACGCTCTCATGCTCCTTGTGATACTTGACGGCTTCCTGCCTTCCCACGAACCGAAGATCCACCCTGCGGCCGGTTCTCTGTTCCACGAGCTTGGTGATCTCGCTCACTGACGTTGCTCGGGGCCCCGTCAATCGCAGCGTCTGGCCGATATATTTCCCGTAGTTGGCCAGAATAATGGCGTTGCCCTTGGCTAGGTCATCGATGTCGACCCACGAGATAGCCGCCCCATTGGGGACGACCCATTCCGGAGGCTGCGTGTCTCCCTTTTTGAACATCCCCTGTTGAAACCCGGCATAGTATCCCCAGACCTGTGTGTAAAGGCCTTCTCGGACAATCACGTAGTCCATACCACATTGTGCCAAGTAGTTGGTTGTGTGAATATGACCCTGCTGGATGCCGATGACGCTCTTCAAGCCCGTCTCACCACCGAACATCATGCTCGTGTAGATGATTGTCCTGACACCCGCAGCCCGAGCCGTTTCGATCGCGTTCTTGTGGAATTCGACCCGTTGAATGCCGGGATCAGTGTGAGAAACAAGAAACAACACATCGCCCCCAGCAAAGGAAGACTTCAGCGACACTGTGTCGGTGTAATCGCCTCGGCGGACCTCAACGCCGTACTCTTTGGCGATGGCTGGGACGCGATCCGGATTGGAGGACGAGATGATCAGATCCGTTGCCGGGATCAACCTCTTCTCCAGTACCTGTCGCAGCACTCGAGACCCCAGACGGCCGCTGGTACCTGTGAGGATATAACGGGTCATTTTGGTGGTGATTCAACTTGGGCAATCGAGACAGGAGCTCTGACGATGGACGCACGACTGGATCTTGGTGCTTTAAATCTCAGGTACAGATTCGCACTACAAGAATCTCGGACTCTCTCGTTTCCACGGACTTCTCAGTGCTATTCTCGCCTTTTCCGGCGTAGAAAGCCAGCGCATTAATAATGTCGCGGGCATCGGAAGACAGGTAGGAGCCTGGTCCAACTGCCGCTTGAATCCGTTTGTCAGTCTCTCAAGCGACCGCTCATGTAGGTGGCTTTGTTGATTGATAATAAACCCTCTCCCATATACGCGTAATCAGAGTCAAACACATAACATTCTGCGACTGGGGCTCCGTGGTGTATACAAAGGTCGGCTCACAACCAACTATCCACGGTCCCAACCAATCATACTGGCCCTGTAGTACTCAGCGCCCACCAGGCCCAGTTTTATGAGTAGGTGGTATGACCAGAAAGGGTTAACCACCTGGATAGTACTCTGTCCTCCGTATTAATAACCATAACCATAACCATAACCAGAATTTGTAGATACCCTAGCCTTATCCAAGCGTGCAGCCATATAATAGGTACGGGACTACAATGGCCCATTGCATAAGCACAGAACCCATGAACTTGCCGCATAGGTATGCATCACCGACGTTTTATTGAGACTAGATCCGGTATAGCTTTCTTGAAGTCGACGCTGTTCGTCTTGGGAATTCCTGGAGAAGCGTAGTGGCGTTGTACGTCAATCAGTTTGGACCTTACCTAGGTGCCTTCAACAATACGAGTATCTAGACTGGGTCTAGGAGCGAAGCAGCATGAGCAATCGCTGTTCTTACCATCAGGTACTGTGTAAATGTGCATTAGCTGGCTCGAGCTGGAGATGGACTACGTGAAAGGTAACTGTTTCGATGCCCCAAAGTCATGGAAAGGGACGAGGCGAGACCGGCGCGCGGGAGAGCGGATGGAACAATAAGGGAAAGCAAGTTTCTTTCATCCAAGATGTCATGCCATACCTCAATGTTTTCTTCATGTCGATCGTAGAACAATCTTCAAGTCGAAATCATGTATAACGTCCAACACGCAAGAAGAGAGAGCCACTAATCCACTCATCTTCTGCTGCCAGTCCTTCCTCCAAATCGCACTCTTCCACCACCCCGTTTTCCCGCGCCACTTCCACTTCGAAATCGCTGCTTCTGAGACTGGTCTTTCCTCTTCTCGACGCCTAGACCTCGTCTTTGCTGCTTGGGATCCCTTCCCTTGCCACTGGGGGACTTGGGAGATCCAGAACCCTGCATGATCCGTCTCGCAACCTGTCTCGCCTCTGCAACGTCCAACTCCATCTCATCATCGCCTCTGTCGCGAGTCTCCTGCTTCGATTTCTTCTGCATTCCGGATTTGACTTTCAGCCTGCCTTTCTGGCCCCTTCTTACGGCATCAGCGCCAGACACCGCGTCGAGATACGCGTTGACCGAGTTGTCTTGATTTCCAGAGCCAGACATGACAACATCGGCGTCACCGCCTTCACCGTCTTGGTCGCCGCTGAAGACAAGTTTGCCATCCTCATTTACCTTTGCTTTCGTATTCTTCGTCCCGGGACGCACATCCCTCAGTCGTCCCAGTTTTTTGGTAGCAATGCTCGCCATGCTTCGCGGATCGAGAAGATCGAGTGGCTCTTCGTCCTCTTCATCTTGACGGATATACTGCTCATTCCCTCTGTTCCTGCCAGCCGCTGAATATTTCTTGAAGGAAACTCCTGACATAGTATCGTTGTCATCATCTTCATCGTCGCTGCCTTCAATTTCCGAATCGTCTTCGTCAGAGCCATAGACAGCCTCATCGAACTCATTGTCATATATCTTCGTCGTAGCTCCCTCATCTTCATCGATCTCTTCATCGTCTTTCTTCTTCCGCCTCCCTCGCTCTCTCCGCTTGCGGATATTTACCACCATCTTCCTATCCTCACCACCAACCCAACTTTCAACCTTGGCTGAGTCGAACCTTCTCAGACACCGATCTAATATCCCCTTGACCTTGGCCCTCAATCGCCCTTTGTTCTCTTTACTCCAAACCATTAACCCGGGCACAATATTTGGCATTCTGGGTTCCAGCATTTCTGTGGGCAATACCACGACCATAACCTTGATAAATCCAAGCACCGCACGGACGATTTCGCGGTTGTTCGACTGCAAAAACATGGAGACGGTATCCACAAGCTCCTCTTTCGTCTTATCGCTTAACCGCGAGTGAAACTCAAAAAATAACCGGCTGAGTGCGATGATACTGGCCGCGACCATGTGTGGAGCCACACCAGCTAACCCGGCGCTCACCATGGTGAAAACCTCCTCCAGAGTTGCCGGCGCGTCCGGAGAATCGTCCGGCATGTGCGGTACGAGGTGATTTCGAATCGTGGTACCGGGAGGATTGGACGGGCTTGAGATTTTATTCGTGAGCGCGATGAGCAGATCAAATCCCGCAGTACGAGCTTTCTCATTGCTATCTTTACAAGCCAACACAACTTCACTGAGCATGCTTGGAATGAAATGGAGGTCAGTAAGAGGGAGGAAAGAGACGAGTGTATCAATCGCAAGGATGCGATCTCGTCGGGCAGGGACGGGCGTTATTTCTGAAGTCCGAAGAATCAATTCTTGCAGTTCCCCGTTGCGGGCAGCGAGCGCCTCTGCTCCAACAGGGGAAGTCGATAATCTGGGAATGAGCTTGTATGCTTTCTTGATGAGTTGCGGATCGGATTTCAGGATTGTTGGGTTAGTCAAGATGTTGGAAGAGATGGAGAAGAGGGAGGAAAAGGTCGATCTTGGTAAATGGACGGAGAGCGCGATGACGAGATCGAGTAGGGTGTGAGAGGTTGGAGGGAGTTTGCTGCTAGATGGTTGGTTTTGTTCCTTTTTTCGAGGTGGCTGATCGGCTGGAGGAAGTACATCTTGGAGCATCTTTGACACTCGCTCAAAAGTGTCCACCAAATCCTTCTCGGGTGTAATGCTGAGGTAGCTATTAATACATTGTAAAATGTATGCACGAGACTGGGGTAATGTTTGACTGTAGACATTGAACAGAACGGCCAAAAGGTTGCCCGCGAAATGGGCCAAGTGCTGAATATTCTTCTCTGCATCTGGCCTTTGTATTCGGCGTTCTAGCAATAGGACCTCATCCGGAAGATCCGATGCTAGGAGTGCCTGGTTTGATTCCACTAGATTCTGTAGGCCTCGACACAGATCAACTCTCAGATCAGCCTGCTTGTAAAGAAGATTTGAGATCATCTCAGCAAAGGGCTGGTCAAAGGCCGTTTGCAAGTCGAGGGGAAGATTGCAATAGCCTGGCAAGGTCGCCCAGACTTGCTGGACCACAGTCTCGAAGACCTTAATGTCCATTGTCTTCTCAACGTTGCCATGATTGATGATCCGCTGATACATCACCTCGCTGAGAGGGACTAGATCGGTTCGGAAATGTGCTATATTCGTGTTGGATACGTGATCTCTCAGTAACGGGAGAAGCCATGCTCTGCCGGGTTGACCTGGCTGTGGTTTGATAAGATTGTGAGGGAGAACGCTCAATACGGCACCGGGGCCAACGTTGCGAATAGCATGACCAAGGACTGCGTCTGCTTCCTTCTTGCCTTGGAATCCCTCGTGACTTCGTAACTCACCGATTGCCTTTACAATAGGGAGCAAGAACGGATCACCCCGCCACCGGAGCACATCAAAAATGGCGCTCAGAGTGCTGAAGACCTCCATCCAGGCTGTCTGATATTTCACGGACAGGAGGTCAAGGGCCTTTTTCGAGAGCTGCTCTAGCAGCTTTTCGTCATAAACAGACGGGTCAGATATGACACTGTCCGGAATACAGTTTGCGAGGAACGAAATGAGACATTCCGACGCCGAGACTCTGATGTTGTGAGATGGACTCGTCAGAAAAGGTGTCACTAGATCCCAAAGCTCCGGCAACTTCGCGAAAGTGTCTTCGGGCTCAACCACTGCGGCTGTGCCGTAGGCCCTCGACAAGATTGCTATCCAGGAAGGCAGCAGCTGAGAGTCGTTCTGCGGAGGCTTCAAATCCACGATCGCTTCCAGCAAGCGTGGCAATTTTGAAGATGAAACTTCATCCTGCATTCCCTCGAATATCACTTCGAACACCTCAAAAGCGCTCATGACCAAGTAGTCATTCCTCGACCTGGATATGGACAGCAACAACTCGCAGAGTGATTCGATCTTCTTGCTTGGCCACCCACCCGATGCAACCGCAACAGTTTTGGTCAGTTGCAGAGCATGAATCACGGCGGGCTCATGGCTGTCGTCCGGTCGACCCTTCTGCCGCCGTACCTGATGAACTAGGTCCACAGCGTTCTTGAGATTATTCTGTGCTGCCGCTGCGCACAGCTCGGCGGCCGGGTGATCAATCGCAGGCCCCGGTGGAGGATTCTTCAGAACATTGGTTATGGCCTCCTGCGCTCGTTTCCTTATTTTAGGTCTTGTGTCAATAGCCAGTGTGAGCAATACCGGGACTGTCTGCCGGGGGCTGGCTAGAGTCTGCGGAAGATTCCATGCTGCAGCATCTTGGGCAATCAACAGCGACTCCAGACATCCAATGGCTGACCGTAACAAAGGTCCGTTCGCTGAAGAGGCGTTTAGGTAGGGCGCCAACAATGACAGGATCGTGGTGAATTGAGAGCGGAGGAGGCTTGTAGGTACATGGGAAGTGATCAGATCGAGCAGGTAGATAGCCGAGGTGACAACGTCGTTGTCCCCTCCTGCAGAAGTAGATTGCTTCAAGAGGGCGAGGAGAGCGGCAAAGTATGCCGTGGGAGTGAATTTTGTTTTCTGCTCAGTGAGGGTTTCTTCGATCGAGGACAGGACTACAGCAGTCTGCGAACGGGTCAGTGAATTTTGGAAGACGACAATTGGGCCAAAAACATACATGCTGTTGACTCTGGAGGTTAGGCGACTTTATCTTGGCCAATTTCTCCTCGAGGGCCATCTTGACGGCAATATGAGCAGGCGGGAATGCTCAACGGTGCTGGGTGCGGTGCGGTGTGTCCGTCAAAAAGTCAAGTGCGGGCAACTTTTTTCGATTCGGGGGTTGCCGATGTTTTGCCGGCAGCCTTGTCAGCCTTGGTCAGCCTCGTTATCGACAAGCCTGGCGACAACCATTGCAGTTGACAGGTGATAGAGTACACTCAAAGCAGGAGATAAGGACGTCCACAGATTTCACTGCGGGGCATGCTATTGATTTCGAAGTCCTACGAAACTTGTAGGTCTCATCAGACTCATAGTGGCTTGCCACAGGAGCGTCAAACTCCTAGAATTGTCCGTTCTGATGCTGTTACACAAGTTGATTTTTGGGAACTGAACTTTCTCTGGGATTACCTGGAATAGCTGGTGCTGAGCCGTTCACCATTTCCTTGCCAGCTTGTCGTGTCAATTAGGGAACCAGTTTTTGATAACAGGCGCCGTAGGAATTCCTAATGCCACCTTTCGAAAATACTGTCGAGTCTGAGGTATTGACTGTCGACCTACAGTCAGCCGAGCCCAAGCATACCCTCATCTAGAAGTGGCAGCGTCGGTTGAGACTCACCAGTTGATTCTCCACGGCGTACCTCATCAGCAGATCATACTGTGCCAGAATCATCTCCGCGCGCTGCTTGCGCTGCTTTTTCTCGTACTCCTCCCTTGTGCAAGGTTGGTTTGGGAGGCGGTCATGATGATCTACCACCGAGACTCTAGAGGGGTATTTGTTCGCATTTCCGCTCATGTCCGGGATTTGGGCACTTGAGATTATAGTTGAGAACATCTCGCTCGGGGCACGAAATAGCTGCTTTATGTGGTGACGTGGGAAAACATGGAATGCAGTGGCTGACACATCAAGAAGGCCGTGATGGTTGAAGGTTCTCTGGTCAGGATTATCCATCCTGACTCGAAGACAGAAACTACGAGGTACTGAAAAGCGTGACTAACGATGGGTGAGCTTGGGGCAACTACAGAGTTGCAAAGCACGTGCCACTACCATCATCAATCTCGGAGCCTTTCATCGAAAGTTCAGGTCAAGTTTTCGAGTGTCAAGTCTAGAAGGAACGAAAAGATGTGGTTCAAATGTGCTTGCACTGAGAGTAATGTTTTGACACATCAATCGTCCATGGGCCATTGAGCAAGGCACAGAATAGTTTAAAACCCCCATCTCACCTCTTCCAAACTCGCAGACCTCATATGGCATCGCCGTACTCAGCTGTAATGCATTCATGCCACACATATCCTCCCCACATCTGCCTTCGGGTTTTGATCAAGAATTCCACCCTCGTTCTAAGTTGTGCAAGTCGCCGAATGTACCGGGAAAAATTTCATCATTTCCCCTTGTTTCAGTCGTAAAATTTTAGACAAGATTTTTTTGCAGCCCATACCCACCAAATGAGGTAGTCCCGTATAGTGCCAAATCCGCCTCCCGTCCAAAATGACCCTCATGAAACGCCGTTATGTTGATTTGCCATGCCGCTAAATGCTGAAGGACCAAACAGACGTCTGTACACACCGGCCTCTGCCGGTGGCTGGATATCACTTCGAAGAAACATTATGATTAGAATTAACATCCGTTCACCAGCGAGTTCTTGGGCCACGAGTAGCCAGTATCGGGCCTGAAATCAATGTTAGCTCAATTCGCAGACCAGGCAGGAAGAGGTAAACCTTACCAGCTCGTTACATTCGGGTTGTGATACACCTCGTAATGATTGTTAATGTATTCGGTCGTCTCATATCCTTCAGGGTCGCAGCTCATTTTGCCATTGTCATCTTGATAGATGCGGATGTAGTCGAGCCGCATGGTAGCTGGCATGAGAGGCGCTAGTCCGGTCAAATTCAGAGCAGAGAAACCAGGCGACATGCCAAAGTTGGCAATGATCGACATTGGCTCCTCAGGCACAACTCTTTGAGCAACGTTGCCATTGGGACCCAAAGCTTGACCTTCCAGACGCCAGACAGGAGACTCGCCAACGAACCAAGTGATGTCGCCCTCAGCACCGGGGGTGTATTCGAAGGCGTATACTTGATAAGCATTTCCATCATACCATGCATTGTTCAGATTTGACAAGCCTGAAACTGCTTGCTGGAAAGGTCCACCTTTGTATGTGTTCATGGCTGTGACCGAGAAATCAAACACTTCAACGAAGTCGTAATTGGGCTGATACCAGATGTCAAAGGGGGCCACCTGGAAGGACTGAGAGACCATTCCAATCTGGTTACCTTCGGCATCAAGGGTGCCGACGCTCGCTTCGAGCACATCAATTTCGGGGGCAGATCGAGATTTTCCGGGAGTCGGATGGTCCTCACCGGAGCATGTGCAGGCCGGAAGTCGCATGCCTGGAAGGTAACTGATGCCATCGGGAGAGCTCTGGTTTGCTGTGATGCCAGCGTCGCAGACATCTGCGTACGAGTAAGGCCACAGACCGTCCGTTGTCGCGGCGTAGCCGGGTCTTCCGAGGTTCCCCATCGACCAAAACCCAGGCCAGAAGCCGACCGTGTCGCCACGGCCAGGGAGGGAGATGCTGGTCTCCAGTCTGCCGCCCTTGAAACACAGCTGATTCCAGGATTGCAGCATGCCAGAGCGATAGTTCAGGCCATGATTCTGGAAAGCATCGAAGCGCAATTCCAATACACCATTGTTTGTGGTGGCCGCATCAGGATCGTACCACTCCAAATCCCTTGTCACACCGTACCAGATGTCCACCGCAGTCCAGTAGGGGTCATCTCCTTCGTAGAACGTTCGTCCTGGTTTAGAGAACTCGTCCGAAAAGACCAAATTCCACGTATTGCCGTGAAAATCTTTCTTCGTCTTGACCGAATCAGGAGTGTCGGGATCAATGAGACCAGTTCGCATATTCTTGAGTAACGGAACCTTGCCATTCCCTATACAAGCGTTTGTGTCTGCGCAGGGGTTTGGTGATGAGGTTATTTTCTGGACAAATGTCCTAATTATCACGGGTTAGCAAGCAGACCTAGCGAGTGAGAGGAGGTACGAACAGAACAGGGTATCCCACAAACAGGACCAGTATGCCGATTGTGATTAGGGCAAGGCCGCCGACATTAACCAATCCTCTTCTGTTGAATATATCGCAGTCACGGTCCTTGTCGTTGGGATCAGGGTTGTGGAGGTAATCGTCTTTTTCGACGTCTTCTGGGAAGAGAAGGAGACCGGCAGACGGCAGAATATTATATTTTTCTGATACTGTTTGGGTATTGACGTCGTTGTCATCACTGCCGGCTCTTGAACCTGGTCTTGATTGACTGGAGTCTCTGAACGGATTCTCGAAACCTCTGCTATCTCTGCTCTGATCCGATTCCCAGCTTGACCGACGGGATGAGTAACTTGACCGAACGGGGGATCTCAGGGGTGAACCATCGTCTCTGAATCTGTTTGAGCGGCCTGTGACCGGGGGTAACAGTCTCTCTGCCGAATCCTGGACGCGATCTGAGGAGTAGACATTGTTTAATTGTGGCCGTGAGGTGGTCGGCCTGGAGGTGGTCGGGACTAGGGTCCTCGAGGAACTGCTCGCGTCGGTGTTGAGCAAGTCGTCTTGACCTGAATTGAGACGAATATGAGGGGGGACTCGAGGGGGCGATGAGGAGCTGTTGCTGTGGGACGACATTATAAGATGGCGACCGACTCGTCGTCAAGGAGATCGATCGCCAACACAGACAGGAACCGGGTAGGAGCACAGTATTTGTCCGGCTACAGAGACGAGATCGAAGAGGGCTGAGTTCGATTTTAGGGTTGGGGAACTGAAGGAAGAATGTCTTAGGGCCGGCCGCAGTTTTCAGAGGACGGTGTGTGGAGGATGCCAACCAGCGAGAGCGTAAGCAGTGCAGATTAGGCGAACAGGTGGTTGAAAATAGTAAGGAGATCGGGAGGGAGTGAGGATAAGACGCCGATGGGGTTCAAAGGAGCAGGGCGAGAGGGTCTTGGTGATCTTGTAGAGCGAAAAGGCCTCGCTGTGCAATGAGGTTGAGTTCGTGGTGGTGAGGCTGCACAAAAGTCGCACTCCTTTCTTGCCAGCAGGAAAGAGAGACTAGCTTCTGCCAACTGCAAGGCAGGGATGTTGGGGCGGCGCAGAATAAGGATAGCGATGTCGACACAGAATCCGAGGGAGGGGAGGATGTCGTGTTTGGAAAACGAATGGAACTTCTCTAACTGCAGAGAATGGCCGAGCAAGGAACAAAGAAGAGGGTGTTGTGTTGTTGACCTTCGAGTCGCAGTTGACAGGTTTCTCAGGATACAGAAGTTTAGACGGTTGGAACGGCAGAAAGAGGCTTTGGGGGGGCAGAGAGGGCTGCAGGGCGGCAGGGGAGTGGGCTACAGCCTACGAGGAACGGGCTACGGGGGGGCAACTGGGCTAAACTTTAGTGGGCGGGCAGGTGGTCCGCTCCCTGAGCCTCCTTACGAGTGGCCCACAGCCGAGCCTAGTGCCGCAGTGTCTGTGCCCTAGCAGGTAGTGAGCTTCAGCTGTAACTGCCAGGTGCTGGGCCTCATCTCAGCCTGGGGGAGAGGGGACTTGGATGATCCTCGCTGCAGATTCATTATAAATGGGCCACCGGTCTGGAGCAGGGAGCAGTTATAACCGCCAGCAGGAGTACCTTGCTGAATGGTTTCTTGAACGAGCAGAGGATGGTGGAGTATGTGCTGCAACTACATAGGCATGCATGTTATTGCTGTATGTACTACTTTGGCACACCGGAGACCGTGTTGTAAATCGGGACTCGGTCGGTACTGTACCTGCATGTCGGCTGGTCCTGCGCTGCCTCTTCACTTTTCCTCCTGCAAAGAGTCGAAACTGCGGCCTCGAACCTTCGCAAACACACAACACGAACTGCTCGTACTGGGTACTGGGTACTTTTCTTTGGATTGCCCTCCAACACGAACCTCCTTAGCTCTCGTCTTCTCGTGTTCTCGCTGCTGCGGTATCCCTCTCCTCTTGCGTGCTATATTTTCCAACTCCCTCTGAGCCCTCCTAATCTGAAAGTGCTCTCATCTAGTACAAGTCTCAGGTTGAGCTGCAGATCTCCCTCTCCTCAATCATGATTTCCTCGTTCCCCCTGGCCGAGACTTGTCGCGGCCCACGGCGTGGCCAGCCCACCCAGATCCAAGCAACTGGGGAAAAGGAAATCTGAGGGATGCGTGTCTTTGGCCCAAAAACAAACCCAGCATTGCCCAGCACCAAGCGGCCTCCGAAAAGAGTTGACGCGTTCATGGGCCGCAGTGGCACAGCAGTGCCCCATGCCGTCTGCGGCTTCACCCTCGAATTCGTGCTGAGCCCCATGAGCCTGCTGCTCGCTGCACGCAACCTGGGACAGATGAGCAAATCACGGCCGCCAGTGGCGCTACTCTGATCGAATTACCGTGGTGCTGACGCCCAGAGACTGGTAGCAAGTGGGGGATGGATCCTGGAACAATCTGACGGCGCCTTGATTTCGCCTGTTTCCTCAATCTCAGCTCCGTTTTGATTCGCTTTTGCCGTTCAGGGGGCCGCCACACCAGCGTGCGACTGGCCAGAAGAATTGACCTTCGTACCATGCAACATCCTTCGCCGTTGTCCCGTCTATTCTTAAATTTGTGCCAAGGATGAGCTTTCCGGTCTCTGGAAGAGAGAAATGCGTCTTGTGACATGCTCTAGAACACACCAGCATGATATACAGAAGACAAAATCTGGCCTTTTCAATGGATAGGGTACTCTCTGTAAGTACGAAGTACGGAGTACCTTGATCCAGGGGTCTCACCCTGGTGCTTTTACCGGTTCATCCTTGTCCTTGATTGGCGGCTATGAGTTTGATTCGTTTCGGTTATCACTTGGACTCTCTGCGGTGCCAAAGGCGGAATTTTGTCACGGTCATCAAACAGTGACGCGTTACAAGTACCTACTTACGGAGCACCTCGTATCTCTCCTACCTAGTACCGAGTATCATTTCCCCTGTCTTTCATTGATGCAACTTCGGATATTGTCCCAGGCATCGAGAACCCCACATATAGACTGTCATTCTGCATGTCGTTTCTGATTCGGCACCTGATCGTTCTCTGGAATTGCCCTGGATATTGAAACCTGTGGCTCCATGGGTATGTGCTGCATTTACCTACATAGGAATAGGCATCTCTACTCGTATCTTGGAATTTTGATTGTTATCCTGTCAGGCAACACATATACAGCTCATTACGTACCTAGGTGGCCAAAAACTTATCTGGCAAAGGGGATGTCACAGAGATGTTTCAGAAGAGAGTGCGCATTTATCGGTCTACAAGCCACCTGGGTTGACATAGAACATGGAGTCTGCCGGAGTCTTTTCATATCTTTTTGCTCGACCCCAGAAATGTGCCCGAAATGCCACTCGGTCGTATGCATGGCATACAGTTTACGCGTAGCGCGCCTCCAACCAACCCCATCAAGGACATTTGCGATGGTCTTTCTTGACCAGCCACGGCTTCCGGTGTGCATCCCATGCGCTCCGTTTCCCTTGTACGCGGGCTCCTTTTCTTTTAGCTCTCTACCGCCTTGGTCACGACGCCGACCAGCATTCTCTCCCCGACCGTCAAGATATAATACTCGACTCTCGTCTTGCTGACTTCCACTCTATAAATCTTGACTCCCGCCTTCCCCTTTTCCGCCTGCTCCACCCTCTGGATGACTTCGCCATACTGTCCCCTCGGATCAAAATCCCGAGTACTCAGCTCCTCCACGGCCCCAACTGACCTGGGCGCAAGATACTTTGCGAATTCCTCGGCTGAGGGGAGCTCCGAGCCGGCATAGTTGAACAGCACAGGCTCAAATGGCGAGTCTGTGTCGGAGGTATACGTGAAGTCTGGAAGCGACTTCAAGGAGGCTGGCAAAGCGTCTGAAGAGGAAGTTGTTGGGTCCAGCTTCGACCGTTGTTGAGAGGTGGACTCTGATTCTGCAACAGTCTGGCCGGCCTTGGGGTTCGCGTTCGCCTTTTCTAGAAAGGACAGGTAGGAACTGTCGTCTGACATGGTGTTGGAATTGATGTGCTGAGAAGGAGTCGATGATCCTGCCGTCTTGATGGTGGTAGAGTGTAGACGAGGTGCAGGGAATTTTCTAGTCGTTGACGCTCTAGGTCTCGACAGTGGCAGCAACGCCGTTGTCGAACGGTTCCCCAGAAGTCGCGAATGAGCACCTGATATCTGGTGCTGGTGCTGTTGCTGTGAGGCGATACGAATAGACTGTGCGATAATCTCTTCTCTATGGAGGCTTGTTAGTGCGCACGGTCTGAGCATTCGGACGTTTACAGTGTGTACTTGTAGCGACGGCTTTATATCATGTCATTTTTTACAAGCTGCCAGCCTTCAGATTCAACAATGACGTCATTGTCGGAAAACTGTTTGTCCTGTTTGTGCCGCTGGTCTCGACCCTTAGCGCCTGGTTATTTGTTCATCGTACCCCAGACTTCGAGCCAAACAGTATTCTTACCATCACGGAACAATTGCTCGCATTTTCTCGCAAGGCGGCCCCCGTAAGGCTTACGGCGCCACCAGTCTCTGCTCCCTGCACGTCCTCGTACGCAGTGTGGCGGCTGAGGGCATCAGCCGGTGGTGACGCAGCCTTGCACCAACTACATACCTGGGTTAGGTACATACGAGTATCTAAAAGTCTAGATTCTTATCAGGGTGCGAACCTCGACACGGCAGAACAATCGATCACCTTGCCGGGATTGAGGGCGTGCGCTCAGGCGACGGGCGATCTTTGCATGGCTCTGTACGGAGTTCTATACATGCCTACATTTGAATGGGGACATGTTTTGGAGCTCACCGCGACTTTCCACACGCACAGTCCGTTTCACTTGTTGACGCCGCTGCCGAAGCCATGCAAGGTTGTGGGCTCCTCCTGTAAGGGTATGTAATCGCTGACGTTCAGAGTATGCAAGCCGGGGTTCAAGGAAGTCCCCGCTCGGGCGATCAAGACATACGAGAGTCAAGAGCGGGATGCTTCTATTATCTACATTGAGCTTTGGGGCAGACCGATGGCTAGGGCGCAAGCATTGAGTGCCGTTCCAAGCGCATTGAAATTTGGATTTAATTTTCCCACTCCCACAACAAGACTTGCCATACTACATAGGTATGTATCACTCCGCTTGGAAATCAAGGAGAACAGACAAGTCTGTTGGTATCTCATGCTTGCGTTGCTCATGTCTCCCTTAACAACCGAGCATAAAGACACTCATTTTCCGGTTGCTGATGCTACGCCATGCACCTCCAGTACCACCTCCCAGGAGCTCTTCCCCATACTCACGAAGCAGCGACAAGATCCTTCTTGAGCGTACCCAAGAATTGCTTCTTCTCCTGGGGTGTCTGGTACGCACCGTGACCGAACTCCGAGGATGTGTCGATCCATTTGAGCTCGACTTTCTCCAGTGCCTTGCGAGACGTGTGTGGGAACATTGACTTGCGGAGGGTCATGACTCGCTTCTTGACCCCTGGCACAGAGCCCTTGAGGAGGACGAAGTCATTCTTGACCACGCCATAGCGGACGAATCCGCCCATTCTGTTCGACAACGTCAGGGCTTCGGACACACAAAGCCACGTGGAGGAGAACTTACGGTGTAATCTGCTTTTCTACAACGTCAAAGTCTGTAGCCGCGTTATTCTCATCAGAGCCCTTCCCAATGCGGTACACCTTGTGGTTAACTGAGGTACGATGGTGGTAACCCATCTGACCAGCACGGGCAACCGTCCACTGGACGTGCGAAGGATGCCAAGCACCAATACAGGCGACTTTTCTCAGACCCTTGTGTGTCTTTCTCGGAAGCTTTTTGGTGCCCCATCTGCTGGTTACACCCTGGAAGCCATGGCCTTTGGTGACGGCGATGCAGTCGATCATCTCGTCTTGCTCGAAGATGCTGCTAATCTCAACTGGCTTCTCGAACAATCCGTGGCCGAAATCGACTTTCTCTGCCACACTGCCACCATTGATCTGAATCTCCATCAAATGTGCCTTCTTCTGCTTGAGGGGCGTCTGACGGATCTGAGTATGAGCAAGTACACGGACGACTGTGCAGTATTTCTTGATGCGCTCGAGTTCCCGAGTGATTGAGGCACCCTTGTTCTCGGAGTGGTTCTTCGCGTACTTGGTGAACGCCTTCTTCTTAGATCGATACCAGTTCTTGTAGAAGCGGCGCTTCACTTCGTCAGAGAGATGTTCGGCCCACACGGTGGTAAGGGAACGCAGGCCGCGGGGTGTTTCGATGTAGCCGACGAGGCCGACGACGATCATCTAGCAAGAGATCAGCCTTAACCACGTACCCATCAGTGCCAGCTTTCTTTGAGACTTACAGGGGGGGTCTCGATTACAGTCACAGCCTCCACAATCTCTTTCTTGTGCATCTTCGCACCAGGTCTATCAAGGTCGCGGACAATTGTGGTCATCCCGGCCTTGTATCCCATGGCAGCGGTGAGATGAACTGGTTTCTTTGGGTCATCCTTTGGAAAGCTGGACCAAATGTTTCAGCTTCGACTCATTGAAAGACGAGTCATGACTTCTAGAGAACCAGAGTATCCTACCTCTTGACCTTGCCTCGGTGTCTTGCGGCTCGCTTTCGCGGAAGGAAAGCCAGTGAGCCTGTCGAGAGGGATGTGTTAGCCCAGAGAGCCATTTCTATGGAAGCAGGAGGCAATCAGATGGGAAGGGATTTTACCGTGTCGCGGTGCCTCGAACTTTCGGTGAGACCTATATCAGATATTAGCAGATGCATATATTGAATTAGAGCAATACTGACATCTTGTTTGAACGAGGAGCAAAGTTGTCGTGGACTGTCAAGCTGAAGCGTAGCAGTCAATGTGGAACACGAGAAATTCGATATTTTGATAAAAGTGCGCACCGAACCGCCAAGATTTTCGTCAGTCACGTGATCACAACGTCCGCCGATAATTGTCCCTCAGCAGAGTCTTCCTACACCGAGCGGGAAATCCTGAAAAGACAGTGGTAGAGGGTTGCCTAGTATCTAGTTGTCGTTATTTCGTACTCTTGAGAAAAAGCAAAATACATGTGCTCATTTTACAGAACGAAGTACCAATGCGACTGTGGATTTTTTCCAACGATGGGCCCCCGGCTCAAACTTGCTGCTGTACAAATCCAGCCAAACCCAGCACCAAAAAAAATCACAATGGAAAAGATCCTGACTAGTGTCAAACCGACTATGCTGCATTCTCTTGCTTTGGCGTTACTGTCGGAGGAGGTGCCGGGACTTGGGGGCTGCTCAGAGCTGCCGAAGGTGGAGCCCGCTTATCGTCCTCGCTGTTGTTGTCATAATCCTCGTCTACGTCGACTTTCCGAGCTGCCTGCTCGACCTGTTCTTTCCGATCTTCCTTTGGGGCGTCCAAGATTGATTGCATTGACGGGATCTGCTGAGGGTGACTGTAGGGATGATGTGCTGCCTCAGAGGGGTGGTAGTTCTCATTTGCCCGTCGTTCATTCTCGCGACGAATCTCGGATGAGCTTCGCCTGTAATGATCTTTCGGTGTAGGTAGGCGGCCCGGTGGGCTATTCCGACGGACCGGGTCATCCAGACGCGCACGAGTCTCTTCATTTGCTATCTTCTTGGAAGGTCCTGTATCGGACTCCCACTCACGGCTCCGTTTCATAGCAGAGGGCGGGCGATCGTCACGAGCAGGTCCTTCTGCAGCAGGAAGAGGTGGTGCCACCGATGGCACACCATTAGCAATGCTAGGAAATGGCTGACCAGACTGGAATGTCTGTTGGCGGTAGCCACCCCCTGGAGACTGAGGCCGTTCGTCTCTAAGTGGCCGCAGCTCACTAGGGGGACTGAATGGCCGCCCATAGGGTGGAAGGGTTGAGCCAGAAGCGCTGCCATTAGCATGAGGCGCTGGCGCTCCATTCATGGTAGGAGACGGACGGACTCCACTACCGAAGGCCGTGGGGCGATCCTGCATCGAGATCTGCGGCAGTGTTTGGGGGCCAGGAGGGAACATGCCCGGATTAGCCGGCTGCATCTTGGGCGAGGGGGACTGCAATTTTCGAACAGGTGTCTGACGCGAAGAATCATAGGGACGTGGACCATCCTGACGTGGACTAGGAACACCTCGAGGTGGAGCTCTCATGGTATCGCGTCCTTCGTAGCCGTTAGCCGGTTGCTGTTGCTGTTGCTGTTGCTGTTGTTGTGGCGGCGGCAGAGGCTGCTGCTGTGGCTGTTGTTGCGGCTGCGGCTGCGGCTGCGATTGTTGTTGTCCCGGTGGTGGGTTGATGCCTGCGATACCTCTCGCCCAGTCGTTAACGCGAGCCGGGTCGACTGGAGGTTGTTGTGGTTGCTGGTTTGAGGACGAAGGTCCACCCCATTGAGGACCAGGAGGGCCAACGCCATTCTGATATGCTTGTGGGTGAACATCTTGCGGGACAGGGGCATTGTGCTGATTAGGCCCTGTTGCCGCTCCACTTCTCAGGAGAGCGAGTCGGGCTTTGATGTGAGTGTTTGTGGGATCAAGCTCAGCTGCTCTGGCATATGCGTCGAGAGCGTCAGACGTCTGGTTGTTGCAAGACTCATACTGTGCCAGTGGTCAGTAAGGCAAGGTTGTGAATTGCGTGCGTGACACTCACCAAGGTTCCGAGGTCGTACCACACCTCAGAGATGTACGGATTCAGCCGTATGGCGCGCGAGTATGCATCTAGAGCATCTCGATACTGATTGATTTGATAGTACAGCACACCAATGGAGCACCAAAATGTGGGATTCCGTCCATCGCGGTATACGGCTTGTTGGTAAGCTTCATATGCCTTGGGAAATTTCTGCTGTGCCATGTAACATCTGCCGAGCAGATACCAGCTTTGTGCATCTGAATTGTCTTGGAGGTGGTCAATTGGCGAGATCTACAAAAGAGTCTATCGTGGCACATACCTGAGCTGACCGACTGTTCCAGGTACTCGATAGCCTGATCTTGGCTGGCATAGCTGTTACTCTGTTGGTGATGCAGCCAGCCGAGCTGCTGTAGCACTTTGGCATGTT